AACGGTAAACTAGGGATCCTGTAGAATCCATTTGCAACCATTAAATGTAGATTTTTTTGTATTTGCTATTTTAGACTCTTTTGTTGGGTTCAAGTCTATTTTTGGGTTTGAATGAGAGATCAAGATAAGAATTTAAATTTTCCGATACAAACACTGTACTTCGTGTAGTTCGTTATACGTGCCCCAGCCCCCACAAGGATTCCTTTCCATATATCCGTATCAATAACACGAATAAGCCTTTTATCTGTAGTGAGACACTGACAGGAGAATAAGAATTATTCCAGCTTTGTGTCAAATATTTCTAAACCGTCTCATCAAATCTAATCTAATCAATGAATCAATAAATGTCAGAAATTTTCATATTTTTGCTAATATTCAAAATTGCAAGGTTCACACAATGTACATTATTTGAAATTCAAGTTTAAGAACATAACCTTGGTTCTACTAAGTTTCCCAATCAAATTTGAGGCAAATCGGTTAAGGGGTTCCTGAGTTTTGATAAGGCATTTAAAAAAAAAAAACAGAGATAACAACTTTACATAGATAGATGTTGAGCCTTTCAGAAATATGTTGGAGCAAAAAATGGCGAACATAAATGTCGAGGACACCCTGAACTAACGAGAGAGAGAAGCATTCGGTTTCTTTTATTTGAAATCAAACTGTTTTCGTCTATAACTCAACAGTCTTTAGACTTACAGAACAATGAATCAATAAATGTCAGAAATTTTCATATTTTTGCTAATATTCAAAATTGCAAGGTTCACACAATGTACATTATTTGAAATTCAAGTTTAACTTATTAAACCCAGTAAACGTTAACCTATACACAACTTAAAATCTGTTAACCAGGCTAAGAACATAACCGTGGTTCTACCAACTTTCCCAATCAAATTTGAGGCAAATCGGTTAAGGGGTTCCTGAGTTTTGATAAGGCATTTAAAAAAAAACACAGAGATAACAACTTTACATAGATAGATGTTGAGCCTTTTAGAAATATGTTGGAGCAAAAAATGGTGAAGATAAATGTCGAGGAGGAAAGTTACCAATTACCAAAAATCATTGGCAGACATTTTTTGTAAGATTTATAAATCATCATAACATATATTGTTTGTATCTTATACTTAAATCTTAATATCTCAGATTTACATATATCTAGGTCCTGTTAAACTACAAACTGTAAACCACAAGCTAGGAATGTATTTAACCCAGTATGAACCACCCTCAGGCCGGAAAATCTCTTCAAATTGATTCAACATATTTCTTTGGAGTCGGAGAACCCAATCAGTAAACCTAAGGACCCGGAGACATGATAACAGATTATAATCAATTATGGCGACCTATATCATACAGGATACGGTCAGAACAATCAACAGGTTTCGGCCTTATCATTATCCGTCCCAGTAGCAAGGTTGGATTCATCTCTCTCTCTCTCTGATACCCGTCCTCGGGACGTGATTATTTCTCCATTAGGGGATATAGGACGGTTCCTTACTCTCCTCTACATCATTTGCATTTAATTAGATTGAGAATACTAGAATCCTGAAGAATATTGAAACCCAGGCAGGGGGGAACCTTAACCCAGGATCATTTTCTGCTGGGAGTTAATTGACTCCGGGTTTATAGGTATACTGGTCAAGCAAATGTTTGTGACCGAGATTGTTTCCAAACTTAAAACAAAGGAATAGATTAATCCCAAAGCAGGGTTATTTATAGGTTGCATGACAAATCCAGGGATGTATGTAGGTTTATATACATATTCAAGGATTTATGGCTTTATAGGTTTATAAGTTTATATTATAGACATGTAGATGGGTAAGATAAAGGCTTCAAGACATATCCATGGGTAGATATATGCTTCGAAATACACTCAAAGGGTAGAAATAGGTTATAATATTCATCCAGGGGTAGATATAGGTTCTTATATTTGTCCAGGGGTAGATATAGGTTTCAATACATACCCGGGGTTAGATATATGGTTCAATATACATATACCCAAAGGGTCGATATAGGTTCTAATATATTTATCCAGGGGTAGATATAGGTTTCAATACATACCCAAGGGTAGATATATGGTTCGATAAACATATACCCAGGGGGTAGATTTAGGTTCTAATATCCAGGGGTTGATATATATTTAGGAAGAGATATATTATACAAACCAAGATGTGCACGCTCTCACACAAAAATTGAGCAGTATTTTGCCAATAACTACGTTTAAGATTAAGCTAGAAACAAGCGTGCTGCACTTTGAAAATTTATATGTCTAGGGCTACAAAAAAAGTATAAGTGAGTTGTTGAGGTAAAACCAAAGGCCAAAGCGTTCCAACACTTTAAAGTTGAAAATGGCCTAAAAATTTGATGACTCAGTTTCAGAGTTGTCATATATCAGTGTATAGGTTTCAGGACAAATACCGTTTTTTAAATTTATCCTTAAGTTTTGTCGATTATGTTATTTAGATAAGATTTGGATTACAAGTTTAATATATATTAAAGATATCTATCTGGTTTATGAGTCTATTTATATTTGAATATATGTAGAATAAACTTCCTGTCGTGTGTGTACAACTGTAACTGTATCCGGGATAATTTACATTTTATCTCAATCTATTTCAGGGATACAGTAATACAGGGTGTATCTATCTATCTATCCTTCTTGTATAATACAGGGTGTATCTATCTATCTATCCATCTTGTATAGTACAGGGTTTATCCATCTATGTTTCTATCTTGTATAATACAGGGTGTATCTATCTATCTATCCATCTTGTATAATACAGGGTTTATCCATCTATGTATCTATCTTGTATAATACAGGGTGTATCTATGTATCTATCTATCCATCTTGTATAGTACAAGGTTTATCCATCTATGTATCTATCTTGTATAATACAGGGTGTATCTATCTATCTTTTTATCTTGTATAATACAGGGTGTATCTATCTATCTATCTATCTATCCATCTTGTATAGTACAGGGTGTATCTATCTATCTATCTATCCATCTTGTATAATACAGGGTGTATCTATCTATCTATCTTTCTTGCATAATACAGGGTGTATCTATCTATCTATCTACCTTGTATAATACAGGGTGTATCTATCTATCTTTCTATCTTGTATAATACAGGGTGTATCTATCTATCTATCTATCCATCTTGTATAGTACAGGGTGTATCTATCTATCTATCCATCTTGTATAATACAGGGTGTATCTATCTATCTATCTATCCATCTTGTATAATACAGGGTGTATCTATCTATCTATCCATCTTGTATAGTACAAGGTGTGTATCTATCTATCTATCTATCTTGTAAAGTACAGGGTGTATCTTTCTATCTATCTATACGAAAAATATATATCTTCCATAGCAAGTCTTGGGTGTATCCATCTATGGTCCATGGTACAGAGCGAATATATATATCTTTCCATTTAAAGTACATTACAGGGTTACCAACAAAAGATAAGACTTCAGGTCTTATTTATCAACCTCCAGGAGTCCAAAAAGCCTAAATAAAACTTTAAAACGGTATGAAAAGAGCCTCGTGTCTTTATTAAATTATGGTTCATTGTAGGCAAACCTTATCAAAGACCGTCATAAGATAAAGGCTAGAAAGCTTCACTATACAGTCTTCGCCTCTTATGATGTAGATTTTAAGAAAAATTGCAGAAATTTTTGTAAAAAATAGCAAAATAGTTAAAAGTATCTGTATTCTATAACCTTATTGGTAGTATTAAATTTTGAATTATATCCCTGAGAAACTTCTGTTTACATTCCTGAGAAAATACTGTTTACATCCCTGAGAAACTACTGTTTACATCCCTAAGTAACTACTGTTTACAGTCCTGATCCACAACTGTTTAAACCCCTGAAAAACTACTGTTTACATTTCTGAGAAACTACTGTTTACATTTCTGAGAAACTACTGTTTACATCCCTGAGAAACTACTGTTTACATCCCTGATAAATTAAAGTTTACATCCCTGATAAACTACTGTTTACACTCCTAGGCTCCTCTCGCCTCATTTGCATTGATAGTGGGGGATTTACTTCGTAACACCGTGAGCTGGGCTAATACATAGAAACGGTAGGATTACGACACGGAGTTAGAGAACAGGGAGAGAACTGTTTTTTAATTCATACTTTGAAACAAGATACGGAGATAGGAATATAAATATGTAAATATAAATCTACATATCTCAAAAGGTTTAGACATAAATTTAAAAGTATGAAACATCGAGGAGTTTAAATACCAGAGAGCCAAGTAAATTTACTTGTAGATACATGATAGTGGGATGGAGAAAACAAGAAAATCAGGCAGTATTTTGCTAAATAAAACTAACAGTGGATGTAATACATATTTACATATGTACTTACTACATATACTGAAGCATGGAAAGTCTTAAATCTCAAAAGTTTGAGATTTCTATGGGTTGAGTTTTGCTCCAGGCTGTTCCCGTGTCAGCTGTCAGTAAGAGCTGGAACTGACATCAAGTTTTGGTTTCGGTTTAGCTCCGCCGACAAGACGGATCAGTATCCTAGATAGGATGGATAATTGGGTGGAGTTAGACTCCATTATATACACCAATCATCTTCATTTTCCTATTAACTTTTTGTACATTCACTCCAATATATCAGGAGAGATACTCATTTTGGTTTGGAAATACACTTACAAAGTTTCTGCAAGGAACGATTAGACATAGACTAGACTTCCCATGTTCCAGGTCTTAACTTTTGAATATAGTGAAGAAAATGGAACGATATAAATGAAAAGTTAAAGGCATGGAAGATGTTCCAAGACTAAACCTTTTAAATGACCAATCAGAGAATATATGTAGAAAGAATATAATTTCATGGCAGGGAATCTTCAGTAAGGAAATAAATTGAAACGAAAAGACAAAAAAATAAGTATGTTTATTCCAAAAATGCATCGGTCAAAACTCTCATAATGATCTAAATATGTACATACATATTTACAATCTCGATCTAATTGTAACAAATATTGAACACAACGTAAAGAACAAGCTTTATTCAACAATTTCACGCATTTTACTGATATTCGAAGTTTGTGTGTATAGGCAGAGATCTGGGTTGGTAGTATGAATAATCATAATAGTTCTCATACTGAGTATATGCTTTCTTTTGATCCCGTCCTACACTGCAGTATGCTTCTCCGCTGAACTTACCACGGTGAAAATATTCTCCAGTCTCAACAAAACTAGTCTCACACTCACGGTTAAAGTTTGTGGAGTAGTTGAGAGGACTAGAGTAGGAGTACTGCTGGTTGTGTCTCTGGTAGAGAGGGTGGGAGGAGTAGGAGTAATCCTGTCCGGGAGGAGTGAGAGGAGGGGAGAGGGAGGGTTGACTGTACGGAGATTGTCGATCTGACATCACGCACTCGTCTTTGTTGGATTTAATAGTCTCTGACATAATAGTTCCCTGGGGTGTAGTTGACTCGTAACTTTTTAAAATGTTAAATGAAGGAAGAGAGTTTGAATGATGGTTATTGTAAATATTTTGTGTTTGAGAAACTGAGCTCTCTGTTAGAAGAGCATCTCCGTCCTGTAGAGGAGGAGAAGGAAGGGGTAGAGAGGACCCGGATACAAGAGATATTCCTCCTGGAATTGGAAGCTCTGAAGGGGAGGAATCAAGTTCTAACTCCGGGCTGGAGGATAGTAGGTGTTGATCCTTTAATCTTGTCGGATCAATTTTATGGATTGCTCTTTCATGGTTTCTCAGTGAGGTGTGTTTGACAGTGGCATAATCACACTTAGAACATCTGTAGGGTTTCAATCCATTGTGAACTGTTTTATGATAATTGAGTCCTGCTCTCTGACTAAATGATTTCTCACAAACATCACATTTATAAGGTTTGTCGCCAGAATGAACTCTCATGTGCGCTTTCATCGTTGAAGGCTCACGGAAACATTTTCCGCATGTTTCACAAACGTAAGGACGGATATCTCCGTGGATTCTCTGATGCGCGATCAAAGAAACTTTGTGACGAAAAAACTCACCACACTCGTCACACCTATGAGGTCTCTCTCCGGTATGCATGAGTGTATGGTTCTCTAGGTGCAGGCGGGTTTTAAAAGATTTATCACATTTAGAGCAGCTAAAGTTTCGAATATTCTTGTGAAAGGTGTTTATATGGGATTGAAGACGGCTCGGTTTTGGAAAACTCTTGTTGCAAAGTTCACATCGGATCTGGTATCCGATACCATGAGTTCTGAGATGGTACCGGAGAGAATACCGGTCTGCATACTTTTTGTTGCAAATGTAGCACTCTGGTTGCTTGTCACTATGCGTCTTATCATGAACCAGGTACGCTGATTTATTTGCAAACTTCTCCGGGCAAAAATCACAAGAAAACTTAAACAGTTTGTCATCCATGTCAGCTTCACTGTCTATATCGGGAAGGTTGGAATCTCTTGTTATATGAAGACGAAGATGGCGGCGAAGGTTTTGAACATTTGAGAATTTTTTCAAACACGTTAAACAAACCAAATCTTCAGAGTCTCCGGTATCCAACTGCTTCTCCGCTAGGGATAGACGGGTTCGAGCCAGGATGGTTTTCATCTCTCTTCTCTCCTTTTCGATCTGATCCTTTCGATCCTCTTCTGTATCCGACTCACTTAGCTCCGAGTCCCCGAGACAGTCATCAGAATATTTGTCGATTTTTGGAGTATCTATCACAATTTCTTTTGTTCTTTTCTTCCTTCTCTTCTTCCTCAGTTTCCTTAGTTTCCCTGTGGACTGGGACGGATTTGACTCCGGGTCGCTGTATGACTGTTGATTACGAGTCCTATACTCAGAGAGATGTTCCTTGACATGATTGATATAAAGTTCTCCGGTGGGTAGACAAACCTTACAGAATATACATCTATGATAAGCGTCTCCAGAGACATAGCTCTCCAACATCTGAAATAAAAAAGCTTTAAAAAGACTTAAAGATAAACATTAAAAATAATAAAGATTTGTATCGTCTTTATTTCAATGAAAAAAGTTTCAGATTTATGCATGATGACAAATCAAACAGATAGAATGATCCCTATAGTTTCAGTAAAAGTAAATATTTCCATTTATTGATAGCGCCGATTGAAAGATTCATATCTCTAATTGGATAATGAGATAGATAGAAAGATAGATGTTACTGCCATACTATTTCTATTGGTTCAGAATAGACAACAAACACATGACTGATTGGATCAGGTGCTAATGGACTTGGCATACAGGAGGGCATGATATAATTTTATTGTAAATCAGATATTTTATTACTTTGAGACTAATAACAACCATGGTGGGAGAATATTTTCAAGCACTTAATTGTAAACAGTTTCAAGTTTCAAAAGAATCGATTTTTTTGCACAAACTCTGATTTCCTTATCCCTACATCTTTGCACCCCAATGTACCACTTTAGTTTCAGTAGAAGTAAATATTTCCATTTACTGTGTACTGTTTAGTCCCGATGTAAGGATTCATCTCTAATTGGATATTGAGATAGATGATACTGTAATGCAACTTTTATTGGTTCAGAATAGACACCACACACATGACTTAACCCTGATTGGATCAGGTGCGCGCTGGAATCGACATACAAGTGTGGTCGTAGACTTTGGACTTTTAGCTATGAACTCTGCTAGATCAAATAATCTAAATTCAAAATATCAACGGTTTGCACCATCAGGTTGCAAAGATAAGAGGATTAGGATATTAGAGTTTGTGACAAAGACTCAATTCCTTTAATTTTATAATTAAAATCTTATATTTCTTTTTTTTAATTCACAAGATCGACGGAAGATTATGATGACATATAAAATATTTCATCTATAAATTTGTTTTAACTTGAAACCTGTAATTAGAATTTGTTTAATCAGCAGAAGAACAAAATGCCGTTTTATCAGTCTGTGCGAACACACAGTTAAAATAGTTTCGAATGAAATCTTAAATATTTAAAGTTATAATAACAAACTGTTTTTACCTTTACGTGATAGCTTTATTATTTAACTTTTGTTCAGACTCTTCTCTCCATCCTGGAGCTAAGTATCAGGTTGACTGAAGATATATCCGTCCCATCCTAGCGGCGCCTCCCGTTCTCTCGACCAATCAGAGCTCGTCATGCTCGGCACACGCAACCAATAGGAGATCCGGGAACTCCTGGTCGTGTGAAGTTCTCCTGGTTTTGTCAGGTTTAGTGTACTCTACATCATGTATTGTCTTTTATCCTCAAATATGAATATTCAAGCTAAAAAAATTTTCCTTTTAAAGGAAAACTTTTTCCATCTTCTTTGCATCTAAAGGTTTTCCATAAACTTGAAACAAACTAGCTTCGCTTTAGTTTATCACCTAGCTCAGTAGAATTTTATCAGGCTGATAATTATTTTAAAATATTTTTTGTATATATATGGGGGGGGGGGGTTAATGGTTGGAAATAGGGTAAAACCTACATCCAAAAAAGAAGAGATATTATAAAATACCAGGTTTTAAATCCGTAGTTTCTGCAGAAAATTCTAAAATAAAAACTGGAAATTACCAATTTTGTTTTCTCCCTTGTCAGAATTTGCTTTACAACTCAGTAGCCATTCCCCCAATCATAAAATCACAAATTTTAAATTGAATAAAAAGAGAATTTGTTGGACATAAACTTCGAACACAAGAATTTTGGCAAGAAGAGAAGAAAGAAAAATCTTGGGAATCTATATCCTTGATTGTTTTGTTACCTGCGTTACCTGGTTACGTATTTACAGATAAAGTAGTTAAAACAATGTAGAATAGGGGGGTATAGATACTGCATTTATCTTCAAGCTCTAGTGGCTGGTTGGAATAAATTTTGCTAATCCCGGAGAGAAAGGAAGTGAGTTTTTGTCACGAACTCAAATTTTCTAAACCTTATATCTTCGCAACCTGTTGGTGTAAACCTTCGATATTTCAAACTTAGACTATCTTATCTTAAATAATTTATAGTTTGAAATATCAAAGGTCTACGATACTTGGTTCAAAGATATAGGAATTAAAAAAGCAGAAAAATTTAATTTAATTTTTAAAGATTTTTAAAATATTGATGGTTTAATAGTTTATTTTTCGTTTTGGTCGGTTTAAAGAGTTATTCTTGGTAGTTGATTTAGATAAAAAGATGGATAGTTTAGTTATTCATTGTAGTTAGTATTGGTAGTTAGTATAGATAGATATACAGTTTAGTTATTCCTGGTAGTTAGTTTATATAAATATAAAGTTTAGATATTCCTGGTAGTTAGTTTAGATAGATATATAGTTTAGTTATTCCAGGTAGTTAGTTTAGATAAATATATAGTTTAGTTATTCCTGGTAGTTTAGTTTAGATAAAGATATAGTTTAGTTATTCTTGGTATTTAGTTTATATAAATATACAGTTTAGTTATTCCTGGTAGTTAGTTTAGATAGATATATAGTTTAGTTATTCCTGGTAGTTTAGTTTAGATAAATATATAGTTTAGTTATTCCTGGTATTTAGTTTATATAAATATACAGTTTTGTTATTCCTGGTAGATAGTTCAGATAATTAAATAGCTAGTTATTCCTGGTAGTTTAAATAAATAGATAGTTTAGCTATTTTTGTTAGTTAGTTTAGATAAATATATAGTTATTCCTAGTAGATAGTTCAGATAATTAAATAACTAGTTATTCCTGGTAGTTAGTTTAGATAAATGAATAGTTTAGCTATTCCTAGCAAATAGTTCAAATAATTAGATAGCTAGTTTTTCCTGATAGTTGTTTAGATAAATATATAGTTTAGTAATTCCTGGTAGTTAGTTTATATAAATATATAGTTTAGACATTCCTGGTAGTTAGTTTAGATAAATAGATAGTTTAGTTTTTACTGGTGGTTGGTTTAGATTAACAGATAGTTTAGTTATTCTTGTTAGTTAGTTTAGATAAATATATAGTTTAGTTATTCTTGTTAGTTAGCTTAGATAAACAGATAGTTTAGTTATTCCTGGTAGTTAGTTCAGATAAATATATAGTTTAGTAATTCTTGTTAGTTAGTTATTAGGGGTCACTTCACCCTTATTCAACCAGTTTTTAACACAAAATAAATGTCTAAAAATTCCTTTCGATAATATTTCAGAATTTAAATGAGATCTGAGTCACCACTAACTAGGTTGTGGCGGGGAACGTTTAGAAATTGAATTTAACCATTAAATTGGATTATCTTAGCTAATATTAAAACAGAATAGATTCCCTGTCACCGGGTCGATCTTTCCGCCGGTTATTTATTTGTATTTCTACTTTATATGGATCTTATTCCATCCTATTCCAATAGATGAGATATATTGGATTGCGTAGATCCCTTTATATTAAAGTTTCCTGGTGCCAGATGTGTTGGGAACCCTCTGGTTATCACGCGTATTTGTGGCCAGATTAACCACTAAACATCTGGACTCACATTCACAACTTTTTTGGGCAAAACTTCGAACTCTAATCAAAAATGAGTTTTGAAACATGTTTATTTAAAACTTAACTTTTTTATTTTAATGATTCAAACAAATCCCCCAATAAATGAAGTTAAAAAGTAAAAACATGGCGGGAAAAGCAATTATAAAAATGTTATCAATGTACGCATACTCGTGTTGGGTTTGCCAAGGGCCTCGAGATTTAGGGGGCTGAGCGCCAGTCTTAGAACTCGAACCTCCGGGGTTATGGCTGAAAAAAAAATTAAGTTCTTTATTTAAATAAATTATTGAAAGATCTAGGTTTCCACCTGATATCCTGATACTGCTCTACTGGGAGAAGGCCTAGGTTTGGGCTCCCTACTAGGACGGGTCCAACAAGAGCTCCGATAACAGATATTGTTAAACTAGGACGACTGCCCTGCTGATCAGGTACAATACCAATTTTCTTGAGTTTCTGATTCTTTATGAAGAGAATACCTTAAATAGATTACTTGGATGATTCAATTAGTTAACAATTAAAATTGTGTATCTCTATTCTTCAAACTGTACACATTACTGTGTAATTACTGTACTTCTTTACTCTCTACTCTCTACTCATATTCTCTTCTATCTTCTCTATATTCTTTTAATAATAACTTTTTACTTTGTTCTCAGTCCTTTGTCCTCTGTATTCTGTGCTCTGATCTCTGTACTCTGTCCTCTGTGCTCTGATCTCTGTACTCTGTCCTCTGTACTATGTCCTCTGCACTCTGTCCTCTGCACTCTGTCCTCTGTACTCTGTATTCTGTTCTCTGTACTCTGTAATCTGTCCTCTGTAATCTGTCCTCTGTAATCTGTCCGCTGTACTCTGTCCTCTATATTCTGTTATCTGTCCTGTGTACTGTGTACTTTTTTCTCTGTATTTTGTACTCTGTGTACTACAGTGCGAACTAAAAAAAACGTGGAATAGGAAGACGACATTAGCGCAATAATCAATGGTATTTGATGTTGTTAAAAAGTCAATAGCTTTATTAGTAACTTCTTAACTCACTTATCAAGTGGACGGTTCTGTTTACACTGAACAATTGCTGTGTCTCATGTTCATGGACTAGTTAAAGTAATAACTTGACTCTGAAAGTCGTCTTTCAATTCCAGAGTTTTCTGGTTCTCACTTAAGTTTACCTGAGTATCCACACATAGCTGCGAACACGAAGAATATGCAGATTAGCAGATATGCAACAAGAACATTCACACCATAAAATATATTGAAATCAGTAAATTTTAAATTAAATTCATCTAATAGAGTAAAAAGGGGTTAGTTTTAGTTCTTATCCTAAATCTAACCTCTGAGTTTGGTATCAATACTTATCCTAAATCTAAACTCTGAGTTTGGTATCAATACTTATCCTAAATCTAACCTCTGAGTTTGGTATCAATACTTATCCTGGATTTAAACTCTGAGTTTGGTATCAAAACTTATCCTGGATCTTACCTCTGAGTTTGGTATCAATACTTACCCTGGTTCTAACCTTTTAGTTTGGTTTCTAAACTTATCCTGGATCTAACCTCTGAGTTTGGTATCTGCCTGGTGACCGAGTTGAATATATTAATTAAAACCAGGAAGAGAGCAACTAGAAGATTCATCCGACCAGGGATAAGATCAGGAGGGATAAGAAAACTAGCCCAGGATACGAGAACAAACATTCCTTTATTATCAACAAAACATCTTTATTTATATTAACAGTTATATAAACAAAATTAAGTAATGGGTCCTTAAATTCAATTATAAGCCATTTAATCTTTTTCTGATTTTTGGCATTAGACAGTAAGTTTATAAAAATCAGTTCTTTAAATTTGGTTCAGAATATTCTTGGAAAAATGATCATAGACTTCATATAAGCATTAAAATAACATTATTTATCAATGTATTAAAGATTTTTTTTATTCCTGACGGAAGATAATAGTTGACAAGGAACTTGAATACTCTGCGCTTTATCTTTAACCTGGAGAAGAATTAGAAGATGAATAACAATACAGATAGAACACTAGATGTCATCTTTTCGAAATTTAGGGGTTTTTCGTTCACAATAACTCTGAGTTACGCGCATACTGCGTTGAATGACAAGACAGAGAGAGAGCATGTGCGTAACTCCTTTATTGTGGACGAAAAACCCCTAAATTTCGAAAAGACGACATCTAGTGTTCTATCTGTATTGTTATTAATCTATGTATATAGCCATAAACACATTATTCCAGGTTAGGTTAGGTGTAGTTAGATAGATATTCACTTGTTGTTTAACCAATATACCTGAACCCGGCGACTGAGTAGTTTCCTATATTTTTCCATACAAACAAATCGTCTGCTCCGCTGATAATATCCATCTTGGAGTAGTCGAGCAATGTGTTAGGACGGGTTTTATCCTGCTCCAGAGATGTTACGGAGAACAATAGTTTGGAAGTAGAATACTGATAGCTTCCGATCCGGAACATGCATTCCTCAATAATATAGTTTAAATGGTCTTAACTTTTTCAGTTGATAAATCGCATGTAACTTTTAAAGCAAATCCCCAATTGAAAATAATCAATTTTTGGCATAAAAGCAAGGATATGTCAATCTTCTACCATTATCTCCGATTGATTCATATTTATGCTTCATATGGATTGCACCTGTTTATCCAGAGGATAGAAATCGAACCTTGCTGGGCACCAGAGTGTAACGACGACCTCTTGTCTAAAGTAGATATCCTGACCGTTCACAACAAAAAGACGACCTATAGGGATATTATCAGTAAATCTTAATATTTGATTTTATTTAGTATAATTCGTGGATTTCCTACCTTTATGATCAGTTAGAACTCTGTTTATTCTTTCCATGTTGTAAACATAGATATCAGGAACCCACAGGTTTTCTATAAACTGGGTCTCTATGGCCTAAACTTTTTAATATAAGTTTACTTTAGAACAAGTGTTTTTTTAATATTGGAAAGATTAGCTATCTTTCCATCAATTTGTTTGGATCTAAAAACAGCTGAACGATGGACCATGAGTAAGGTTTGTGGAAGGTTAGAGTTTATGAATTTCGACATTTATTGTTATTGTTTTAAATAGCTTGTAAAAATTAACCTAGAGTAAGAACCTGAAAAATGTGGAATAGGAAGACGACATCAAAGTAATATTTAAGTGTTTTTTCATGCTGTTACAAAGCAATTATAGTTTACCAGTTACTTAATAAATCACGTATTTGTGAAATGTGTCTGTTCATTGACTATTTAAAATCATAACTAGAGTCTCAAAGTCGTATTCCTATTTCCGAGTTGTTGGTTCTTATGCACTGTGTGTCGGAAAAATTTAGATTTTTGTTCTTCATGATTAGTGGAGACCTGATACGGAGCTGTAGGAGAGGGAGGAGGTCCTTGTAGTCTCCACTCCCTCCAGTGAACTGCGAGGAACAAGGAGAAACTGACTGTAAACAGTTTATCGTCAAACTCTATAATCCTGATCTGATCCAACTCAATCTTTATCTAAATCATCAAAAATAAAAATGAATGACTAAAAGAATCTATAAATGAAAGTTCAATTTCAGGATGTCCGGTCTCCAATTTAAACATTAAACTATAAGTAAACCTAGCAGGTTTAAGTTCAGTATAGTTTCTCTCCTCAAGTCATGTAGGTTCAAAATCAGGATATCCTTCCTTGCAATATTTAATCAAATTTCTTTCTCTTTCTTCTTTAAGATTTATACAAAAAGGTTTCCTTATACTTGAACCTGTAATGGTTGAGGAGAGAGGGTTGGTGGATCAAGAGAACTGTATCCGGGAGGAAGACAGTAGGATCCTAAATATATCATAGGGTGGACTAATTATCCGATCTTCTTGGCTCCGTCCCATAATAAATATTGGTTTCTCTCAGTAGAGATTAGTACCAGGATACACTAAGCAATACGGAACCATGGAAGGATGTATTAACAAGATTATTCAAATCAATTATAGACATAAACACATTATTCTGAGATTTTAGATTAAGCAAAATATTATTCTTAGAATCTAGATTATAAACAACATTATTCTTATATTCTAGATTAAGCAAAATATTATTCTTAGATTCTAGATTATATACAACATTATTCTTATATTCTAGATTATACACAACATTCTTAGATTTTAGATTATGCGCAAGATGATCTTTGGTTTGCTCTGAGCTTGAATCCTTGTATAACATTATTTCTTCTTCACTAACATAAGAGTTGCTTGTACAACATTAAACCCCGTTATGTACAATTATATACTGACCTGTACAAGATTAAACCCCCTTATGTACAATTATATACTGACCTGTACAAGATTAAACCCCCTTATGTACAATTATATACTGACCTGTACATATTGATCTGTTCGTGATTGAAGGTTTAGCTTCTGGCGCGGTTAATATCCTTAAACAAAACCTTCATTCTGCGTGAACTTAAATAGAATTTTTTTAATTTGATCTTTAAAGCATTATTTCTTGAGCTTCCTTTCTTTCTTACACTATCCACTCTCATACCTTTCACTTTTATACCTTTCAGTCTTATATCTTTCACTCAAAAGCCTTTAACTCTGATATCTTCCACTCATACACCTTTCAATCTCATTCCTTTCACTTTGATACCTTTCACTATTACTACTCTCACTTTCATACTTTACACACAAACCTTTCACTCCCGTAAATTTTAGCCCAATCCCTTTCACTTCATTAGTTTCAATCTAAGTCTTGACATTAATAAAACTATTCTATTTAAAAAATTTCAAGCACCTGGGAGTAGCTCCTTTAAGAGATGATGAACTGGTTGCTCCTAAAGCTTGTTGTATGAGGAACCAGGATATTAAACCGACCAGGACAGGCATTGTTTAACTCCAGGTTAAGATTGTGATTGACTGAGGAGATTACTCCCGTTGCAAAAAAACACCTGCTTTAAGTTAAAGTAAATTGATTCTCTCAGAGATTCCAAAAATAGAAGAAGTTTTCTCCGTCCCTGATACTAAAATTGATTTATGTAAACTCTGAACAAGTTTTAGGATTTTAATTCCTAGAATATTATGAAGTTTTTCTTCAACTCAGTTTACACAGCGTCTCATCAAATCACGCCAGGAAGCTATTTCAGATCTTTTTGAAAACTTATTTTTTCAGCAGCTCAGTCTAATCTTGTTTTACTGTGCATCCAGGAAACCTTAAACCCTGGAAAGTTGTTCAAATCACGATCCGTTTGTTTAATGTTGTCCGTTTCTCTCTCAATATTAAACAATTCTATTTATTCACAATTTCCTTCCTTTTTAACTTCAAATGTTAATTAATTTTTCTCCAAAAAAAAACTACTGCCAGAGCTTTTCTTGGACACTTTAGTCCCTTCCCCTCTTGCTGATACATTCATGTTGATTTTCAAAAAGCTTTAAATTGCACGTGGTGCAGGGTAGTATTTAATGATCGATAGATAGATAGATAGATACGAGCTGATAGATAGATAGAACGGAGCTGATAGAAATATAGATACGAGCTGATATAGATAGGAGCTGATAGTTAGAAAGATAGTGAAATGTAAAGAAAGGGAACTTTACACTGACCGATGAAAATTGTTTCTAATTGAAAATTCAATTTGACATTCCTAAACTGAAAAAAAGAATTTGGCAAATTGAAAGGAGGAGAAGGGTGGGATGGGAGCAGGACTGCTCCAGGCTCAGCTCTACTAACGAACTCATTTAGACTGACCAGGTCTAATTATTCAGTAAATAGAGGGGCGGAGCAGGGCTATTATGTTTACATTTTAACTGTATTGGGGTCTAGAGGTATTTCCAATAATAGAAAACTATCCTTAGCTCAATAGAACCCTACTCCCGGCTCACAAACCATTATTTCTTTTCAATTATCAAGGGTTTCCGGGACAGAAACATCAAGGGTTTATCAAGGGTTTCCGGGACAGAAACATCAAGGGTTTATCAAGGGTTTCCGGGACAGAAACATCCTATGAGAAGTAGGACGAAGTGAAGTGAAGAGAAACAAATAATATTTTAAAAGGAACTGTTAACTTGCCACAAACTCTGAATTTATAATCCTGATTTATTTGCAACCTGATGGCATTAACCTTTCACATTTGAATTATGATAGATCCAATAGTCAAAGTTTACACCATCAGGTTTTAAGGATATATAAAGTATATAAATTAAAGAGTTTGAGACATGAATTATTTATTACAACTTGGTCCGTAGGACTAATCTGGAGATAAAAATCAGCAGGAACAATCAATTGAAACCCTGAGAAGTGGGTACAACAAATCAAAACTATCACTAATATAGCATTAATATACAGTTTTTATTTTAATTTTGATGTAGAAGATGATTCAGATAATGGTGAAGCAAATGATTAAGAGAATTATGTAGAGGGTGATGAGGAGAATGATGAAAAGGATGATGAAGAGAATGATGAAGAGAATGATGAAGAGGATGATGAAGAGAATGATGAAGAGAATGATGAAGAGAAGGATGAAGAGAATGATGAAAAGAATGATGAAAAGAATGATGAAGAGAATGATGAAGAGGATGATGTAGAGAATGATGAAGAGAATGGTAAAGAGAATGTTGAAGAGGATGATGTAGAGAATGATGAAGAGAATGGTAAAGAGAATGATGAAGAGAATGGTAAAGAGAATGATGAAGAAAATGGTAAAGAGAATGGTAAAGAGAATGGTAAAGAGAATGGTAAAGAGAATGGTAAGGAGAATGGTAAAGAGAATGGTAAAGAGAATGATGAAGAGGATGGTGTAGAGAATGATGAAGAGAATGATGAAGAGGATGATGAAGCGAATGATGAAGAGTAGGATGAAGAGAATGATGAAAAGAATGATGAAAAAGATGATGAAGAGAATGATGAAGAGAATGGTAAAGAGAATGATGATGAAAAAAAAGAGAAAAACGACGAACAGAATGACGTAATGAACAATAAAAATAATGAAAAGAATGACAAAGAAAATAGTGAAAATGTGAAGTTACATTGTTAAGAATGTAACCTATATTTATAAGAATAAACCGGTTTAGCAAATATATTCAAATATCAATATTTATTCAGATGAGACTAGCGTAGCGAACTATTCAGCTTGTTTTATGGTTGGCTCAGAGCTTCCTTATCTAAATAAATGTTTGTCTAGAATTCTCCCCCCTCCTCCTCCTCCTTCTCCTCATTTCTCCCTTTGCTCCCAGTTGTGAGTCTGCAAGCTTGGTTAGGTTAAGTAACCGTGGAGAATCCTTCTCCTGAGCTGAGTCTCTGGATCAATACTCTCTCCGTCCTATCTAAACATCTCAACTTTAGAATTTCATTCTTTAAACCCCCGCCGCTGAAATATTGGGCGCTATTCTTACCTTATTCTTTGTCATCTTTATCCGATATACACCGAGTCCAAATACCTAAACTCATTTTACATGATTTTTGAATTTCAAACTGTTTATATGTTTGTTGGACTGTTCTTATTATACTTATTTTCGTGGTTTCATCAATTCGATTCATCTTTATCTTTCATAATTAATGTTGAATCATTTATAAACTCATGGTTCGATTACTCAGCCTGCAGGATTTGAAGGTAGGTTCGTGTGAGTGTGTTTTCTCAATGTGTTGTATATATTATCAGGTAGGTGAGCAGTCCTGCTGGGAATGATAAATTCTCCTCCCCTCGATGATCCATCGATAAGAACCATTCCAGGCTTCACAGGTCCATAGCCTTCAATATTTAACACTCACTTTATAATTAATTCTCCATATATGTTTCCCTGTACGTCAATTTTCCCCCTGGTTTCAAACTGACCCGGAGAAGGTTTGGTTTTGACTCCGTGTCCCCTTGAAGATACGGATGATGATAAAGTTGAATTTTTCCTAAAGTCTTTGTATTGTTCCCTGCTGGTGTGTTGACTGGTTGGGTAATATATTCAGCAGGCCAACATTTAATAGGTTTCATCCATACACAGATACAACCAGGCCCCTGCACACTGTACTACAGCTTTCTCCTCTTCAGATTAAACAATATGTAGATTGTACAGCAATGTTTTATGTACTATGTTGTACTCACTGAAAACTTCGGTACATTGGAAGTACCGGGCTGACTTTCAGACAGACTTTAGACGGGAAAACGGGACGGTACACCGTTGGATAACTATGTTTCATGTTCTATGCTGTGCTTACTGATAACTCTGGTTCATTAGAAGTACCGGTCTAGCTTTCAAGCAGCTAGAGAAAGCTATATAGTATTGGTAAAGACTTTAGATGGGGAAACGGGACGGTATAGTCAGGATTCATCTTCTTCTACTACTGTTACTAACTAACTACTTCAACATTATAATCAGGATTCATCTTCTTCTACTACTGTTACTAACTACTTCAAAGTTCAACATTATAGTCAGGATTCATCTTCTTCTACTACTGTTACTAACTAACTACTTGGTATAATCAGGATTCATCTTCTTCTACTACTGTTACTAACTAACTACTTCAACATTATAATCAGGATTCATCTTCTTCTACTACTGTTACTAACTAACTACTTCAACATTGCACTGTACTACAAGATGAGACAGATAAGAAATGATTTGTAAGATCTGGTTACTCCACATAATCTCTACTACTGGCGCATTTTGACTTCTTGTGACGCAATTAATGTGCAGTATTCTATATTTATATATATATAATTTCTTTGCTTCTCTAACATCAAATATATATATATATATATTATATATTATATAATTCTATTTAACGGTTATCTGTCATTAAAATTATTGTTCAGAACTGAAAAAAGTTTATACAAACTGTAAACAAATAAAGAAAGATAATTTTTTAAGTATTTACTACTTTGTCTAAATTTTAAATTCTAAATCAACTTGATTGAATTTTTATGTAACAGCAGCAAATCCAACGTTTGAATACTTAATAGACATGAAGGATGGATTTCAACATTGCTGGTTCACGAAATTCAAAACCATTAATTTTTTTCTAGATACATGTTAAAGAAACTGAGTTCTTGCCGTAAACTCAAATTTTCTAATCTATATATCTCTGCAGCTATATAATGTAAATCTTTGATATTTCAAACTCTGATTATTTGATCTAAAAGACTTCACAGTTTGAAATATCTGAGGTCTACGACATTGGGTTGTAAGTATAAAGGGATTAGAAAATCAATTCCAATCTATCTATATAAAAATTTTCATTTTTATTATAAACACAAATTCACATAATATAGTTTTTCGTCCCACCCCTCCAGTGCTCCGTTTTACACATATTGATCATAAATAATATAATTTTGTTAGTTTTTTTATCCAATTTCCCATTTTTGTTTCCAATTCCCCATTTTTTATCCAATTCCCCATTTATATCCAATTCCCTGATCTCTCCAAAATATTATGTAAAGTATGTAACAATGCTCGTGGCGTGAAATGGAACTCTCTCTCTCTCAAAAACGAATATTATTTTAACATCTTCGGTCGTCGAAGTTTAAAAGTTTTTTTTCCTGACACTGAAGCAACTGATCAATCGTTTAAAATTCGAATTTTCAAATCATAAATATTTGCAGCCTTATTTGGTTGACCTTTTTTAATTTCTATTGTGAATTAAGTTCAAATTGGCAAAGTTTTAGGATCAGGTTGTATTTAGAAAATTAATGGTTGTAACGAGAAATCAGTTCCTTTAATTTGAATTGCAGGATGTAAATGTATAAATTGAATCGGACTGTAGAACGGGTATCTGATGAATCCGTATCTCCGGGTTCCCGTGGTTCTGGTACAGAGTGTGAACCTGATTATGAGAAGTGATGATGCTTGATACTGACAGACTAACTAACTGTGCAGAATCAATCCGTCCTAGATCTCAATTCCAGAATATTTGGCCAAACCTGGCTTAATATATGATGCTAGGGGGGGGGGGTGAAAAATAATAAATATAAATATATATTTTCTATCCTGAGATTATGGTACAAGATATAATATGAAACTGAGAATGAAGAACGGATAAAAGAAGAGAAGATGCTTGAGTAAGAACGGATTAAAAAGGAGTAGATGCTTGAGTAAGGATGTATAAAAGAAAAGAAGATTGTTGAGTAAGAACGTATAAAAGAAAAAGAAGATGATTGAGTAAGGGCGGATAATAGAAGAGTGCTTGAGTAAGAACGGATAAAAGAAAAGAAGATGCTTAAAGTAAGGACGGATGAAAGAAGAGAATATGCTTGAGTAAAGACGAATAGAGAAGAGGCTTGAGTAAGGACGATAAAAGAAAAGAAGATGCTTGAGTAAGGACGGATAAAAGAAGAGAATATGCTTCAGTAAGGACGGATAAAAGAAGAGAAGATGTTTGAGTAAGAACGGATAAACGAATAAAATATGCTTGAGTAAGAACAGATAAAAGAAGAGAAGACGCTTGAGTAAGGATAGATAAAAGAAGAGAATATGCTTGAGTAAAAGGACGTATAAAAGAATAGAAGATGCTTGAGTAAGAACGGATAAAAGAAGAGAATATGTTTGAGTAAGAACGGATACAAGAAAAGAAGATGCTTGAGTAAGGACGTATAAAAGAAAAGAAGATGCTTGAGTAAGGACGGATAAAAGAAGAGAATATGCTTCAGTAAGGACGGATAAAATTAGAGAAGATGTTTGAGTAAGACCGGATAAACGAATAAAATATGCTTGAGTAAGAACGGATAAAAGAAGAGAAGACGCTTGAGTAAGGATGGATAAAAAAGAGAATATGCTTGAGTAAGAACGGATAAAAGAAGAGAATATGTTTGAGTAAGAACGGATAAAAGAAAAGAATATGCTTGAGTAAGGATGGATAAAAGAAGAGAATATGCTTGAGTAAAAGGACGGACAAAAGAAGAGAAGATACTTGAGTAAGAACAGATAAAAGAAGAGAATATGTTTGAGTAAGAACGGATAAAAGAATAAAATATGCTTGAGTAAGAACGGATAAAAGAAGAGAAGATGCTTGAGTAAGGACGGATAAAAGAAAAGAAGATGCTTAAAGTAAAGACGGATAAAAGAAGATAATATGCTTGAGTAAGGACGGATAGAGAAGAGAAGATGTTTGCGTAAGAACGGATAAAAAAAGAGAAGATGCTTGAGTAAGGACGAAGAGAAAATATCTCCCGGAGATTCTGACAGTTTTCTGACATATTTCACATTGTCGGAATTTTATAACATGACAGAAGGCATTCCTTCACAAATTTCAATTCATATCATTTACATTTTAATTTACGTCTAGGCCTGAGAAACAAAGGTTGGTTCTACAAGAACTCCCCCATTCTCCCCTCCCTCTCAATATACATGGATTTCTGGTGTATACTGATCCTTCCGTATTTAGACTTCATGATGCTTTACCCACCTCGTCTCTCCTCCCTCTTCTTGAGTAGAAAATTACATTTAAACCATTGACGACAAGGAATGGTTTAAATCCCTGGGTGCAGCCCCTGGATTTACATTGAAATGTATTCATTGTGATTGTAAACGTAATTTAGAAAAGTTCCCCCCTGTCATTAGGTTAAATTCAGAAACTGATTGCGGAATTCAAAACCATTCATCCATTTATACATCCTTTCATCCTCTTCGTTTTATTTTTTATTTTTATTTTTCGGTCCTTTTAAAACTTTTAAATCCTTAGTTCCATATCTTTTTCTCCGATTTTCCATCCTGTTCTTCCTTTTCATTCTGCTCCTCCTCCTCCTGTTTCTCCTGCTCATTCTTTTCCTCATATTCCTCCTCCTGTTCCCGCTGTCCATGATGTTCCTGATGCTCCTCCGTGTATGCTGCTTCTCCTGTCCTACTCCTGCGTTTCTGCTCCTGCTCTTAATCCTTCTCATGCATATCTGTTTTTGCTTCTCTGCGTTTCTGCTGCTCATCCTGCTCCTTAGTTCTTACTGTTCCTGCTGCTCCTTTTGTTCTTCATGCTTCTGCTATTTATCCTGCTTCTGTTCTTTGTGTACTGCTTCTACGCCACTGATGTTCTTCTTGTCCTGATCCTCCGTTACTGCTGTTTTTCCTGTCTCCTGCGTTACTGCTGTTTCTCCTGTCCTGCTCCTGCGTTAATGCTGTTTCTCCTATCCTTCTCCTACGTTACTGCTGTTCCTCCTGTCCTGCTCCTACGTTACTACTGTTTCTCCTGGGTTCCAATGAAGCATCCAATATTCGGGTATTTACTTCCAATACAGAGACTATCTCAGGGTTAGGATCAATGAGGCGTGTAATCTTATGGTTTCTCTGTATCTATCTATCTAAAGGTCTAGCTCTGCTACAGTTTATCCTGCTGTATATATTTGCTCTTTTATAAGTTTGGTGTAGATAAGTTGAACAGCTGGAACCAAATTAGTCTCTTATCTTGATTAGGAACCACAAAGAGATTGGAAACCAACACTGTGGACAAAATACAATATATATATATATGGAGATTAGTTAGTTGTGCTTTTCATATCTTACGATGTACAAAACTACAAAAAGACATTTTTGTTTTGGAAACAACAATGATGAAGCAAAATATAAGAATTCACCTAAACTGATGACGCACAATGAGGACGCACATACATAAATCTTAAAATAATTCATTTATTTAGAAATAAAGGTTATAATTATTATTATTATTATTATTATTATTATTATTATTATTATTATTATTATTATTATTATTATTATTATTATTATTATTATTATTATTATTATTATTATTATTATTATTATTATTATTATTATTATTATTATTATTATTATTATATACTTTTTAAGAATTGTACATTTGCAAAAAGACGCCTGAGCAAAGTTTTCTCTCAAAACCAAGAAACCAAGTTCAGGAAGAGTTCCGGATATTTTCTGTTTGTCTGTCTGTCTATTTGTAAAGATGCCCGATAATAACTCGGTAGAACCATGGGAGTTATGTGGGTTGACTTTTCTATGGAAAACTTTTACTTGAATATCCGGAAATTCCTCATGAACGTGTTTTTTTTGGCTGAAAGATAAACCGGCCATTTATCCATTATTTTGAAATAGTGTCGCAAATGCATAGTTTTGAAGAAGTACCTGACGATTTTCAATTTTTTTGGAAGATTTTTATCAATCTCTTAACGTAATGAAAAAAAACACTTTATAAAAGTAAACGAATCGTATTCGTTAAGTATTTTGGTTTAGCGGGATTTCAAGGTTATGTAGAATGTAGAATTTATATGAAGCTGAGTAATCATTATTTCATGGTTATGTAGAATGTAGAATATATATGAAGCTGAGTAATCATTATTTTCATTTTCATGTATTAGGTTTACTGCAAGGTATAGGAGGCAACGCTAATTATCCTATGAATGAGTTTCACTTACATTTCAGTCAAATATGAAAGACTAGTGATTTACGCGAGGATCCTTTCATTCTTTTAAGCCCAAAATTATTTTACAGATGCAAGTTTCTGAAACAGAGTGTATAAATATTAACAGAGTTAGTAGATACTCTGGAATCTAGTGTGTTCTTTCAATAATCAAGCTGTAGAATTCAAAATATTAATTGTATGTGTGCATTGTACAAGATTTAAATATATACTTTTAATTTTTTCCGCTGTTGCTATGGAAACCAATCCATAGGGTATCCGACATAAAGTCAAGTAGCATTTGTCGCTATACTTTATTCGTCTATCTTCGTACTACTTTACTAAATCTTTTAAAAACCAACCGACTTTACCTATTTAAACATCTAATCGAATATAAAGTCTGACACCAGAGAGCCACCTTCATTTTTCCAGGTTGGTTCACTGAACTAGATATTGTATCTATACTACACAGTGTACAGTATATTTCCATATTATTTGCATGAAACCCCTCTTCATCTCAACAAATATTGACAGCAACCGATTTATAATCGTTCAGGGCTTCGGAGGAAACCTTGGACAATTAACTTGCATAAGACAAATTGGTAAAACCGCCAGAAATACAGAGCAAATTTTCAAAAAAGCTTAAGAAAAAATATTTGAAGAATGTGAGTTAGAACTGTTAAAGAGCTAGAGGCGCCGCTAGAAACGTCCTACGGGATCTACGGAATAACAAATTAGAAGGTTTGTGAAATTGTCTGGGTGAGGTTAAGTGCTCCAGGTCCCTGGTTTTCACACTCCCGGCCCTAGTTACGATCCTTGCACCTAATTCCTATGCTAATACGTCCGTCTTTATTACTTTAATAATACTGTTCATCCACAGACTGGTCCTCGTTATCCAATCCTATGGTTTAGAACAAAACGAACCTTCGTCCCACTCTAAAACTTTTGTTATAAATCAAATGACACTATAATATTTCTCCAAAACAGAAAAGGAATTGAGTTCTTGCAACACAGTAAAATTTTCGAATCTTTGCAACCTGATGGTGTTCAACTTTGATATTTCAGACTTAAACTATTTAATCTAACAGAATAATTCACAGTTTGAAATATCAAAGATCAACAACATTGGGTTTCAAAGACATAGGGATAAGAAAATTAGAGTTTGTAACAAGAATTCAGTTTTTGAGTTGAAATCTTAAAATCAATATCGACGATGATATTTAAAATTCCAAACTCCATGAAGAACATATACACAGGACAGGATTCTCCGACTAGAATGGATTATTCCAACTCATGTTCTCTAGATAGAATCAAACCCTACTCCAGGCTTGACCTCATCAATGAGAATTGGAAAAGAATGATTCAGAGAAACTATGAGTAGCAGGTTTAGACTTTCACTATGCATAGATACAAGCCAATATTTATACAGGCTGGGGGAGTCAGATTTAAATACTCATCTTCGGAGAAAAGTTAATTTTTTACATAAATTTGACAAAAACAAATAGTTTGTTCTAGATATTTTACTTTCAATACACTAGTTTTGATTTTATACAATTATACATTTGTACTTTACTTTTATGGCGCTTCGCATCCCTTTTTATAATATTACTTTTAGCTATTAACTGTATTATCAAACCACCATTTATTTCTTCATACATTATAACTAAAATAACGTAGATTTCCTGTGTTATATGAAGTTTAAACAAATTAGAACTTTTCATGGCTGTCTTCTTAAATTTCGACCTGCGAGGAATTAAAAAAAAAATAAGGGTTTAGCCAATGTTACGTTTATTGAATAATAAGACCGACAAACTAAAAAATGTTAAAAGAATATGACCTAAAACTCCAAATCCAACCTTTTAACATTGATCAACACATCCTAGAAAACTCGAAAATATTTTTTTACTCCATTCACTACTTTTATAAAAAGGAAGTGGGCGGTGGAAGGAGGGGGGAGGAGGATAATCGGTATAATAGATCACTCATGAAAGAGATAAATCATTTTGTATTTGCATATAAATACAGATCGTATAAAGGAATCTATAATTACAACAAACCAAAACTAAGAAAATATTTTTTTTTTATAAAGTCAGCATATTTTGAACATAAACATTGCAAACAGTCCCTTTAAGCTGAAGGGAGAGGATTCTAGTCCCTTTATGTCTGAAGGGAGAGGATTTTAGTCCCTTTAAGCTGAAGGGAGAGGATTCTAGTCCCTTTAAGCTAAAGGGAGAGGATTTTAGTCCCTTTAAACTGAAGGGAGAGGATTCTAGTCCCTTTAAGCTGAAGGGAGAGGATTCTAGTCCCTTTAAGCTGAAGGGAGAGGATGCTGATAGTTTCCTCTGCGGAATTGTTATTACAAGGAACCATATTAGAAGAATAGCTCTGGGAGAGGATTCACGAATTTATTTCAATTTCTTTTGAAAACATTGGTTTGCTGGAGGCACAGGATTATCTGGCGGAGTAATCTAAACCTACAACATTAAACCAACACTAGCTCCGTACACTACTAAACACTGGCGGAGTAATCTAAACCTACAATTTTAAACCAACACTAGCTCCGTACACTACTAAAAACTGGCGGAGTAATCTAAACCTACAATATTAAACCAACACTAGCTCCGTACACTAATAAACACTGGCGGAGTAATTTAAACCTACAATTTTAAACCAACACTAGCTCCGTACACTACTAAAAACTGGCGGAGTAATCTAAACCTACAATATTAAACCAACACCAGCTCCGTACACTACTAAACAATGGCGGAGTAATCTAAACCGGGACCTGGGGAGTGGGAGAGATTGAAAAGGATTTTTCCTTGGACCTTTGGAGGGAGTGGAATGGATCCCTCCTTGGACCTGAGGAAAGGGAGGGAGTTGAATCCCTCTCTTGACCTTGGGAAAACGAGGGAGTTTCTGAGTTAATGCCTATTGATATAATAATAGAATATATACCTACCCATGTTTAAGAATTGGTTTGATTTTGTTTGGTTTGGTTGTGTGCAGGTTGAGCTCCTTGCTCTTTTATTTGTTTAGATTCTCCACACTAGGTTTAGATGATAAGATTTGATGGATGGAACCATCTTCAATATATCCAATATATCCAATATATCCAATATCCAGACTAGAATTAATCTATATATCTGGTTTACTGAACTAGATCTTGTATCTATACTACACAGTGTACAGTATATTTCCAGGTTGGTTTACTGAACTAGATCTTGTATCTATATTCCTCCGTGTATGCTGCTTCTCCTGTCCTACTCCTGCGTTNAAATCCGCGAATTATTTTTGTTTTGTTTTACGATGTACACAAAGAGAACATGTTCACAATTAATTTAGGAGACGGGCGCGAAGCGCCCTCTAAGGCTAGTTATATTAAAAATAATAAATAGCAACAAATAAGATATTCACTATGATTTTAAAGCGATTCCTAAACATTAATCTTTTAGAGTTAACTATATTTATTGACGAATTTTCAAATAATTTTATTGATTTTTTTATAAGTGATATTTTTAACTTGGCCCGCAATAAACTTTCTATTTGGTCAAAATATTGTTGTCAATTGGTTCAGCCGTTCCGATGTTTGTTGGATACAAATCAACTAACAGGTCTTAATATACCTAAACTATAGAGCGCTTCACGCCCTCTTTTTTCGTTTTTTTTACAATTTATAATTTTATGAATTTTTATAAAGTGGGTTAATACAGTTAATACAGAAAAATTATAATTTAACTATTCTTCAGTAATTTATTTTTCTTCTGTTGACTGAAACTGATTCTGATAATTTTGAAGAAAAATTTGTTTATGTCGTAACAAGTATTTTTTGTTTAAATGTTGTTTTTAAGTCACATTTTATTTTATGTAAAACTCAAATTTTCGCGAACTTTATGTTCTAAACCTCACAGAGTAAAAATGGAAAAGTTAGTTTCACATGTTTTGAATATATATGGTATAACCTCTGTAGAGTAAAGTAGATGTTAATTCCACATTTTACTAAAAATATATTTCGGTCTGGGTTGACCCTCGTCAGTTCTAACGATGTAATAACCATCAAAATCGATAATAAAAAATGTTAAAAACCACAAAAAAATAAACCAACCAAATATATATGTCGGTCTGTGGTGACCCTCTTCACTTTTTTGTTTCTTTCATGCATGAAGGGACATAATAAATATCTTCATTTTAACCGGGCAAATTGTTCAACTTAAACCAGCAATTACAAAATTTTGAGCCTGATCGGTTCAGCCGTTTTGACGTTTTTTGGAAACAAATGAACAGACAGATAGACAAGAGAAAAATATTTATGTATGTGCTGTGCACAAGACTTTTTAAAAATTATTCGGAGAAAAATACAAAATTTGTCGATTTTAGCATTTTAAATGTTTATCCACCAAACCCCCATTAAATGACAAAATACTAGAATTTAAGGACAAAGTATAGGTTCGTGGAGAAAACACTTAACTATATGAAGTGTATGACTGTAAAGACGGGAGAAGATTATAAGGTTTGGGTTTATATAATCACCAGCACTCAATTTATGGGGGGCAGGTCAGCAACCAATTTTCAGACCTCATAAAAATCAAACTTATTTAGGCGGAGCATTAAACCCTCCTGGTTTAAGACAACCAGGATTAATTGATCCTGGGGAGCTGAACCCAACCTTTTATCCGAGATTTGTCCAAACTAGATTTGTTTCTGTAAACATTAATCTGGTAGGATTGTTTTATGTGTTTTATGTAACAATACCCAGTAATATATGAACTTGTGTGGACAGAAAATAGAGAGTACTACTTCGTCATGGCATGCTATTGTTTCAAGATGTAAATAAGAGAATGCCATTCCATGACGTTGCTGTCCAATCTACGTAAGTTTATATATCTAGGATAATCATGAATCGTACTTGGATAAAAATTATTACAAACACAGCCCGGTAAGAACCAGTGTTTCAAGTATTAGAGGCTTAGATTACCCAGGCTGGTACGCATAATTTGATGTAGATAGTTGTATTTTACGCACACATGAAGTGAGTTCTAGCCACACACTCAAATTTTCAATCTCTGTATCATTCCAAACCTTATAGTGTTAAACCTGTTATATTTCAAACTTATATTATTTCGCACAGAATTTATGATTTGAAATATCAAAAACTTACAAAATTGGGTTGTAAAAATATATGAATTAGAAATCAGAATTTTCGTCAAAAACTCATTTCCTTTCATTTATAGATACATTTGACGTACTATTCGAATTATGTCAATTATTCAAGTCCCTTTTATTTACTTTTCAACTAAAAATATTGATTTTTAATTAAAAATTTTAAACTTTTTGTAAATACATGGATGCAGATTGCAGAAGTTAATAAAAATGATTTGTAATATTGTAAGATTAGACAGTTTTCATTTTAATTTAAAAATAAATTAAACTAATAAATAATTATTAACTTCTCTTCATATTTTTAAACCCACAAAAGCACTCATTTAACAAAAATTGTCTCCATCTTGATTTTCTAAAATTTTCTAAAATCTTTATTTTGTAAATTCTAGAATATTTAAATGTGTTTCAGTATTTATTGCAATCTTGGATAGTTGTCCCTTCTTCTGAGAGTCTAGGCTGACAATACCTAAACCTAGATTCTTTATACTTGCAACAGTTTTCCTCTTCTTGAGATCTACTATCCGGAACATAGATATATCCGTCCCTCCAACCATTGCATGTTCTTTACCCAGATACTAAACAAAACATGAAAATAAAGACAAAATCAAGAATAAGCTTCTAGCGAACTCCTTGATCTATTCAGTAGCTTGGAAACACAGCTTTGCCGGGAAACTAAATTTTCCCTTTTAAAGTCAACCCACTCAATTTAGAATCTTTAACCCAGGCTAATATCATTCCTGTCGTTATATCGAGTTCCCCAATCAAAATTTGAGGAATGTTCTGAGGTATAATTGGACACAAACAAACAAAAAAAACAGAGATTACTACTTTATATAAATATAGACGATTTAACTGCTAAGTTTTGTATTTATCTCTAAGAATGTTTTCATCTCAAATTATTAAACTGCGTTATTGCTGATTTTCTTTTACATTTATGTTGATATCAATTTTGAAAGCAGAAATTTAGTGGAACGCTTAATCGTATGAGATAATATCTATTTCTATATTGAAAATTAATCTTGGCGATATTTACAAATTTAATTTAGTTCCTCCATGAGAACACGTTTCCAATTCAAGGTTTTAGAACAACAACTCTTTCATAAGTTTCAGATTCAGAACATCAATTATGGATATATTACCTGAACACATGACGTATATATCAGGATATATTACCTGAACACACGACGCATATATCAGGATATATGTATTACCTGAACACAGGACGCATATATCAGGTAATATGTATTACCTGAACACATGACGCATATATCAGGATATATGTATTACCTGAACACAAGACGTATATATCAGGATATATGTATTACCTGAACACAGGACGTATATATCAGGATATATGTATTACCAGAACACATGACGCGTATATCAGAATATATGAATTACCTGAACACAGGACGCAATTGTCAGGATATATTACCTGAACACAGGACGCATATATCAGGACATATGTATTACCTGAACACATGACGCGTATATCAGAATATATGAATTACCTGAACACAGGACGCATATATCAGGATATATTACCTGAACACAGGACGCATATGAGTTCTGTCTTTCAGGTTCAATATCTGCAATGATTGCTCCACTAGAGTAATCTATCTGGAGAAGTTGATGTTCTCCTCTCCAGGATCCTGCAAGGATATCTCGACCCTTTCTTTCCATATCCAACCCTTCTCCAGCTATGAAGGGTCCCTGGGTAAAAAGTGCTTTCAGGGACCCAGAGTAAAATGTTAGTATAAATTTATTGTTATACGTCCTGCATGAGGCATTTTAAATTTAGGTTATTTGACATTCAGTCAAAATTATTTTGTTATTATTTATTTCTTGATAAATATAGAAACATACAATAGGAATATTTTCGGTCTAAATTATCGTTGAAAATACAGAAAACAATTATTCTTTGATTCCTATTTCATTCTAAGACTTAACGAAAAATTTAACAGAGTTCTCTTTTGTAAGACGAGGTTTCGTGAATAACCATAGTATGATGTATTTGAGAGAGAGGGCTTAGCAAAACTCATCCTGAAGTAAGTGAAATTATGAAAAATATTTATTAGAAAAAACCGAGAAAATTCTGTTTAGTCTTCAGTTCATAAAAAAGTATAGTTTGAGCTCAACATTTTGTCCCATTCTAAACAATCAAAAGAAGGAACTGATGTATTCTTTGACAAGAAGACTGTAACTCTTCTGGGATTCTGGGATAGAAAAGATATATCTTGTAAACTTTTTGACTCAGTAAAGGAGAAGAAAGTAGCTCAGGAATCGTTGGTAATGAGAAAATTGTTTTGAGTGTTATGAAAAAGAGGATGTCGAGTAAATTGAAACATTTTAAAACAGATTTTGAAATTCCCTTCCAGGGATTTCCAGGGGGTTTATTCTTACCTCAATCCTTCTTACACTGTGTGGTCTTCGTGCATCCCAGATATGTATTTCTCCATCCCAACCTCCGGAGATAAACTCCTGTGGGTTCAGAGGATGGTTCACGATGGAGAACACCTTGCTAGCGTGTCCGTCACACAGGTTCGGGTTCTGACTCCGCTTGAGGATTGAAGCTAGTTTCTGTGTCTCTAGGTCGTATAGTTTTATCTCTCCGTTCCCTTTCCCAACGCTTACTTAAATAGAGAGAATTCAAAACTTTGTAATTTTTCTGATTTTTAAAACCAATATGTTGGAAAAAGCCCCAAAGAAAATAAACAAGTTCTATACTTCAGGGGACATTAAATCCAGAACTAACACTTGGCCCATTTCTAACACTGAGTGTTAGAAATGGGCATAAATTGGAAGACTTGAAATAAATACTTGAAAATTGACATTTATATGAATTCCAGTAATTGTCTCAAAACCAGGATATGTTCCGAAAACGCGACATGAGCTGAACTCCGGTAATTGTCTCAAAACCAGAATATGTTCCGAAAACGCGACATGAGCTGAAACCTGGTAATTGTCTCAAAACCAGGATATGTTTCGAAAACGCGACATGAGCTGAAATCCGGTAATTGTTTCAAAATAGGGATATGTTCGAAAATGAAATCAAGAATCATCAAAAACTAATTCTCACACCTTATTATTAGTTTAAAATTGAAATTTATTGTTTCAATATATAGTTTTAGCCATTTTTTATAAATATATGGTGTAATTTAGTTCTACTCGTCTTGATATATACTTTGCAGATTTGGCCCATTTCTAACACTTTTCTAAATGGGCCAAGTTTTAGTTTTGGAACTAATATCCCCTGTACTTTCATGTAACATAGTTCATTATTTGTATTCCTTAATCTTTGAAAGTGTTCTTTGAAGCTCCATAAGTTTAAATAATTTTTAAAATGTTCTTTAAATTTTACCGAAGTTTATATGAGGGTTAAAGCTCAGGCAGAGCAGTTCTCCGCTATCCCGGATACAAGAGACAAGGTTCCCTGTATCCAGGTTCCAAATCCTGTAGAAAATTCAGAGATGAAATAAATGACAAAGGATATTCTTGATTTTAATGGAAAAGTACGAGTATAAGGCTAAATCTTCTTATGGTATAAGTACAGCCAAAGAACATCATATTTCGTTTTTTTGTAATAATCCGAGTATGACAAAGACAATGTATTTAATTGTGATATTTTTATTTCAAGAAGTTCCATGAAAAATCTATTTATTAAATGTTGCTTTATAGAATTGTTAAGATTTCTCCTACCTTAGATCTCCTGATGCATATGTTGCCCCGATAATATTTCTCCAGTCAGGTCCTGGTTTAGTTCGGATACAAGTTACAGGAAGAGAATCTCTAGGAGTTCAACTCTACTTACAGATTGGCCGTTTTATTTACACAGTTTTTCAGCTCAAGTTTAAGTTGAAACATTAATTTGAAATTATTGTAGTGTAAATTATTTGTAATGATTAATGAGAGTCCCGGTATAACTTGACTAATTTGACTTAAAGGAAAAAGAAAGTTAAAAAAGGACTAAACAATTCCGTACAGCCATCTCTCATTCTTTGTGGTTAAACCTGCAGTATACCAGCTAAAATGCATTTAATTTGTTTAGGAATAATTAATTTGATAAATAAATTGGGGTTTTATCTCAGTAGAGATGCATTCCTGGCAGTTTCTTGACTAGCTAGAACAGAAATGATCTGGTTTGAGGGAGGATTTATCACTTTTATTGATCCATCCATCAATCCAACACACACATCAGATCCGTCCTCTGTATACCTAGTGAAATCTTTATTTTTTATTTATCCCGGCAGAAAGTAAAATAGGAATATTATACCTCAGACTGAATATCTCGTTTCCACAGTCTACTGCAGTGAGAACCCTGATATTACCGTCTAGGACGGGTCCGATGGAATCATGTACTCCGTGTCCGTAGAAGGAACGAGAGGAGCGAGAGGTTCGAGAACCATTACTGCTGCTTCTACTGGACGGTCTACTGCAAAAAAAAATACTGAAGACGACTTTCAGGTTTACATTTTTTTGGCAGACATTATACAGGGTTAGCTACAAAGGATGACACTTCATGGGCGACTGTACAGCATTTATTCATTTTGTATTTTGCAGTTGTACACTACAGTGAATCCCAGATATATGAATACATTGCAAGAAATTTTTTTAATCTTGTATTCTCAACAATTTAAGATCAAATGCCGCGGAAAAACGAGTTTACTATGTCAATTAAAGTCCTGCATATTTTAGGGCTATTAATTTACCTTAAATTAAAAATACAAAGCAGTTTCTTAAGAATTATCACAAAAAAATCTTATGACTCTTATTTGGATATATTTTAATAACCGTATTCAACCCTTTGAAGCTGCGAAGATTGCAGCAGCTTTTTTTTTTTGGCAGATCAATGATGAAGCATAACAGCCGTCATAAATAAATAAATTTCAAGACGACATTTCATGCGCTCTTGCTATGTATTCTTATATATGGCTGTAGTTTTCCAAATCTTTTTAAATATTTATTATTAAAAAACTGTAGCTATAAGGCAGAAACCCAAACTCAAGCTTTGATGAACAATACATTAAAATCGTATTCTGCATGAGGTTAAAGAAACCACCAAACTTCATTGTAACTTCAAGAAGAACAACTGAGCATTTGTAGGATTTTAATAAAAAAAAAAAACAGATTTTTGATGCTTCATTTAGTGCATTTCTATAATGAACCTTACTATTAGCTAGTTATAAAAGGTTACAACAGTTATATATCTGAAATTGTTGAGGCCACATTTTACAAAGATTCATCAATAAGAAATTTCAGAAATCCAAAGAGGCATTAAAATGAACGAAAAAGGCCATTATCCTGCAAGTATATCTTAGGAGGAATTTCTTGGTTATATAGATAAATTCTTTTGATTGATTGATAAAGTAACGTTTATTTCTATGTGCATCTACAGGCGAGCAACAAATAATGTTTTTTTTTCACTTGAGATCTTTTCCGAGATAAATTTTCGCGAAGACGACATTGTTTGTCAGCTTATTGTCTTGGTTTCAATCAAATGAATTTTGAATTTTGAATTATATATATCTATACCTTGAAATAACACTTTGCATGTTTCTCCTGCTAGGCACTGGACTTCTAAGCTGATTTATCGGAGAACCTAGCGAATTCTTTCTAACTCTAGGAGCAGGATCAGATCCCCTGATCTCCGAGCCAACTGCGGATCCGCGTCTGGAGACAGGTTGAACATTTAACCCGGAGTCAGTTCCCATGATGGAGCCGGAGTTTAAACCTGAAGTTGAATTAGATAGATAGTGTTTTTATTTCTTATTGCATGATATAAATTAACAGGATAGATATTCATTTCAAATTTAAAATATTGAAAATCATCATTAAGATAGTGATACGTTAAATATAAAAAGTACTGTTTTTTCTCCAATATTATAAGGATTATAAAGGAATCCATGAAAAACCTTGAATATTTTAGAAAAAAATTAGTATCATGAAATCCTATCGCTCCTCCTCGTAAAGCTGATAAACTGTTTACTGGGAACAAGGGGTAAATTATTGATCTAACATATAACATACAAACTTCCCCCAATGCCTGGTTTAGCTGTAATACATGAAATACACTCGATCTAAAAAAACTGTAGATCATTTTTAATTACAGCATATTCTCTTCTCTATTTCTCTTGATCTGTGAGTATCTTAATTTTGGTCCTATATCTAGACTCTTGGTGTTTAGAAGATTTCATGATCGATAAACTTATAGAGGAACAGCGTGAACAAATGTCGTCTTAGATATTCTTAGATTAATCATGGTTTAAGATTTTTTTTAGAGAAAGGTCCATGTTTCCTCCTTTCAAACTTTATCAATCCTTATTTAATGAAACAACATGTATTTTACCGTTGCACTATAGAAGGACAAGGCATATCCAGGATATATTCAGTTGCTAAAAAGTCTGTAATTTTTGTCTTTACCAGAGATTAGAAAGTACAGAGATTTATCAGTCTGTGGATTTTACCCTTAATTACAAGATTTTATAAGAATTCGTAGGCCCAATGGTTTAAATAGTGAAAAAATAAATGGGTTAAATTCATTAGTTAAAGAATGAATATAGATACAGAGCGTCCCGTATCATATTAGATTATCTCCAATCTTTAACGCCAAAATACGCACATAATACTCGAAAAATCTAGCATTCTCTGCAAAACAAAAATCTATTAGTCTTATCTAATTTTTCAAAATGATTCATTGTTTTTAAATATTCAGATTTGTCCCCCAAATCGTATTTTAGAACCATTGACGCGGTCTAATTTGATGTGGGACACCCTGTACTAGATACTAGGAATTTAATGACGACATAAAAGTCGTCTTTAATCTAAGATTTAACATAAAAAAAATTAAACTTAAATTTTAAAATGTGGTTTGCCTTTTGGTTCCTTTAAAATCGATCTCAATAAATATGTCTTAATTTAAAGTAATCTAAAAAATCAAAATGTGCTAAATATTAATAATTACTCCGTAAACTTTAACGATACGAGGAAGATATAATGCGTCTTGGAAAAAGGTGTCAACATGGTCATTCAATAACAAACAGGTTTACCCACAAGGATGAGATTTCAGAGACGACTGTATGAAAGTTATACTGCCTGCTTCCTGATATTCATGATTCCCTGCAGTCATTTAAGGACTATAACATTCAAGGCACAAGAGTTATAAATTTAAACTGGGGATGTATTTAGAGAGTTGCATCTTTGGAACATCTGTGAAAATCTGTGATCAGTAATCATCATATTCACATCAATAATTTACCGACTTCTCATGTTTACTGGAACACCCTCAGAGGCGTAATCAGGGGGGGCCCCCCTGGACCAGTGAAATCTATTGATTTCAGGGGGTTTTCAGGCCCCAACGGGTGCTGAGCCCCCCCCCCCCCTGGAAAGAGAAAAAAATTTAAGCCCCCCTGGACAAATTTCTGAATATGCCCCTGAACACCCTGTGCGTATTTGTGTGTCCAGTGGGAGGATGGAGTTATGGATAAGACATACAGAGTGTTACAATAAACATGGGAATCAAGTAACGACTTCTTTATCGTCTTTGTTCTACGTGGCATTAAACGTGAACACAATTTTATAAATAGTATTACAGTTAAAACAACTACCTTTTTTAGTTCTGGGAATTCCAAAATGTGTTTTACCTTCTTTGGACCTTCATTAATGACGAGGATATTAAAATACATGTCCGGATTCCGTTTTATTAAACAGCAACAATTTTTTTCAAGTGTTTAATATCTCCGTCAATTTTGAAGATACAAATAAGGCAGACCACCCTTTGGAATGGTCATATAACATACAATCTTCATTTATCAACTATCAGAAATCAAAGAAGAAAGTCTTCTCTTAATTCCTAAGTTAATTGGAACACCCTGTACTGTAAACATTTATATAAACATGTATACAGCTTTTTATAAAAAGGAAACATTTAGGATAAAATGACAAAGAGGCTTTCATGATTTGGTTAAAGAATTAGAGAGTCTTATTCCTTTTAAACCTAAATTAATTAATAATCAAAAACTCTCAAAACCTGAAATCGACTTAATTCAAATATATTTGGATTAAAAATAATTGGTTCTTAATACGCGCATTCTTTGTTTTTAAACATTTATTCAAAACATCATTAAAAGTAATAATGAAATGTGCAAAGCTTTGTAAATTTTCGTCATAACTCGGCTCTCTCCGCAACATGAGGATTAAATTTAATCCTAACATAGTCCGTCTCTCTCTCCCTACTCCTCCTCTTCATGGAGCCGAAGTTACTACTGGTTGGGAACTGAAGATCTGCGTACATAGTCGGAGTTCCTCGAACCTTCTTTGGTTGAATCAATTCTTCTCTTCTCGGGGAAGAGTAAAGATAGGACGGAGTAGATGTGCAGAACGGAGCAGGAACGGGTCGTCCCACCCCAGCATGACCCTTGTATGTCACTTCCTGCCCTGAAATAAAAACAATGATGAATGTTTGATCTGTCACAAGTTCCCATCTAAACCCGAAATCCTAATCTCGAGTATAGACTGAACGGAAATCATCCAAAACCTAGATGGATAAATAATCGTTTCTTGGCTAGATTTTATATTTAAATAGAGAAATTTTATTTTCAACCATCACGTTTTAACAACACCCAGTCCAAAACAAATAATTCTAATTTTTACAGCTTCATATAAACAATCAAATTTTAATGTTTTATCTCGGGTTTTCAGGACCAATACAAACAGGACAAGTCGGATAGTTTGTAGGGAGAGGGAGGNTCCTCAACCCATTCTACTCATCCCTCTTCTTTACTCATCCTATCCTATATCTTCAACACCCATCCTAGTCATCCCTCATCAATACTCATCCTATCCTTCTCAACCCATTCTACTCATCCCTCTTCTTTACTCATCCTATCCTATATCTTCAACACCCATCCTAGTCATCCCTCATCAATACTCATCCTATCCTCCTCAACCCATTCTACTCATCCCTCTTCTTTACTCATCCTATCCTATATCTTCAACACCCATCCTAGTCATCCCTCATCAATACTCATCCTATCCTTCTCAACCCATTCTACTCATCCCTCTTCTTTACTCATCCTATCCTATATCTTCAACACCCATCCTAGTCATCCCTCATCAATACTCATTCGATCCTCATAAACCCATCCTACTCATCCCTCTACTATACTCATCCTATCCTCCTCAACCCAATCCTACTTATCACTCTTCTTTTCTCATCCTATTCTCTTTAACCCATTCTACTTATATCTCTTCTATACTCATGTATCCTCTCAGCTTTTCAACCCAATCCTACTCAATCATAGAGACATCTCTCATTAGAAATCCTTGCACTTCTCCCTTTTAGTATTATACCCTGTATAAATACACGGTACATACATTATCATACTTTATCAAGGTCTATCGTCAACCCTCCCTCCCCTCTCTCTCCATTTAATAAAAACAACCACGCCCCTCCCAACTTTTCTATTCACAGCTAATTGGTGGAGTAAATATATTTTCTATACTGAAGGAAGGGTGTTTCCTATCCAGGCAAACTTCATGCAATTATTCAAAAGGAAAACAGCAACGATAGGATTAAATGACGACAGCAAAACTATTCGCACGGAGTAATAACAATATTTTAGCAACAACTGTTTTAATGACATTTTTCAACACAACATGCAATATGCAACAATTTTCTTTTCTTAAAGTTGGAATGAAAACACGCATCTGAATGCTATTCGATGCTATTCAAATATTAAGATGTTTTGGCTTAAAACGTATGTAATTGTTAAAAAAAAAACTCTAAATCTCAATTATTAAGTAATTACTATGTATATTTGCATATTTTGGATTGCGGTTTGTGCGTAAAATGACGCAAAATGTGTGTGTTTGTATGCCGTAAAATGACGCAAAATGTGTGTGTTTGTATGCCGTAAAATGACGCAAAATGTGTGTGTTTGTATGCCGTAAAATGACGCAAAATTTGTGTGTTTGTATGCCGTAAAATGAAAGAATCTTATGTTCCACGTTCCTTTAAGGAACATCATTTTTGAGCAGTTTCAAAGGTTCAGCAGTATTTGTCATTTTAAAAACTAGACTATACTACGTGCATTTTCAAATATTTGAAACAAGACGACGTTATAATTTAGAAATAAAAAAGTTAAACTCTACTTTTAAATTAAATTTAAAAAACAGTCCGGATATACTTCTGCAGATTCCTGTCCTATTAATGCGCTGCTATTTTTCCTCTTAATTAAAATTTAATAATTTTATTCTACGCTAGGTAAATAAAATGCCAAAATGAAATAAACTTTTATCGTTAATTGGATTGGAACTTTTGAATGAAAAGGCGCCTTAAAAGCATTGGATCAATTTTTAAGACTGGGTTAACTTTAACGTGTCGGAACGCCATGGACTTTGATCTGACATTACTTTGTCAATTATACTATTATGATGCTCTAGACATGAAAAATGTTTAACCGTCAAAAACTTGTTTCTAACATTGGTATAATAGGAGTAATTGGAAACATGCTCATAGAGTTTTACATGAGAGCTGGCAACCTTTAAAAATCACTGTGAGTGGAAAGGAAACCTTTACTTAAGTGATTTAAGCGAAAAACTGAAGGGAAATCTAGAAGAAATTAACTTAATTTGTCGTGGAACAAAAGATGCAGATTAGTCATTTCTAAATGGATTAACCGTTCAAAAGTTACGAACTCTTCATTTTTAAGCTTTTCTTTCAATCTGAGGCAAGCAATTTTCATTCATCAATATATATATAACGATAAACATAATTGAGATTTAACATCATTTTTATATCTTTTTAAAAAAACAATTTTTAAGAATAATTCTGATGAGACAATTAATTTACCAATATTCTCAAATTCTCTCCAAGTAAAAAATAAACTAAGATAGTCTTCGAGAGAAAAAGAATCATTCAAATACAGTAAGAACCAGAAAACTCTAGAATAGGATGTCGAACTTTAGACTCAAGTTATGACTAGTCCAATGAAAATGAGATACAGCAATTGTGAAGAAGTAAACAGACCCATTTAGCTTAAAATATGTGTAATAAGGTACTAGTGAAACTTTTTGCTTTATAACAACGTCAAATACATTTAAGGATTCCTATTCATCAGTCTTCTGGTTCTCTCTGTAGAAAGAAAAATAAACATTTCGAATATAATAATATTAACAATTAATTAATAATATTAAATTGTAAAATTGATAATTTTTGTTATATTATTCATATCTGTTTTTATGAGAATAAATGAATGGGAGATTACATGCATATATTTTATACCTAGTCAGTACCTAATCCGTTGTTTGTAGAGAAACCTTGATTATTGTTGGACGGGATTATCTCTAGATGATCCACACTTCTCTCGTCATCTTCAATCCTTCTCTCTATCCTGATATCCTGAGGTTGGAAGGTTCCTGTATCCTTGAAGCAGCAGGATCTATGCTTCCTACTACAAACTATACAGACCAGGAGAAAGGAGATGAGAACCAGACAACTCACTGCTATACCAATCACTGCTCCCATGGATATAGGATCCGTTACAGTAAGTTTAACTCCGTTTCTCAATTCTCCTCGCTCATTCTCAGCCACAAGATAATACGTTCTTGCATCTTCAGATGTCACAGGGTTAAAGGTTATAGTACTAGTATAACAATCCTTGCGCTCTGAAGGTTTAAGATCAGCGACAGATATTCTTCCCCTGGTTCCTCCTTGCTCCAGTTGTACACTCCCCCACTCCCATCTAACCCTACTAGGAGGAGGATCGGAACAGAAACCAATCTTCATCTCCGCGTTCTCCTTCAACCTGGCCTGATGAAGACTCCGTAGCTCAGGCTCTAGACCGGAGTAAAGGAGAGGTTTCCCTGAAACTCCAACCCTGAGAACCGGACTCTGTTCTTGTCTCCTGTCTCCCTTTATAGTATTATGAGCTAAACATCTCCATAACCCTTCGTGTTCGTAGGTTACATTTTCAATAACTATTTCTCTTCCTGCTCCGAGTTTAACAGCCATTGTTTCACTCCCACGCTCATCAACTTTTTGCATCCATTCATAATCCGGAGCAGGAAACCCTTCTGCTTCACAGTTAAATACGTGCCTTGCTCCGACTTCAAGATCAACAAAGTCAGCAGGTTTGGTAATCACGTTCCTAGGGGGAAACCGAACCTCAATGTTTGCTGAAATTTCGTCGCTGGCCCCAAGATCGTTCCTAGCGAGGCAAATATAAGATCCACTATCGGATAACCGAACCGGGTCAAACTTTAGCTTGTCTTCAATTCTAAATATCGAGGATTGTCCAAGTTTTCTCCAGACTATATCAGGTTTTGGATTCCCGTCCGCAATACACATGAGGACAACCGTATCAACTCCGTCCTCAACCTCTATAGAGTCCGGAGATCTCTCCAATCTGATACTAGGAGGATACTGGATATCTAGGAGAACACTTTGCTCCCGAACCTTCCTTGTCAAAGCTTCATGATGCACTGTACACCTCACAACCTTCCCGTTATCCTCCCTTCTAAACGTATACTCCAAGGTACTGATAACCGTCCATCGTTTACTAGATCCAAGCTCCGTCTCGTTTCTCTGGTTAGAGGAAACCTCCAGGTTATCCAAGTACCAGATAATCAGAGGAGCAGGGTTCCCACCTCGAGATTCACATTTCAAGGTTTCTTGTTTCCCAGACTCAACTGATACTTTTTGTAGTGAGATCATTTCCTCTCCTTTAAATATCTTCGGATCACTCGGAGGCTGTCTCACCACGAGCTTCGAGGTCGGACTGCTGAGTCCATCCCCGGCCTCGTAGGAGGACCTCGTCACCTGACACTCCCAGTCCCCGTCATCGTAAACAATGTTAGCTCGGAGTATACGGAGGGAACAGTCTCCTGCTTCACGGGTTCCAGACCATTCGTACTTTCCGTTCTAAAGAAGAAGACGTTAAGAATGTTTCATTTGATAAGACGAATTTATTGCAAACCTGGATAAGAACTGGAAGCCCATCATGTTGCCAGATACATTCAGAGTTCCGATTCTTCTCCGCAACCACACAATCTAGAACCACCGTTCCTCCGGGGTTCACCTCGGTATACTAATAAACCTTATCTTTCATCCAAAATGAAAATATTTAATTGATTTAATGCATTTTTATTGATCTGAGACCCTTTAGGAAGTACGACCCCCCCCCCCTCCCTCTGCCCCCAATTTTAAAAATAGATAATTTTCTCTTTTATGGGTATTGTTCCAAGCGGACAGGATGTGGGTGAAGATAGCTTAGATGCCAGATAAGGTCTTTCCTGTGGTTCTTGTTTAAAGAACTGTTTAGCGGATATTCTAGGAACAAGGAGGATTCCAATGATATGACAAATTCTCAATAAATTTTTCCTGATTTTTAAACTTTTCATTTCGATCCTTCCTCTTCCGGTTTATTCATCTCATTCATCTCTCCAACTACAACTCATCGTTTCCTCTTCTCCATTCAATATCACATCTACACAGCTAGCTTAGCAGCTAAACAGCTAGCTTAGCAGCTAAACAGCTAGCTTAGCAGCTAACAGGCTAGCTTGGCAGCTGCACATAATTTAGCTAGGCAGCTGCACATAGTTTAGCTAGGCAGCTACACAGATTAGCCGCTACACAGCTTAGCTGCTATACATCTAAGCAGCAGCACAGCTTTGCAGCTTCACACAAGTTAGAAACTACACAACGTAAGCAGCCAATGTACAGCCGAGCAGCTTCGCAGTTAAACAGCTACAGAGCTTATTGTAATCTCAGACCGTGTTTCAGCTACTACAGTCTACAAAGTTTCACAGATTACATGTCGCTACATCTCTACAGAACGGCAGCCTGAAACAAAGTAATAACATCTTTAAAGAGAAATTTTATTGGTGGTTATAAAATGGGCTCAATTAGTATATTACTCAACTAGTTGAGTAAATGTAAACTAACTCTCCCTTTCCTTGAATTACATAATTAAACATAGTTAGCATATTTAAACGGAAGTTAGATCAGAGCTCTAAACATGAAAACTTCCGCAAGTCTCGAACTACAGATATATATTCAGGAGAGTAAAAGTGAAAATTATGACCTATTGACTCCATACGTTCTAATAATAGGTGCGCGGTAGGAAATGATTTCTTAATTATGTTAAAGAATTCTATATATAGGTATTAGGTTCATTAGACAGATCTAATTCTTTATTTCAGTCTAAAGATATGTAATGAATCTTCTCACTTCTCCTCTCCCTCCCTCTCTTTTCTTCCTTCTCCTCCCTTACATAACATCCTCCTCCTTCCTCACTTAACCTTCTCTCCCTCCCTCTCTTATCTTCCTTCTCCTCCCTCACATAACATCCTCCTCCTTCCTAACTTAACCTTCTCTACCTCCCTCTCTTATCTTCCTTCTCCTCCCTCACATGACACCCTCCTCCTTCCTAACTTAACCTTCTCTCCCTCTCTCTCTTATCTTCCTTCTCCTCCCTCACATAACATCCTCCTCCTTCCTCACTTAACCTTCTCTACCTTCCTTCTCTTATCTTTCTTCTCCTCCCTCACATAACATCCTCCTCCTTCCTCACTTATTTTTCTCTCCCTCCCATTTTTATCTTCTTTCTCCTTTCTCACATAACATCCTTCTCCTTCCATACTTAACCTTCTTTTCCTTTTCCTCCCTCACATAACATCCTCCTCCTTCCTCACTTAACCTTCTCTTTCTCTATATTCTGTCCCACAACCTCTTCTTTTCTCTAGTTAACTGTTATGTATGTGAGAATCGTGATCTAGTTCACATTGGTTCTATTTGTTTAGATGCTTGCTAAACTTTTCTCCGAGCTCGAAATCTTTCCTATTCAAGCTGCGCTTAAGTCCGGGATTTTGATTTTAAATTCGGAATCTTGGTTTTANAGTGTAAACAGATTATATGGTTTGAAATATCAAGGGTGAATGAATTGAGTTGCAAAGATATAGGGATTAGAAAAGTAGAGTTTGTGGCAAGGATTAAATTCCTTTCATTGCCAAGTATATGTTTGATTGAAGGAGTATATTTCGACCTTGTTCTTGCTCTTGACATTTAGTTCTATAAATTTAATGTTTAGAGTGCTAATAAGGAGATTTTAGAAAATTCAAAAATTACACCGGAAAATTTTAAAAAGACAATATTTTTGACAGAAATAAACATACAATACTTTTTTTCTACCATTTTTAAGGGATTTTCTAATGTAGCAGTCTTTCTTGGTGGTCTAAAATTATAAACTTGATTCAATGCAGAAGACCAAATTAATCTGAAGATGGTTAGAATAAACTGTTTTTTTAAACGTCTTTAAAGTCTTTTCTGGTAATCAGTAAATTTAAGGTCTGTGGTTCAAATAATAAACAAAATGACGCTACTCTAGATATCTTTAAAGACCCACGGGCCTTTAAACCTGTACTCTACCCTTTGTCATACGGAAGAGACAGAAGTTTGAAAATTTCTTATACATATAAAGTAAGATTATTAAAAGGTCTATAAATCTTTGCATAAATAATAATGTATAAGATACCTATAGCAGGGGGTGAGGTTTGATGGATAACTGATGGTCTACTAAAGGAAGGTCCGGGGTTTGCAGTATCTTGATCACAAAGGTTTCCTGTCCCTTATCTAATATGATAACTTCACCCCCCCTAATCTAAACTTGTTTCTGCCACCCTAACTAGTTATCAAACCAATGATCGACTGTCATATATAATTAAGGTTGGATCTTGTGGCTAGCTCTCTACACAACTGAGCTCAGATATAATCTGCAGTTGTGTTTATACATTGAGAAACTTCCGCCGTTACGCGGACTGAACTAAACCTATACGGTGTTAGACACACGGGGACACAAGCTCCAAGAGATACTGGAGATATAGGGACACAGGCTCCCGAAGATACTGGAGATATAGGGACACACGTTTCAGGAGAAACTGGAGATATAGGTACACAAGCTCCGGGAGATACTGGAGATATAGGGACACAGGCTCCCGAAGATACTGGAGATATAGGGACACACGTTTCAGGAGATACTGGAGATATAGGTATACAAGCTCCAGGAGATACTGAAGATATAGGGACACAAGCTCCAGGAGATACTGGAGATATAGGGACACTAGCTCCAGGAGATACTGGAGATATAGGGACACAAGCTCCAGGAGATACTGGAGATATAGGGACACTAGCTCCAGGAGATACTGGAGATATAGGGACACAAGCTCCAGGAGATACTGGAGAAATAGGCACACATGCTCCAGGAGATACTAGAGATATAGGAACACAAGCTCCAGGAGATACTGAAGATATAGGGACACAAGCTCTAGAAGATACTGGAGATATAGGGACAAAAGTTCGAGGAGATACTGTAGGTATAGGGACACAAGCTCCAGGAGATACTGAAGATATAGGGAGCCAAGCTCCAGAAGATACTGGAGATATAGGGACACAAGCTCCAGGAGATACTGGAGATATAGGGACACTAGCTCCAGGAGATACTGGAGATATAGGGACACAAGCTCCAGGAGATACTGGAGATATAGGGACACAAGCTCCAGGAGATACTGGAGATATAGGGACACAAGCTCCAGGAGTTAGAGCCACGATACATTCTTTCAACAATTATCATATTTAGTTTATACATAATGAACGATCTTGTCAGGGTTAAACAAAATTTCATTGGCATTATTTTTTTTTATTACTTTTGACAAAAAAAGTTAACATAAATTTGCTTATATAAGTTTAGATACATGGTACGAGTTTAAATATATTCCTATATATAAACTCCTTCCCTTCTACATCCCTGTACTGTGGTAAAGTGAAAGATTAATAATTTCCACTTTAATATAATTCAACAAAGAAAGGAAAATTGGAACTTTGCCAGTTTTTTTTTCAAAATTTTATGAAACTAAACGAATGAATCCGTTTAAATGTAAATATCCCCCGTATTGTTATTAAAGAATGTAGGTAAAAATGCGTGTTGGTATTGAATATATTTGAAAAAGGGGAATAAATCCCCTGTAGAAGGGGGTTTATATCTAGAAAGGAGAAGGTGCCGGCTCCTGTAGGAGCTGCAGGGCGGAGCAGGAGAAAGCAGTTCTAACCCAGCACTCCTAACTGACAACATGGAGAAGATTGAGACATTTTGGCAGAATCTTTTTAAGAAAAAGAAGAAGAAAGATAATAAGAAGGATCGAGGAGAGAACAAGGAGAACGAACCTGAGAGAATAGAACTAACTCAGCAGGTTCCGGAGAAGGTTGTGGTTAAACAACATCAGATAACTCAATATCAAGGTATACCCTGGACACTGGAAGGGACTGTCAACTTGTAGGTTTTTAGTGAGCCTTCATTTAAAGAGTGCCATTCATGATTATCACCAGTTCCCTTTTTAGCTAGAAACCAACCTGTGCATTTCTTTAGCAAAGAAGATAAAAATGTGGCGGACAATTGGATTGACAAATAAGACGAAATCTTTATTATCAGATACAGGGTTACCAACCAAGGATAAAACTTCAAAGACGGTTGAACAAATTTTATTCTTTCTTATTTCTTCGACTCAAGGTTCGCTGGAGATATAAACTTATTTTATTATTTGTCTCCTTCATCATTTATTAGATTCAAAAGGTTGAATGTCATGCAGGACATTAAATTTAAATATAATATCGCGATATTTAGAAACTTTCGGGTTGTCCTTAAAGAGATTGTATAAGCGTAAATTTTAGTGACCCTCCATGTAAAAATTCCAATGTCCGATTCACAACAGTACCCTTGAAACTTTTGTGGAAGTGGAAGATACTGTCGTTTTTCTAGGATTAAAAGTGGTTAGTTCTGATAATTCCTATCTGTGTTTCCTGCAGTGACTTTTGTAGAGAAATCACAATTGAAAATAATCTGTGCAGAAAGGGTTACTTGAAATTACACTAACAGTCCCTTTAAATCTCATCTTTTGTGGGTAACCCTGTAGGTTTATAGGAAACAGATGTTATTTGTTTATGTCATTCTTTTATAAAGGGTGACATTAAAATACTAGTTTATCATTGGCAAAACATAATGAATATCACTAAGCCAGGGACTAATTCAAACTAAGAGATACATAAAAAGACACTAGAAGAACAGAATTTTTTGTCGCTTCGCGCACATTTTTAACGAATTGACTCATGTTGGTCATTGGGTATAATAAAAAAATTGGTAGATATTAAGCCAAACCTAGGCCAAAATATGTTTTTTTTTCGAATTCAAACCCTTAAAACAGCGCTTTAAAATTTAAAAATTGAAATTTGAAATTAAGACAAATTTCTTTCCAAATTAATTAATAATTAAAGACAACCCTATATAAAATTTAGGAAGTGAAACATTCCCAAGAGGAAAGAACTCTGCCCCAAGCTCTCCTGAACCCGGAGTAAAACTGAACCCAGCAACTTCAGCCTACTCCTTGAGACCCCGAAGACAGGAGCTGTACGATAAATATGAGTGGAGCAGTAACCAACATTTTCACATTCCTCAGGGTACACAGGTACATACATTTCTTAGGAGCACATACAATCCATGTACAATTGTACATACGTTCTTCAGGGTCCACAGGTATATACATTATTTAGGGTACACAGGTAGATACATTCCATAGGATACACAGGTACATATATTTCTTAGGGTACACAGTTATACATAATTCCTTAAACAAACATACTTAAATTCATTAGGGTATAAAGGTACATAAATTTCATGGCGACAAATAGATAATACATTCCAATTAGGATTATCAGGTAAATGTATTCCTTAGGATACACACATTCATCAGGGTACAAAGGTATATACATTTCTTAGTGTACACTGGTACATACATTTCTTAGGGTACATTCCTCAGGGTACATACAGTAATAGGCGATTATATCAATACAATGAAGACGACTTTCGATTTCAATTTTAATTTACATAAAGCTGGTAAACAGCTTCTCTTTGATTACTTGTAAACTTGTAATTCAAAAAAAGCTTGTTAACAATCAAAACTTCAATAAAAAATCTTCTTAATTGTATTGATATAATCGCCTACCACTGTAGGTATGTACGTTATAAATTCCATATGGTTTGTAAGCACATACATTCCTTAGAGTACAAAGGTTCATACATTCCTTGCAGGTTCATACATTCCTTATGAGGGGTAAACATCTACAGGTGGACGTATGAGTAGTATTTGTAAAAAAAATTTAACTCTATTGATCCTCATGTTAGGTCTATTCTTATATTATAAACTAGTTTGGGAACCCAGCGTTGACCAGGTAACTCATAGTTATTCCCACCGTATACCCGCGCTTGGTCTTAAAATTACGATTTTGGCTATTTTTCCCTTTAGCAGTCAACCCACTCAACTTAGAATCCAAGCTAATAACATTTCGGTGGTTCTCCCCAGTTCTTCAATCAAAATTGGAGGAAAATCGGTGAAGTGGTTCCCGAGTTATGATCGGACAAATAAATAAACAGGCAAACAGTGATTTATACTACTTTATATATACAGATATATAGATTCTTATTATTATAGAGATACCAGAGTACAATCCCACGCTGGAAATCTAGTTCACGAGGAGCTCTCTCCGCCACTAGTTTAGATTTCTCCAGGAGCCTACCTCGATCCCACTCTCCTGGCTCCAATACAACTACAACTACTATGCGGAAACCTATAGAGCCTAGTGTGAGCAGCCAGCACTTCCATCTACCGACCAGGAAGAAGAGGATGGTGTACGGTAGGCCCGGGCAGAAGACGGGCATGACCGTCCTGGTCAATGAAATGAAGGCTCGAGCTCCGTGTAGGTCCAGATCCCCTTCTATGAACAATGAGGAACCCATTCAGGTGGAGAGATCAAAGGGATTATTAAAGGGAGTGTTGGGGAGAAAATTTAAAGCTAACAGCCTATTGTTTGTTAGAAAAGCATGACACCGGTTTCTCATTGCTTTTTTGTTATGTTTGGAAAGTGTTGATTTCAAATTTTCTGAAACATCAGAATTTTATTATAATCCTTCACCCTCTTCAATTTTTCGCGAACACTTCCTTTTATGAAACCCTTCTAAAAAAGAGTTGTTCATAGATTAATTACAAGGAGTTGAACAAAATTGATATTTTTTTTATTAATTGATCAAAACTACAGAAGAGATGTTAAAAAGTATTTTTTTAAAACCTTATCTTTGATGCTTTTTGATCTAAATATTTTCAATATTTGATCAAATATTTTTAATATTTGATAAAATAATTGATAAAATATTTTCAATATTTGAAAACATTTTTGCAATATTTGATAAAATATTTCCAATATTTGATAAAATATTTGCAATATTTGATAAAATATATGCAATATTTGATAAAATATTTGCAGATAAAATATTTGCAATATTTGATAAAATATTTGCAATATTTGATAAAATATTTGCAATATTTGATAAAATATTTGCAATATTTGATAAAATATTTGCAATATTTGATAATGATTTGTTTTGTAGTTGGCTCACTTCCCAAGTGGGATACCTAAGGATCGTCAGATAGTTGGTGAGGATTCAACCTTCTCCTGTACTCTAGAGGATAGGAAGAGAAGGCTGGGAGATGAGGGTGAGTATTGAGTATATATCTAGGGTTCTGTAAAGTCTGGAGAAGTAATAAAGCTAAGGTCTGGACAGGTGCTTAATGCAGAGATAAACTTTGGAGAAAAATATAAAATATTTGTCTCCTCCTACATTTTGGGATAGAGTAGATACACTTTCCTTAAATTACATTCTTATAAAAGGAGGATTGAAGGTAGAGTTGGGACTCTTAAAGAAGAAATAATTAACTATTCAGCTTAGAGACGATTTTATTTCAATTACATCAATATTAAAAGTTATATGCTAAGATAATTGAAGGGAGTGAATGGCCAGGTATGGTAGTTAAACTGAGAATATATGTTTTTACGTTCTATTATTGTCACATAATATCACAAACTGATAACTAGTTTTATAATACAGGGTGTCCCACGAAACATGACAGTTGATAAATAGTTTTGAATGTCGTCTTTCATACACTGTATTAGATATTAAAGGCTGTTTGCAGTTTATTTCGTTTAAAAAATCTTTTGCACTAGTATATTTTACTTTGAAATTAATTTTTCTATAATAAGACTCCTAAATAATATTTTTATTATTGTCTTTCGTATTAAAAAACTTATCAAATTATGGAAGAAGACATTCTAAACTATTTATACCAAATGTCATGTTTCGTGGGACACCCTGTACTATACTCTCAGTTCAACTACAATACATAGCCAGTCACTCCTTTTAAAAAGGAGGAATATTTTGTTGGTTATGGACTTATATTTATATAAATTATATTTATTCGTTTTTAAACATTCAAAGCCTTTTGGCTTTAAGAGGCTCCACATTCAACACTTCATAGTCAACATTTCACAAAAAGCTGTGAAGTTTAGAATGTTTCAATTTTTATGCTGTATAAGGGTATAGGGTGGAGCATCCTAATTTATCAATTTTTAAACATTCAAAGTTTAGAATATTTCAAGTTATATGCTTAGATTCTCATAAGTATATAGAATTAGGGATAATACTAGGGTTGGGGAACTTCATTTTCATTCAAAGATTCAAAGTCTTTTGTATTTCAAGTTGGGACACAAATATCAAAGTTGTATCTTTGGTCATGGGCTGACATTTTCTGTCAGAGTCACTATATTGCATGGCGCAATAAAAGCCAACTTGTACAGAATAAAATGTTAAAATATTTTTGTTGTGGACCCACAATTCACAAAATAATACAGTCGTCGTCGTATATATTAATACAATAAAGACGATTTTCTTTTTCAATTTTGATTTCTCCCAAGCTGCAAAACAGCAGAAACAGAAACTTAAACATTTAAAGTTGCCAATTAACAGCTACTCTTAGTTTACCTTTTACGTCGTAATTTGAAAAATGTTTTTTTTTAGGGATCAGAGCAAATTAATAATAAAAAGTCGTCTTCGTTGTGCTGATATAATTGCCGACCACTGTATTAGAACAGGAGGTTGCTTAATTTCCCCTAATTAAGATGATGTATTGGACGAAGGTGTGTATATCAGTGATGAGGAGAACATGAACCCCAAATTGAAGAAGACTGAGGAGGAGCTCAGCAAGATCTCCTCCGGGATTGGGAAAGTGTTCTTGGAGACCATCAGACAAACTGAGAGGATCAAGGGATCTAAACTGTTAAATATTGATCCAAGGTATCAAATATATTTTTCATTACAATACACAAACCTAAATTTCTATTTTAAAGGGACTGTTAAGGAAAACTAAAAGGGGGTACAGGTAAAAACCTGAACACTCCAGGAGTTGATGGCGACCTATATGAGTTCTACCTGATGTCCCTGTCTCGAGAAATTTAATTTATTCTAAAATTTTAAAGTTTCCACATTGGATATCGAGATCAAGTGTTTAAGATTAATGCAATATCTACACAAAAGTTCTAATCTCTGGGCTTACAATGAAAACAAATCTATTTGATCTATCACAGCATTACTAAACTCTATATTTAGATCTGCTGCTCGAACTCCAGGAGCTAATAGAGAACCAAGATATAAACTCCGGTACAATAGTCCTGCTTGGGCTTCTCCCAGTAGGGATACAATGCATGCCAGGTATACTTGCAATACAAGTTGATATATAATGCATGCCAGGTACACTTTCAATACATGTTGATTTATAATATAGTGCATGCCAGTTATACGTTCAATATATGTTGATTTATAATATAATGCATGCCAGTTATACGTTCAATACATGTTGATTTATAATATAATGCATGCCAGTTATTCGTAAAAAAAACATGTTGATTTATGATATAATGCATGCCAGTTATAGATTCAATACATGTTGATTTAAAATGTAATGCATGCCAGTTATACGTTCAATACATGTTAATTTATAATATAATGCATGCCAAGTATACGTTCAATACTTGTTAATTTATAATATAATGCATGCCAGTTATACATTCAATACATGTTGATTTATAATGCATGCCAGTTATAAATTCAATACATGTTGATTTATAATATAATACATGCCAGTTATACATTCAATACATGTTGATTTATAATATAAGGCATGCCAGTTATTCGTAAAAAACATGTTGATTTATAATTTAATGCATGCCAATTATACATTCAATACATTTATGATATAATGCATGCCAGTTATACGTTCAATACATGTTGATTTATAATATAATGCATGCCAGTTATAAATTCAATACATGTTTATTTATAATATAATGCATGCCAGTTATACGTTCAATACATGTTAATTTATAATATAATGCATGCCAGTTATACGTTCAATACATGTTAATTTATAATATAATGCATGCCAGTTATAAATTCAATACATGTTTATTTATAATAAAATGCATGCCATAATAAAGGAAATAATGTAAATTAAGCCAAATTTGAATTTTATCAATCAATATAAATATGCACAAATATGCATTCAAGGTAAAGATTTACCAAAAAGGATGAGACAAAAAGACTAAAAAAATGATTTGGCAAAGACAGCTACAAGTTTATAGTTGCAGAGAATCCTGAATATAAGGAAACAGGCCGTATAAGTTCCGTACAGCCATCTCTGAAGTTTCATATTTTGTGGGTATTCCTGTATATTAGAAATGTTGTAATTAAGCAAATGTTTAGACCCTGGGATTCTATAGAGGACCTTGAGCGCCCTGTTGTTCTCAGTTCTAGCGGTTGCGCCAGTGGTTGTGCTAGCGACCACTGCCCGCCGGCCAACTCAGCTCCGTTCAGCTTGACCCCAACCCTGCCACGACATTGTAAACCTGGATACACCCATCTCAAGTCTAATACAATGCCACATATCAGAAGTGTATCAGGTACAATCTTGTGACCCCTTGTGTCTTTACAAAACGAGAAGTCTCAGAAAAAAAAACTTCACAAGCTGTAATTTGGCAATTAAATCTGATGTGACAAAGCAATGACGACAACAAATGAGAATTCAAGGTTTTATGTTTTCACTGTTTTTATTTACTAGAAAGCTGGAATGTTGTTGTTACAATTATTACCAAAGCAGTGTGAAGTTAATCAATTCTAGAACTGTCGTATATTTTATTCTAAAAAATATTTTATAACCTCTTTTACCGTTTCTAATTTGAATCCATTTTTTGCGTCACGCCGTAAAAGAGAAAAGATTGTCATTCAGATGAATTGTTCGTTAAAAGAACATTAAGTATACAGTTAATTTCCCAAACTGAGTTGGTTTCCAATAGTTTATCCTTCTATTTCTAGACCTTTAATTTAGGACGGATCCTCGATGATGAGGTTGATCCAGGTCTAGGTTATGATCCTGCCGCAACCTCAACACCTACTCCTGGAGATCAACCTACTCAACCTGGTACTCTGAGACACGGTCCGGTCAACACACACAGCGGAGTCCTTTATACAACAAATAATAACTTCTCCTGGCTTACTCTTGCCAAGTTTCATAACGAAGATACTCTGAGGAACAGTTTCTTTTATTCATCATGATATGTACCCTCCTCCCTCTTTCCTCCGAAAAAAATACAAACCCTTTTTACGACTAATTTTAGATTGACTTAAAACAATGAGATTTACTACTGCAAATCAATATTACCTACCTATATGATTCCCCCACAGATGGAGGTTAAGTTACTAACGTCCCTTGGGACAATTAAGTAACATAACAACCCGCTCTTCAAAGTTTTCGTGAAAAAATTTGCACATTTTCATCTTTTCGACAAAATTTTGGTCTTGGGCCAAGGATAGAGTAAAATTCCTTTAACTTCCATGTAAATTTGTAAATAATTATTACGAATTTTCGAATTCAGATTCGTAATTTTTTTAATTGATTTCTAAAAATTAAACATGGCCCCCGTGTCGAAAGATAAATAAAAGAACTGGGTTCAGGAGAAGTACGACAACAAAATTCTTCCATAAACCTGAACTTCGACACAACAACACGATTCTCGACCAGTAACCCATTGTATATCTATCTATCAATCAAACCAGTAATAAATGCAAAATTTATTTTAAATATTCTCTGCGTGTAGTTTGGTATCACAAGATATAAATATTTCAAGAATTCAGATCTCAATAATTTTAGAAAAAAATAAAACAAAGCTGTAAGTTAGTTTAGTTAATTAAAAATAATAGATAGATTTTTATCACATTAGAAATGTCGTCCTTTATGTCTCATTACTGTCGAATAGCAGTTTATTTACAATAAAACTGACATAATTGAGATTGCTCATCCCAGATCAAAATTTTAGGTTTCAAGATTTAACGCAATATTTGGTACAATAAAGGATTTAAGAATTTGATCTTGCCAGAAATAAATCTAATGTTCGTGTACAAGGTGTTCCAATAAACATGGACATTGAGAGAAGACTTAAATATCGCATGGGACAAAGACGATATAGAAGTAGTCATTAATTTCCCATGTTTATTGGGACACCCTGTATATTAAGCTTAACAATGATCCTTGCAAACAAAATCTTAAAGCTATTTATCAAAACTATGCAATTATTCAATTCATTGCTTAGGGGTTTATGTCGAATTATATTTTAAAATTGAGACTTTTTGGCAACTTGGGGTTCCAAATATTTTTAGGGAGACGAATAAAAAGCACAGATTTTACGTTTCAGATCGATTCACATTTAAATAAAAACAAACTGTTTGGATTTTTGATGAACAGTAAACATGAAATAATTACCAATCTAGTGAATTTTTACAAAACATTTAAATTGCAAAATATTGTAAATATACAGATTGTAAGATAAACATTTATATTAATATTTCTAGATTTCTCTTTTTTACTTAGTGCCGTTAGCTTCCACGTCAAGGTGGGTCGTTCGATACTAATTTTGGAAGCCGAATTCACAAAATTAATATGGTTAAAAAGATTTTGAATAAGCTGAAATGAGCAAAGTTATCAAAACTGAGAAATATTTAACATTTGTAGAACAGATAAGAAGCTAGAAAAAAAATACCATGTTTTTAGAAATTTGTGCAGCATAGTTTTTAAATACACTCCCGACATTTTTCCAAATGTCATTTCTAGTAAAGTCATTTATAAGGATGGTGATTACGGAATACCCTGCACAAATATATGAAATATAAAGAACAGTAAAATCATTCCTTTGATAACTCTAGAAAAAATCACACTTGGAACAATGTCGTATCCCGGTTTGTATATGATCTCCAAGAAGCTGTTAAGATCAACTTTTGTATGGATTAGCGCTAATAAAAACCTTTCAACTCGATGTCCTCCATCCTGGATATGGATTAGTGCTTTTCATGGGGTTAAAATTACAAAAGTTGCGATCTCAGGCAAAATAATAATAATATGAATAATGAGTTATAATAATGATGAAAAATAAAGTATAATTTGTTGATGTGGAATGACTACGATTATATTTTACAAGATCCCGTGAGAGCTGAACAGTCAGGAGTTCTCCGAGTAGCGGAGAGTTGATCAGTTCTCCGGAGAAGAGATTCTCCGTACTGGATCCCTAAACAGACAACAGATTTTAGAATACTAAAAAACCACAAAAAAATCTTTAACTGAAAAAAATATTAAATCAACCAAAAAGAATCTGGTTTGTTTAGACCTGATCCTATCCTTTCCGGGTCCAATTCTCCGGATTCAATTTTAGCAAGAATATTCTTTGAACATTTAAGAAAGGCCTCTTCAACACTGTCTCCGGTCTTGGCACTTGTCTCTAAGAACATGAGTCCGTTCTCCTGGGCAAACCTGGATAGTATTACTTATAAGATGATTATTTTTTTAATTACATATTATAGTTTTAGAACATTTCAAACTACTCAGTATCCTTCCTCTCCTCCTCCCGTGCCTACTGACCCTCATATCCTCCTCCCTCCTCCTCTACATAATTCCTTCCCCTCCTCCTCCCCTGCCTACTGAATCTCATCTCCTCCTCCTCCTCTACATAACCTTCCTCTCCTACTCCCCAACATCCCTAAATATCTCTCCTACTCCCTAATCTACTGACCGTCCTCTCCTCCTCCCAAACCACCTGACTTTCTTCTCCTCTTCCTATGCTTTTGAGTTTGACCATCCAAGATACTTCATTACCTACTAACCTTTCTCTTTTACTTTCCTTTCTTTCTTTCTTTTATCCTTGCATACTTCAGACTTTCCTGTCATACTTCCCTAGCAGTTAACCTCTTACTTTCCTACCTGCTCGCTTCAAGGAATGTGACCTCCCTCTCCTCCTCTAGGTCCTTCTTGTTCCCGACTAGGATAATGACTATAGCTGGGCTGGCGAGGGTCCTGGCGTCTGTCAACCAGTTCGCCAGGTTATTAAAGGATTCACGGGAACTCACATCGTAGACAAGTAGCGCACCTATAGAACAGAGTTGAGAAATTATAGTTTATACTACTGTTGCTTCCATGGATTATATGCTTCTTAGTAAGAAGGTTACCTACTGCTCCAGTGTTCCCTAGAATGATTACCTACTGCTCCCTGGTATGGTTACCAGATCCTCCCTTGCATGGTTACCTACTGCTCCCTGGTATGGTTACCAGATGCTCCCGGGTATGGTTACCTACTGCTCCCTGGTATGGCCTAGTATGGTTAACTACTGCTCCCTAATATGGTTAACTAATGCTCCCTGGTATGGCTATCTACCGCTCCTAGGTATGGTTAACTACTGCTCCCTGTTGTGGTTACCTACGGCTCCCTAGTATGGTTCATTACTGCTCCCAAGTATGGTTACCTGCTGCTCCCTGGTATGGTTATCTACCGCTCGCTTGTTTGGTTACCTACTGATCCATGGTATGGTTACCTACTGCACCCTAGTAAGGTTTATTACTGCTCCCTATTATGGTTATCTACTTCTCCCTGGTATGGTTACCTACTGCTCCCTGGTATGGTTACCTACTGCTCCCTGGTATGGTTACCTACTGCTCCCTAGTATGGTCACCTGCTGCTCCCCTGTAATAGCTCCTTGTAACAGATCTAAATCTCTCTTGTCCTGCTGTATCCCAGATTTGAAGTTTAACACTCCGTCCACCAACAGGAATTATTTTACTCCCAAACTCAACTCCTGCAAAAATAATGATTTATCAGCAAAGCCTTAAAACCTAAGATTTCTTAACTCTAATTATCACTAAATATCCAGATTCGCAATGTTTTGGCACCCTGGGTTTGGATCCAAGTCTTCAAAATATGAACCAAAATTAACAGAAAATCTTTTATTTTTTTTAACAACAAATCTCCCTGAACTTTATTTTACAAACATTCTCAAAGTTTTTAAAGTCTGTAACCCCACCCCCGTTTTGTACACCATAGCCTCGGCTTATTAACCCTACAATACATATTTTACAGTCTTGTAGAATTCTATCCAAGTTTACAATTAGTCCGTTCACTTTCAGTGTGGTATAATAAGAAAATTGTCAGAGTTCGACAAGATTTCGGCTAGAAAAACGGAAAAATAAGTATTGATGAAAAAGCCCGCGTACTTTATGTCAGCTGGAACTTAACTTTTCGGTTAGATACAGGGTGTCCCACATCAAATTAGACCGCGTCAATGGGTATAAATTACGATTTCGGGGACAAATCAGAAAATTTAAGGAGAATAAATCATTTTGAAAAATTTTATAAGGCTAATAGAAAATTTTTTTTGCAGAAAATGCTAGATTTTTTTTAGTATAATGTGCGTATTTAGGTGTTAAAGATTGGAGATAATCTAATATGATATGGGACGCTCTGTATATTCAAGAACTTAGTGCAATAAAATGTTCCCAGATATCCACATTCTTAAACAAAACTTGATCTTGTCCGACTTATATTCATCTCTCAAACCATAACAAACTCACCACCCTCCGTCACATCCGAGATCTAAGTGGTTAATTTAATATCTATCTAAACTAGGCCTGGACAGCCCTTTCTAGAAATACCTATCTATCTCGGTATTCATTGTACTCACAAATATCTGAATATTTACAAAATCTTATTCTCTACAGGTTTGCTTTTATAAAATTATGCAATATTTTGACTCTAGCAGAAGATAAGAGATATTAACGTAAGAAAAAATCAAACCTTTAACCAACAGATATAGATAAGAGAATGAGATATTAACGCAAGAAAAATCAAACCTTTAACCAACAGCTTGTAGAGGATCTATTTTCTCCTTAAATCTGAACTAGGAATCCTTGAAGGAAAAGGAGAAAATACGGGAAAAGATATATGCTGGTGTAAATCCAGTAGTTCTCCAACCTGAACGGGATCAACACATTCTCCCGACGTGATGGAAACAAAAGAGGCTGCGGTCGAACTTCCGGAAATAACACCGGAAATGGAGGATATTATCAGATCTTCAAATAGAGCAAGAGAATCCCAGCAACTGATAGAAGCGTACCGAATTCCTATATCGGGAAAGGATATTAGAACTCTGTCTGGTCTCGAATGACAAGAGTTTTTATATCCTTTCCCGATATATGAAATAATCAACTTCTACATGCAGATGATCGTAGCTAGAGGCGGAGAGGATAAGTGGTGTAAAGTTTATGCTTTTTCTACTCAACCCTCAAGAATAACGGCTATTCCAGTATAAGAAGATGGACTAACTATCTCATACACCATTCTCCTTCGGAAGTAGGGCATGTTCTCCTGTGTGAAGGATATCCTGGCTCTTCTAGATAAATATTCTGCGAACTTGCAGGCAAACATTCCGCAATCAGATCCGTTCATCTGCTGGGGGATTTTTTTCACAAGGGTCTGCTTCCACCGATATCTTCGCTCAGGACATTGTATTCATCCCTGTACACTTGGGAATATTATGTCCTGCGCGAAGATATCGGTGGAAGCAGACCCTTGTGAAAAGAATCCCCCAGCAGATGAACGGATCTGATTGCGGAATGTTTGCCTGCAAGTTCGCAGAATATTTATCTAGAAGAGCCAGGATATCCTTCACACAGGAGAACATGCCCTACTTCCGAAGGAGAATGGTGTATGAGATAGTTAAGAACAACCTTATGTATCCTTGAATACTTAACTGTTTAAACAGCATGCTAAACCACCAATTTGTATTTGTGAACAATTAAACCAACATTTTTAAAGATAACTTCTGAAGACAAAATTGACAGATTGATGATACGAATGCCTTAATTTGTAAATTTGAAATTAATTTTTTAATTAATAAACTATATCATAGACTTGTTCTTATTCTCTAAAAGCTGAACGTTATTTGCAAACCATTGCATTATAAATATTTCATAAATTGATAAACGCTAACTTGCAACTTTTTAGACATCTTAGACATTTGCCAGTCCCACGAAAACCGAAAAAAAACTTGATATTTAAAATAACGGAAAGAACAGGCCTGATCTGAACTCTAAACCTACCTATAGTATGACTGCTGTCCTCTTTGAACCTGTTTTCAATAAACTGATGAAGTAAACAGGATTTTCCTGTTCCAGCTGAACCTATCACTAGGAACTTGAACAGGTAGTCGTAGGGTTCATTCATTCTCTGAAATACAACAAGTATTAATACTGATCAGTCGCAGGGAGTAAAAACATTTAATCAAGGGGTTAAAACAAGTTTTCTGCGGGCTAAATCTGCAGGAGTCGACATTTTACCAAGATTTCTCATTGGAGAAAATTTTTAAATATGGGTCCGGGTTGCAAATATCGAGTTTATTTTAGAAAAATTTTATTTCACACATTTGAGAACCTTTTTTGAACAATCAGTTTTGTATTAAATACAGTAGTTAATGCCTGGTTTTCATCCCAGAAAATAAACTCCCTTTCTATGAGATATCTAGGATAAGGTTAGATATAATGATAATATATATAAATGTCCTAAATTAGTTGAAAGAAACAACTCAGGGGTGTATATTTTTCTGCTTTTTTCCCCCACCCCCCGGGGGGGGGGAGCAATAATATGAGCTTTTATTGGGTTTGGGAAAAAAATGAAGAAAAAAAGGAAGAAGGGGAAAGGGAAGGAGGAAAAGGAAAAACGGAAGGGGAAACGGAAGTTTGCATGGGCTTCAGAAACCTGTAAAATATACCTGTTTTTAAGTAATGGATTTGTGAAAAAAATATGATACTAAAAAAAGGGGGGGGGGAATAGTCTCACAACTAATATACACCCCTGAAACAACTTATTCGTTTAGTTTTCACAAATCTAATTATGCCAGAGTAAAGTTGGAAGCAAGGACAACAGGATTGATAAAATAGTTTAAAATACAAAAAATCTTGTCTGAAAAGTACAGACAAGGATCGAGGTCAAGCATTAAAATTGTAAAAGAGAGAAGGGAAGGAGATTCCAGAACAATATTCGAGATTTATGACAATATTTGGTTGGCACAGAGGTTAACACAGATGTAATATATACTAACACAGAGATAAATATTATTGGTTTAAATCAAATACAAGGATGTGTACTTAAAAAGTTGTATTGCACGATGCATATGCTCATTATGCATATGAAGTACAAACATGCTGAAGCACAATTATTAGCATACACTTAGTTTAAGAGCCTTAATCTGGAAAAAATTACCAAATATAAAACAATTAAAATGAAGCATTTAAAGAGTAAAAATTCCACAAGTACAATTGTCAGTTAAAAAGATTAACAAGTCGGTGGTCTGGTGTCTAATGAATGAGCCACAGTTTCAGATAGTCTATCGAAAAAGTAGGAGGGTTTATCCAAGGATAGGGCTTATAATAGTATAGTCCTTGGTCTGATGTACAATGAATTATATATGATAAATAATGCTAGGTCAGGATAAATTGTCCATCTAGTCTGTGGTCTTAGGATTTATAATATCCAGGGTGTCGAATATTTTAGTCTGTAGACTATCGGGGGTGTCGGATAGTTTAGTCTGTGGACTATCCAGGGTGTCGGATATTTTAGTCTGGACTATCCAGGGTGTCGGATAGTTTAGTCTGTGGACTATCCAGGGTGTCGGATTGTTTAGTCTGTGGACTATCCAGGGTGTCGGATTGTTTAGTCTGTGGACTATCCAGGGTGTCGGATATTTTAGTCTGGACTATCCAGGGTGTCGGATAGTTTAGTCTGTGGACTATCCAGGGTGTCGGATTGTTTAGTCTGTGGACTATCCAGGGTGTCGGATTGTTTAGTCTGTGGACTATCCAGGGTGTCGGATAGTTTAGTCTGTATACTATCCAGGGTGTCGGATAGTTTAGTCTGTGGACTATTCAGGGTGTCGGATAGTTTAGTCTGTGGACTATCCAAGGTGTCGGATATTTTAGAGATGTCAGATAAACCCTCCACGTTATGTTGGATATTTTAGTTTGTGGTCTGATATAGGATAATCGCTCCAGGGTGTCGTATAGTTTAGTCTGTGGTCTGATTTAGAATAAACTCTTCAGGCTGTCGGAGAGTATAGTTTGTGTTCTGATGTGGGATTGTTTAGTCTGTGGCTTGATATCGGATATTTTAGTCTGTGGCTTGATACCGGATAGTTTAATCTATGGCTTGATATCGGATAGTTTAGTCTGTGGCTTGATATCGGATAGTTTAGTCTGTGGCTTGATATCGGATAGTTTAGTCAGTGGCTTGATATCGGATAGTTTAGTACGTGGCTTGATATCGGATAGTTTAGTCTGTGGCTTGATGTCGGATAGTTTAGTCTATGGCTTGATGTCGGATAGTTTAGTCTGTGGCTTGATATCGGATAGTTTAGTCTGTGGCTTGATGTCGGATGAACTCTGTAAGAGAGCTCATTTCTGATTGATCTCCCTGTGTCCCGGCTCCGGTAACATCAAACTCAACTTCTTCGCCTGAAAAAAGAACCTTGACATCCTTATTACCTATTTTCTCGGTTTTAATATTTATAATAGAGAATGTGAATCTTAATTATCCTCTATTGTGAAGGATTAACCCACAAGGAAGAACTGGATTTTAAATAATCCACCCCTACATTTACCCCCCCCCCTTTTTTTTTAAGGCAGGGGAACAAATTATAATTGAAAAGGGGAGATCCAATACAGATTTTCCTGGAAAAGCCATGTTTATATTTTTTTTTTCTAAACCAAAACTATTAACAAAAATTAGAAAAGAGAAGTTAGAAAATAGATGATGAAGGAGTGGTTTAGTACCTGTAGAATGCGTATCTTCATTCCCCCAAGTTTTATGACTAGGAGCGTAGAGGAAGAGAAGACCGAAGATGTAAATGTTCCAGAGACCGTAGACCCCGGTGAGGAACCCTGATGTATACTGGAGAGTAGATCCAAGATCCTCGTCCCACTTGTAAGCTCCCTCCGACACCTGACCGATGATGAACCCGATGACGGTGAGTGCCGCGGTGAGAAGGGTGGCCAGCATCAGGAATTTGAATCTCCAGATTATCCCCTACAAATAGAGGATAATAGAAATTATTTTAGAAAAAGCAAATTAATTCAATAAGTCTTTAATAAAACGACTGTGTAATATTTTTTTGTTTTAATAAACCCTTCCCCTCTCCTTACAGTATGTTGTAGTGTCTCTTAACTATTTTTTTTTATTGCCGAGTCTTAAGTTTTTGTGGTACAGGAGATAATTTTAAAACAAAAACATAATAATACCACTTTTGTAAAATCTCTTTATACTTGATGTTCAATTAATTACTTGATGGTTAATTAATTGTTTTATTCCTTTATTTTATATTAGATTAAATATGTTTATAAATGAATATCCTTTTGTTCAGTTTGGTTTTTACGAATTAAATTTACCTGATAGTGGAGTCGCCTGATCTGCGACATACTCGTGAATGAAGAAGATCTATCCGCGATATTAAGGAAAACCTTGCGGATCAAGTAGCAGAGAAACAAGAAGTATAATCCAGCAGAGATTCCGGCCAGGATGATAAAACCCAGAGCCAGGTTGGTTCCCAGCTCCGTCACCCAGATAGAGTAGAACGGGTTCTGCAGCTGAACTCCTCTCTCGCACATATCGAACACAAATAAGCAAAGACAACCGAACAGAACCACGGAGAGGTTCTTCCAGTAAGCAAAGATACCGTTGGGATCTCCGACCCCTTGATCGCTCATCAGATGCTCCCCGGCGAAGATCAACCAGAAGATGAGAAGGTTAGCGTAGAAAATTCCTTGCTTGATATCATTAAAGAGATTTAACCAAGGCATCTCGTAGGCCAGGGTCAAGTACTCTAATGGCAGGTTGAGGAATGTTAACGCCAAACCAAGGGAGAGAAGGGTTTTCTCCAGAAGGTTCGGAGCTCGGGATAACATACTGATCCGGTTCCAAAACCAAATCATCTCAAGGATGATAATTGGGAAGAAAACTGTTTTCAGAGAGACCCAGATCTTAGTAAAACCTCCGTTCTGATTTATAGCTATTAACCAGATATCCACCAGCTTACCAATATCCTCATTTATCTCCTGAACCTGGTTCCTACTGTCCAGGAACACTGTGGGTAGACGGATATTGAGTAGGTAGTAATCATGGTGCAGAGATCCCAGATCAAACAGTGGAAGCATGGAGCAATTGTAATAGTATCCAGGTACACGTTTCTCCTCGTCTATGTCACAGTTCAGGTTCCGAGCTTCAAAACTTTTCGCATACTCCGTCCAGACCCCGGGGGGGTCTTCTTTGTTCCTGTATCCCAACCTCGCCTCAACCATTAGATGAACCTGGAAAGAAATACTCATTATAAGTTCGAAAATGAGAAAAAAATCAAAAGACATTTTTTTTTCTCTTTTGGTGCATGAAAACAAATATTAACTTTGACGTGAAATTCTCCGGTTCAATCGAAACTAGTTTTGCTTTTCAGTTTATAATCTACATAATTTACCTCCTTGAGAGGTTCGTCCTCCTCCTGGTACTCAATATCCAGCATCATTACTCCGATCAGGTTCTGCTGCCATCTAGAAATAAAATAAATAATTCCACGAAATAATTTTTTTCCAACTTTAAACTGCACAGAGTTTGAAACTTTTGTGGCGAGTATCGTTTATTTGACCGCTTAATCTCGATACATAGTGTGGACACTTTAAAACTTGAGGATAACTCCCAAGATTCACAACATGCGTATATTTACTGCGTATTTAGTTAATACATAATGCTAAAAAATTAGATCTTAACGAAACCATTGCAAACATTTCATAAAAGCGTCCTTTACCAAATAAAAGCAACGGGATAAAAAGATTCTTGAACCAATACAATTTTTTTTTTTTTAATCATTAAATGTTTTGTTGAAAACCTGTTTGGCAATAAAAAGTAGAAGAGGACCAAGTTCCCTACCTTGAAAAATCAAATTGAGTATTCGACTTCTTTGGTGGCATGTGAACCGCGAACACTACGTTGTCCGCTGTCATGTGGTTGTCGAGAATCTCCTGGTCTGCGACGGAGTCAATCCTGCGACAAGAGTCGTCTCCGTGCGGGATAAACCATGCATCTTTCTCCTTAGATCCACGGGGGTTGTAACACTTGGTCGCTAAATAATGTGTTCTTTTTATCGAATCTAAGATAAAATCACGAGATGCGTAAAAAAATATTCAAATGATCTTTCAACCATATTGATCTTTTTAATGAAATATTATTACTTAAACTCCTTTACAGGGTTTTCATATTGCTGAAGGGGTAAAAAAATAAAATAACTAATAATTTTGACTTGATAAGCCTCAACTTTTTTTTCTTGTTTCCGTCTTATGCAAAAAATGTTTGTAATTATATATATTTTATTTTATTTGTCTTCTCATGCAAAATTAGTTTTATTTATTTATAAAAAAAATTGAACATCGGAAAGGTGGGGGTTAATGTTTACACTTATTTGTTATCAAGGCAAAATAAATTCTTTATGCAACAAGTTTACGTTTAGCCTTGTTAGCAGAGTTAAGAACTCTTAAAACGCGATACTAACTCTACTAACTAGGGAACTGGAAAAGAAATCACTTGTTTATATGTTTATGTTCGCATTATGCAAAACATTAACTGAATGGACTCCAAGCGTAATTTCAAGTGACCTTCCATGAAAAGATGGCAATGCCAGATTCACTTTGAAACATTGAAACCACCTTTTAATAAATTATAAGAAAAATTTAGTAATTTTTCTAGGTTTCAAAATGTTAATTTTTAATAATTCCCATATATAAATTCGCAAGTCATTTTTGCAAAGAAACCACAATAGAAAATAATCAGTTTTTAAATTAAAAGCATGTTTATCTAATTCATACTGATTATCCCAAGCTAGGGTACCATGTGAATCGGATATTGCCATCTTTGCATGAAGGGTCACTTTAAACTATGCTTACAGTACCTTTAAGAGTTTACTTGTTTATTCAGGTAAATAACAAAATCCTTAATTCAATCTTCTGCAACCTAAACGTTTTCACTATAGTAGGTTAATTTTTATTCCAATGATACATAAAAACAATTCATTAAAATATACTCCAGCTTGTAATGAACCATTATTTTCCTAAATGTTGGTTGGAATTGTTCGGAGCCGGAGATAAAACAGCTCCGATAATAAAGCAGAATATCTGGCCTAGCAGGAGAACTGAACCTATTATGGCTAGTTTCCGACCACTCATGTTCTCAATGATAGCTCCAGCCATTCTTACTCCGTGAACATCTGAAAACCATTAAGCTGGAAAAAGTTGAATTGCATAGTTTCTATTTAATCACAGTGCTTTATATCATGCTGAACAAAAAATATTCAAATTAAAGAAAAATGCAAAACAAAAAACAAAAGATATATTTTTAACATTTTAAAAATGATTGACGTCCATGTCAATTTGTTCTTTAATACAGATAAAAATCTGAGAAAAGTCATCAACATATTTTTGAAAACACGCATTGATAACTTTAAATTGAAAAAGACAAAACAGAAAAACAAAGATGAAATTGAATATTATCCGAAATATTTCATAAATCCTACTCATACTTTTTCTGTATTACATGGTTTAAATACAAATACTTTTAATAAAACATTAGTAACTGGAATTGGATGGTGCAAAAAGATAAAAATTTTAACGATTTTATCGTAGGACATGAAACAAGGACGAGTCTGCAGACTATAGGACAAGTGACTGCAGGGTAGGTGCAGAGGTCTGCAGGGTAGGTGCAGAGGTCTGCAGGGTAGATGTGTAGGACTGCAGGGTAGGTGCAGAGGTCTGCAAGGTAGATGTGTAGGACTACAGGGTAGGTGAAGAGGTCTGCAGGGTAGATGTGTAGGACTGCAGGGTAGGTGCAGAGGTCTGCAGGGTAGAAGTATAGGACTGCAGGGTAGGTGCAGAGGTCTGCAGGGTAGATGCAGAGGTCTGCAGGGTAGGTGCAGAGGTCTGGAGGGTAGGTGCAGAGGTCTGCAGGGTAGATGTGTAGGACTGCAGGGTAGGTACAGAGGTCTGCAGGGTAGAAGTATTGCAGGTCAGGTGTTGAGGACTAAAAAAGATAGGTGTAGAGGACTACAGGGTAGATGCAGGGGACTACAGGTTAGGTTCAGACTGTAGAGGACTGCAGGCTAGGTGTAGAGGACTACAGGTTAGATGTAGAGGACTGCAGGGTAGGTGTAGAGGATTACAGTGTAGATGTAAATTATTGGTTAGCTGGACATAAACCAGGCAAAAGGGATATCTTGAGATGACCAAGTTGGATGGATTAGTCTGGATATCTTGAGATGACCAAGATGGATGGATAAGACTGGATATCTGAAGCAGTATAAACTATTTGAAAAGGAAACTATAAGGATATCCACCAGCCTTTGATCTGAAGATGGACAAGATCAGACTGAAGAAGAAAGCCAGGAGAACTAAACCAACAACAGCCAAAGCTCTTCTCTTCCCTGAGTCTCCCTTGCTCTCTCCTGCCTCCATCAACATAATCATACCACAGACTATCAGTGCATAGATCAACATCACGAAGTATGTCTCGAGAACGAACTGTCCTTGGCTAGATCCATGAATATACGCTACTCCACCCTGCTGAGTTTTATGAACGAAAGGAGGTCCACGAATATGGTTCCACATCTGTCCAGAGGTCATGGCGAACACAAAAAACATGGCAATCAGAGACCAGGCAGTACGGTTGTAAAGGAATTCGAGGTTATTACGCCTGATGTAGAGAAGGCCTCCAATGAGTGTTGTAAGCATGAGAAGAGCAACAGTGCCAGTGTAGTTGGGAGGACGGAATACGCGGATATTTACATCAGTCCTCTCTCCAACCCACTTGGCGATAACATCAGCACTAAATCCAATTCTCTGGATATCCATGTTGTCTTGCTTCTTAGGTTTACCCTTCTCCGGAAAGTGCATGAAGACAGGGGCAGTGTTAAGTTTCATGGACTGAAAAACATCTGGTCCTTCGTCGAAATCAACCATAGCGAAGAAAAGTTTGTTGGAAAATGCGGGAGAATATCTGTAGGAGTTGGCGACCAACTGGAACTCATCACTCGCCTGTTTACAAATAGCGCACTGCCTGTTAGCGGAGAGGGCGGTGAACATGACGACTATGCTGTAGTTCCTGGGGGTCCCCTTTACTAGCTCGCGGAACTTGTTCCCGTTCAAACGGATCACAGGACGCTTGAGGGAGAGTTCTGTAAGCTGCTCAACCCTGTCTGCTAGACTCCCGTCCTTCTTCTTGGACTGGGCTATACCCTCAGCCACCAGGAGGGCCAGGAGTACCAAACAAGCTCGCATTGCTGTAATCTGAAACCTGTCAAGTTATACTAATTATATAAATCACAACTTAAGCCTTATTTAGAACTTTACAATATTTATTTCAAACATAACATAGAACAATTTTCTTGGTAATTTCCTTTAGAACGATTTTAGAAAATATTGAATTTCAATTTAACTACGCTATAAGGTTGGGTCTGTCATAAAAACCGATTTTTGGACTCTCCCCCCTTATTTTTCAGCACAGTTATTAATATTTATTACTTAGACTAAGACTATTTCTGAGCCGAGCGCTGCGGCTAGGACAGACTAGGGGCCGAGCGCCGCGGCTAGGACAGGCTAGGGGGCCGGGCGCTGCAGCAACATGATCAATTATATCCAAGTGTTACATAAGAGAAAATTGATAGGAGGGGAGGGGGGTCCAAAAACGATCTATAAGAAATTACCCTATGGTTACTAGTGTGTTTACTTTAAAATATGTTTACTTAGATATAACTTTTTTTTAAAGCTTCGAGTGTTAGATATGTTTAGATAGAAGAATTAAAGCGAAAAGAAAATAATAATGATGACGTAAAAACATGAACGATTGACAAGTAATTCCTGAGATCATCATCAAAACTGACTTGATCAAACCATCAACTTTTCAACTTTAGTTTAGGAAATATCACATAAAAGTTAAAACTAAATGGAATGGAACCATAAAAGAGTTGAGTCTGTGTATTCCTCCTATTGGACGAATTAGAACAAAATCAAATACTAGCTTTTATGAGTTTATGGAAACGTCATCTAAAATTTCCGAACCGGTGGGTCGGATCTCTGAACCGGTGGGCCGGATCTCCGTACCGGTGGGTCTGATCTCGGCAGGATAGGCTCGTCTGAACTGAGGGAGGGAAGGCGACGCAGCCATAAACCTTGTAAAAAAGTCTCCGAAACCCTGCAGAAACAGTCTCCAAACCCTGTGGAAAATCTCCGAACGTTGTAAGGAGCAAAAAATGTGTTATTCAGGGGGAAATTGCTTAGTTTCTCCATTTTATTCAACATATGGCACAGGACCACACAAAAGTATTAATAAATGCAATTTTGATCTTATTGAATTCCTTAGTATGTTTATTTTGTATACTCCTATTTTTAGGCTAAAACTTTAAAATGGACCTGCGCAATTCAAAGAACTTGCGTGAAATTAGATGTGTAAAAGATGGAGGGGTAAGATTTCATTCCATTGCTCTTCCTATCCCAAGTTAACTTACTTTCCCTTTCTCTCTCTATTTCTCTCCTTCCCCATTCCTTTCACCTTCCCTTCCCATTTCTTAGGCCTTTTCTCATTTCCTTTTTGCCCTTATCCCCTGTCCATTCCCTCTTCCTTTTGATGGCCTTTACCTTTTATTCCCTTTCCTACCCCCATCCTCCTTGAGGGATGAGAAGGGAAAGGGATTTCCCTTCTCATCCCACTTCCCTTCTCTTCCCTGGCCTTTCCCGTTCCACATTTTTTTTCCACTTTCCCCTCCCCTTTTCCCCCTTTTCATTTTCCCCTTCTTCTTTCCTCTTTCCCATTCCTTTTTCCTCTTCATTTTATTTTCCTCCTCTTTCCCCTCCCCTTCCCCTTTCCCCTAATGGTGATGAAGCAAACCTTTGTAGAGTAAAAAAAGTAGATATTAGTTCCACATTAGTTGAAAATATATTTTGGTCTGGGTTGACCCTCGTCAGTTTTATAATAACCATCAAACTTGATAAAAAAAAATTGTTAAAAACCACAAGAAAATAAACAAACAAAAAAGATTATTTTAAAAAATTGGGTGCTGTCAAATGCACAAAAGGGAACTCGGATCATGAAAGTCAAACTTGAAATCTGCACCAAAAGATGATCAAAACAATAATGAAATTTTTTCTATAAATTGATTATTATATTCTATTATGTTCTGCAGGGTTCGGAGAATTTCCACAGGGTTCATGGCCGATTGTCCTTCCTCCCCTCTCTTACTTTTTCTCTTTTAATAAACCGTGCGCGCGCAGTACTTCTGAATATTGTTGCTCAATCAGCTGAATTTACTCCGAGTCCGAACTACGAGTTAAGTTTGCTAGAATAGATTTTCTACCTCCGAGATAATGGAATAGAAGAGGAGCTCTAATCTGTGAAGCGGAGAATAAAAATCAATAAATTTATTCTTTCTTGCTCCAAAATATTGATTTTTTAATGGTTCTGTTTTATATTTTACGGATGCTAAAAACTATACATGATTTTTAGTATTGATCTTTCAAATAAGTTAAACAGTGATTTTTTAATGTTATTTGGACTTTAAACAAATCTGTATTCTAAATACAGCACTTCATGATATTTTACATAATCATAATTTAATTTGTTTTCAGAACTTTTGTAAATTATTGCTATGTGTGGCTTGGTGTGCCACCCCGCATTATGTTTATGAAAGGTTTGAACAAACTTAAAGAATTGATTGTCTGGTCTTGGAGCTATCTCTGGGTAGTCTGGTTTCTTCTGGTAAATAATTTTCAAAAGTTACTATAGACATATAAGATTTTTATTACTAAAAGTATAATATCTAAAAAGAGAGAGAACCTTATTTACCCCGAAAATGAAATACGAATAAAAGACAGATGGGTCTGTCCTAGAGAACGATTTTTGCCCCCCCCCCCCCATATCAATTTTGTACATGACCACTTTAGTATTTATTAAGGGTTAGGTTAGGTTAAGACACTTTCTGGGCCGAGCTCTGCGGCTAGGACAGGCTAGGGGGCCGAGCGCTGCGGCCACGGGTTAGGTTAAGTTAAGACACTTTCTGGGCCGAGCTCTGCGGCTAGGACAGGCTAGGGGGCCGAGCGCTGCGGCCACGGGTTAGGTTAAGTTAAGACACTTTCTGTAAGATCCATGTACAATATTGTTATGTGGAGGGGGGGGGGGGGTCCAAAAATCGTTCTCTAGGAAATTACCAGACTGAAAAACCTCTTATTTTTCCCTAAAGAATACCATTGAAGCATAAATTAAAAAGTCTTAAAACCTAGAGATTTGAATAACGATATAATTTCAGGTTTCCTTTGTAATCTTCTATCTCCGTGGACCTTTAAAGATAAGTGAGAACATCGGTATGGCAACAATGTTTCTCTCTACTTTAACCCCGAAGTTCTACGTCGCTCTGACCGGAACCTCTTCTCTTATCTCCGGCCTTATCCTCATCTTCGAGTGGTGGTACTACCGCCGATATGGAATGTCTTTCATTGAACAGGTTTCTTTAAACCATATATCTCCCTGGTTGGGAGGCGGGGACCCGCCGGAAACTGCAACTAACCCGGCACCCGCCGTTCCTGAATGCAAGGTCTGGAGGAACCCGTTAAATCTGTTCCGAGGAGCAGAGTATCAAAGGTTCCAGACTGCAACCAAGAAGGAACCTCTAACCTACTACGATATGAATCTCTCCGCCCAGGATCATCAAACTTTCTTCACATGTGAAGCTGATGCAGGTAAATTTTAATGATTTAAATTTTTGTAAAACTCAATACAAAACTCTTAAGAATAAGAACTGACCTGTTAATATTCCAAAATGGAGATTCAACATGTAGAGTCTGATTTTTCTAAATAAGTTTCTCAATTGTAATTTATCATTTTCTCAGATTTTTTATTTATTGATTCGCTTAGGACAAACGACGAGATTATATTTTCTTTGAAAAGCATTCCCCGTTGACCCCCCTCTCGTTATGAGTTAGGAAAGTGCAGCTGAGCGTGGTGTAATTCTTGATAATAAATATCCTTGTAAATGCATGAGAGACAGAAATAAAGAAAATGTGATATGAAAAGGTTTTAACGAAATAATTTGTCTAGGTAAGCCAGAGTATGAAATAATGCAAACAGCGTGGAGGGAGCGGAATCCCTCTGCTCGGATAAAGGCTGCTAAGGATGCGATTGTTCTGAATATAGAGTGCGCTACAGCATATATACTGCTAGCTGAGGAGGAGGTAAATTTTTTTTCACGTTTTGAATCAGAAACAGTATCCGTTAAAATATTTTTCAACTTCCAATCGGCGATAAAAGAACTGAATTGATGATGAAATTACCTTTTCAAGGAACGATTTAAATTAAATTTATAATTCTGTATGAGCTTTATTGATCTTCAGTATTAATTTCTCTTCCAAGTTCCGCCCGCTCTGTTTATCAATTGTATATTTCAGGCCTTGGATATTGCTGAAGCTGAAGTCAAGTTTAAGGAAGCATTTCGTATTGCTGAAACCAACTACAGGAGATCTCAACAACTGCAGCACCAGAACCAGCTAATGGAGTCCCAGCATAGGAGGGACACCAACGTGATGATCTATATCCGGAGACGGCTCGCTATGTGTGCCCGGAAGCTGGGGAAGCTGAAGGAAGCTGTGAAGATGTTTAAAGATCTGGCCAAGGAGGTTCCTCCTATTATGAATGTATTGAATATCCATGAGAACCTGCTGGAGTGTTTACTGGAAATGGGAAACTACGCTGATGTTCAAGCAGTATTAGCTAAATACGATGACATATCTTTACCAAAGTCCGCTGCCATTTGTTACACGGCAGCCCTGTTAAAAGCAAGATCTGTAGCTGACAAGTTCTCTGCTGACGTGGCGGGGAAGCGTGGACTCACGGTGTCAGAGATGGCAGCGGTGGAGGCTATTCATCGAGCAGTGGAGTTTAATCCTCATGTTCCTAAATATCTGCTGGAGATGAAACCATTGATTCTTCCTCCGGAGCATATTCTGAAACGAGGGGATAGCGAGGCTATTAGCTACGCGTTCTATCATCTCACACATTGGAAGCGGGTAGACGGAGCACTTAATCTCCTGCACTGTACTTGGGAGGGAACATTTCGTCTCCTCCCGTATCCTCTGGAGAAAGGACATCTTTTCTATCCATACCCAAGCTGTACAGGTTACTTTCAAACTTTATCATAAAACAAGTTTTCATGAGTGTTTCTTGCGTGGGACAGTCTTAAATGTTTAAAATGATTCTTTAAGATTTTTATCAAATGCTTTTTAAGTATTGAGTCGAACTATGATAAGGTTTACGATTTATTGGGTAAATAGTATAATATAGAAAGAAANTTCCATGTATTTTCAGAGTGTGCGGATAGAGAGTTGTTGCCGACATTTCACGAGGTTTCTGTTTATCCTAAGAAGGAGCTCCCATTCTTTATTCTCTTTACAGCTGGGTTGTGTAGTTTTACAGCTCTTCTAGCTCTGCTCACCCATCAGTATCCGGACTCAATGGGGGTAAATACTATAGATATCTTATAGAGGAAAATACACCAGAAACCACTATATTTTTCTTAACAAAATTAGCCTTTTTTTGGGAGGAGCATAAACATTAACACTTTAAAAAAAGCACCTCGAATTAATATATTGTGTTACTTGAAATTTTTTTGTTGATAATTTGAAATGTGTAAATTCAAAATATAAGGTTTCAAGTCGACAAATTTCAAACAGGGATAAAATTCAAACAGGGATGAAAGAAAAAATAATTTCCTCATTTATTATAATGCGCCATTTACACGTCGTTAATTACGTTTACTCTAGAGTATTGCGAGAACAATTCTGAACTGGGTTGCAGCTCCTCTTCACTTCATCCTGGAGAAAGCAGACAGCGTCTTGCCTACATCACTTCTTCATCTTCTTTCTAAGATGTAGGAATCCCTCATGACCAGTTGTAACAGTCACATCACACCTAGGCATAATGATCTAGATTCTAACTATATTTATTGTCGTTTGTTAACTATTGGCTCTAATTAAGGATAATAATACCGTTTCTAACATCACCGGTTCATATTTATGTATCCCAGGTTTCGTCTCTTCTTTTAGTACTTGTGAAGCCCAAACACTTAAATGTTAAACGTAATGGTTGCCATATTGTCATATTGTTGTTTCAGAGAAAATGGAACGGCAGCCCATGTCCTCCGCATCCTCTCTTTATCAGAGTGTGATAAATGATGTGATCAACTCTGTTCGTGAATCCTTCCTTGACGAGAGTGTGGACGAGACGGTTCTCCAGGAGCTGCGGAACATGTGGCAGTCTAAGCTAGAGGCCAGCAAGGCGGTGGAGACACCTGGACAGTATAATAATGATTCTGCCGCTTTAGGAATGCTTTCAAAATTGGGTCACAAAAATAATAAAGAATTTTATGTCATTGAATAAATGAAAACTAAACTGAAAGGTTTTTTTTCTCTAAATAACTTAATACTTGAATGTGTATTATAAAAAGAAATTTTACATATTCTGATCAGCGCTAACTTCTAGAAAAGTGTCTCTTTGAATTATTTTCATTATTTCACAATAATAAGATTTTGGGAATTTTCCATCAAAATTCGTTTTATACATGAAACAAATTTTGATTGCATCTCTTAAGATAGTAAGGTACGAATTTTAATTTTTAATTATTTCTTTTTTAATTGGCTTTACTCGTTCTTCTTTCAAAGCTTTTTCTTCTGGAAGCAGGGTTGTTTTATCTCAAACCAAATATACCATTTAAATTTTAAATCTGCAACATTTTTGCTCCCTGGATCCGGATCCGCGAATATATGTGGATCCATGGATCCGGATCCAGGGGAAAAATAGCAACCAAAAAAACTTTTTGCTCTCAAATCCCAAATTTGAACTGTTAAAAAAAAAGAGATTAGATACAAATTTTCAAGTTATGAAAGGCCCAAAAACAAGGCTCTAAAATTGAACCACATCATCCTTTTCCGCGGATACCCTGTCTTATCAAATATTTCAAGTCGTTAATGTTCAAACAATTTTTGAATAATATTTATTCAATCTGTTAAAATTGTTAAAAATATTTAGATGGCTGGGTTGAGACGCGGAGTGATGCCTGGAGCAGGAGGTGGAGTAGGAGGAGGTGGAGCACCAGCTCAGCACGTTGTTATCTCGGATCCTAATCGTCTGGTTCCGGTTCAGATCACAATACCAGCTCAACAAAACAATCCTAATAGTCAACCTCGGGCACTCACAGTTCAGGTTCCAGCACATGCTCTACAGCCTTCTAGTAACAGTGGGTCAACTTTACAACAAGTTCTAACCCAGGCAATCACAGTGGTAAGAATCATTTTCTTAGAAATTTTTTCCTTAGTTGAATTTAAAATTTTCTGAAAAAGAGGGGTTGTAGATTTATTTTATGCTTTTATGCAGGATAAATTGTTTTTTTTCGGGGGGGGGGGGAATACATTTTTGACAAACTCATATTTAAAGATTATTTAATCCCCTAGTATTGTAGTAAAAAATTGCTGAGTTGGATGAAAAAAATGAAAGTTAAGTTATTTAAAGCTTTGCAATTAATGTCAATTTTTCTTTTTTTCCCCACAAACTTTTAGTCCTTGCCATGGTTAGTTATCAAAATATATACCATTGAAAAACTTCAATAAGGGACATAGATCATTAAGTAATATTTCCATTACTACCGTAAAATATACAGACTTTCATGCAAGCTAAATGTTCCCTTTTCAGGCATTATCCTACCCGCAGGAGGAAGCGGCGCGATTTCTGCAAACTCAAATTGACGCGGCATTTAGACTCTAGCCAGCACCTGTAGTTAGATTCTTCCCAAGCAAATACAACCAGATATACTTTACTAGAATAATTCTTAATTATTTTCAGAGAAGATGAAGGTTATAGGACTAGTAAGTGGAGGAAAGGTAATGCATTTTAAAGATTGTAATTAGTATGTAATGTAACAGCAAAACTCAATGATTTTTAAATTGGTATACTCACTACTTAGATCTGCTGAAAAATCCTTTTTGGGGAGGAAGTAAATTTAATACTTTGGTAAGAAGATAAGTTACATATAAACTAAGGACAGCTGCTTCAACCTAGTAGAATGCATAGGAGCAGGATATCTGTATATAAACTAAGGACAGCTGCTTCAACCTAGTAGAATGTAAAGGAGCAGGATATCTGTATATAAACCTAGGACAGCTGCTTCAACACAGTAGAATATATAGGAGCAGGATATCTGTATATAAACCTAGGACAGCTGCTTCAACCTAGTGGAATGTATAGGAGCAGGATATCTGTATTCTGTATAAAAAGCTAGGACAGCTGCTTCAACCTAGTAGAATATTTAGGAGCAGGATATCTGTATATAAACCTAGGACAGCTGCTTCAACCCAGTATAATATATAGGAGCAGGATATCTGTATATAAACCAAGGATAGCTGTTTCGACCTAGCAGAATGTATATGAGCAGGATTTCTGTATATAAACCTAGAACAGCTGCTTCAACCTAGTAGGATATATAAAGCAGGATTTTTGTATATAAACCTAGAACAGCTGCTTCAACCTAGTAGAATGTATAGGAGCAGGATTTCTGTAAACCTAGAACAGCTGCTTCAACCTAGTAGAATGTATAGGAGCAGGATTTCTGTAAACCCAGAATAGCTGTTTCAACCTAGTAGAATGTATAGGAGCAGGATTTCTGTAAACCTAGAACAGCTGCTTCAACCTAGTAGAATGTGTAGGAGCAGGATATCTATAAAGTCCTGTTCAGGACAGCTTCTTCAACCTAGTAGACTGTGTAGGAGCAGGATATCTATAAAGTCCTGTTCAGAACAACTGCTTCAACCTAGTAGAGTGTGTAGAAGCAGGATATCTATAAAGTCCTGTTCAGGACAGCTGCTTCAACCTAGTAGAATGTGTAGCGGCAGGACACGAGATTGTTGCGCTTGCAAACCTAAGACCAGAGAACCAGACCAAAGAAGAACTAGGTAAATAATTATGTTTGTGGTAACATTGAGATGGGATTAAGATGGCCTTTTTTGTACAACTAAATTTTATTTGAAGCTGATAAGAAATTTGTTATTTTTTAAGTAAGAAAATAAAATTAACCTGCACTAGTCATAGTTTATCATAGCAAATTGACAAACTGCTAAAATAAACCTGTTTAGATAGTATGATGTACCAAACAGTAGGTTCCTCCGCTGTTGAATATATTGCTAAAATAAACCTGTTTAGATAGTATGATGTACCAAACAGTAGGTTCCTCTGCTGTTGAATATATTGCTAAAGCCATGAATTTACCATTCTTTATTGGTACTACAACAGGAGAAGGGCGGAGCACTAATAGAGATTATACTCCTACTCAGGTTCAATATCTTTAATACTTTTAGATTATTTTTAGTTTATTTTACAACCCAAGTCGGTTGACGTCTATGTTTTCATCTATAAACAAATTTTTTATTATTTTGTAAATTAATCTATAGCTCATGACTGATCTTTGGAAATTTTTTTTCTTTCCTTATCGGGTATTGCAAACCGTCCACTACGCTTGTTACACCTAAATATCAGATTTCCAGCATAATTTTTAGTATCTAGGTTTACAGTGGGCTTAGTGCCCACCACGCCAACAGTTCTAAAAAAAGTCATAGCGTTTGTGGCTGATTTTTCAGTCAGCCTGACGAACATTTTGAAATAAAAACATTAAAAATCACGCAGATTTTTCTGTTTACAAGTCGGAATTTTTTTTCTAATGTGATTTTCCGTTTAGTAGTTTTGACGTTTAATGGCTACACATAAACCAACAGTCAAACCAAATATATACAGAATGTTTCACGACAGGACCAATTAAACTTTCTTCTAAAAATTCAACCCCCTTTATTAGACATATTCCAGGGGGATGAAGTAGAGGATCTGTATCAGCTTCTCTCCCGGGTTATTAAGGAGACCGGAGCTGAAGCAGTATCTGTCGGAGCAATCCTTTCAGACTATCAGAGGGTTCGGGTTGAGAATGTTTGTCTCCGACTCTCCGTGGTTCCTCTTTCTTATTTATGGCAGAGAGATCAGGTATGTATAAAGGATACGCAGTTTTCTTGGTAATAGCAAACCATCTACTTAGATTACAGCCGCGTCAGATTTTGAAAAGAACGAAAAGAGCTAATCCGTCTCAATGGTTTCCTTACCAGTCCTTATTCCCGTATTCCCGTCTATTATTGGTCCATGTCAGGGTATTCGACCAAGGTGAGGTCCTTGACCATTTAAAAGTGAAATTTATGACGAATAGGAATTCTCATTTAAGAGAGAAGCTCTTCAGACTATACAAAAATAAATGAAGCAAAAGTAAAGTTTCTTTCCTTGGTTCTCTCTTGGCAGTATTGTTGAATTGATATGTTTAGGTTGAACTGCTCCATGAGATGATTGAGTGCGGGATGAAATCTGTTCTAATTAAAGTTGCATGTCTTGGACTCAATAGTTCTCATCTAGGATTAACGTAGGTAATTTATAGATTCATCTATAATTGCTTAACAATAAAAATCAATTGTCCTAACATAATTAAAGCTTTTTTTAAAAAAATATGTATAATATCTACTTTCGACCTTCTCAAATGAACGATACGGTTAGTCTTACTTGAATATTGTTTGCCAATTTTTCTATGGTTTACTCTTGCATGAAATCTATTAACAATAAATCAAAAAGAAACAAACTCTAAGTAAAAAGTATATATTTATATACAATGGTATATATGTATTGTACATGCTTCTTGGTTGAAAAGTTTGACTCTTAGAAAGAAATCTTTTGTTTCCTTGCTAAGCTGGGTTCCCAAGCTAGTATAAAATGTTACTCTATGTCAGTCCGATTGTATGTAAGATCATAACTCATGAATCCCTTTGCAGACTTTTCTATTGACTGACTTTTTAAAGGGAAATTTTAGATTTACAACCAAAGGTTATTGCAAACTAGGCATAAGGAGATACTGAAGTCACGACTTTGCGACCTCGCAACTCCTCTATTTTTGATTTTACTAAAGCAAAATCATCCGGTAACATTTTAAATTCAAAATTTCTCGAAGATTTCTGTTTGGGTGGAAGTAAATGGAACAAGTATTATTTAGGTTGGGGCAGATGGAGGACAAATTGCTTGTATTAAAAGATAAATACGGAGTAAATGTTTGTGGAGAAGGAGGAGAATATGAAACCTTTACACTGGATTGCCCACTCTTCAGACAGGTTCTGGAATATTTTCGAAACAATTAAAATATGAAATATATTGTCCTTTTCAAGATTCATTTTTTTTCCCGAAAGTAAAATTCAGTAAAAAAAACTCTATAAAAATCGGGGGTTTACTGCGCAAACTTTGGAACGTACTGCAACTGGGAATTTTTTTCTCTAACCTGTCTAATCTTGGAAAATTAAAATGTTTAATTAATCTTAGAAAATTTAAATGTTTAACATACAATAAGTAATACTAATAAGTATTCAAAAACGTCGTTAAATAATATATATAAAATCCTAAATATAGCTTAAATATTTACTAATTCAGGGATTAGAAATCACAACCCAGACTTGTATTAAACATTCTGAGGATCCTTTCTCTCCGGTCTCCTATCTCCATCTCGAGGTTAAACTTGTAGATAAGAGTATCCCGAATACACTCACCCAACCTCAGCTCCTGGCTCACCATAAACTAAAGGATCTTTCTCCTCACAGGTTTCTATCAGATATCATCTCGGTTTATGTTGAAGATAAAGAAAACCTTCCTGAACCTGTGGTTTGCGGAGTTGTATCTGATGAACCCGAAGTACGGTTGAACCACCCGGAGAAGGATTGGATTGAGATCATAAATATTCCTGGGGTTGGCACCACTCCTGCTCAGGGAATATCCTCTGCATTCTCCGTCCTGGCGGAGAGATTAAAGGAGTCCGGAGCAACACTGTCTTGTCTGTCCAGAATTATTCTCTATGTGAGCAGTATGTCTGATTATGGAGAAATAAACAAGGTTTATCAAGAACAGTTTGGTTTAAACCCTCCAGTTCGAGTTTGTGTAGCAGTAGGAGCGGATAATTTACCCAAAGGTTTGTTAATCAGTTGTTTCAAAATTCTGAACATTTTCAACTAAAAAAATATTTTGAAGAATGATTTTTTTTTTTTTTCAGGATGTTTGTTAAGTATGAGTGCCCGAGGTTGGATTGGATCCGAGGAGCTGAGATGTATGCATGTTCAGGGTTTATCTCACTGGGCTCCAGCAAACATTGGACCGTACAGTCAGTGCTCCATGGCGGGGAATCTCCTTCATGTCTCTGGGCAGATCGCTCTTATTCCAGGTTCGTGGCTTAATTTTGATCATGTTTCTTAATTGACTTCATTTTTCTGAATTATAAGTTATTTTTGTTTAGGTAGTATGACCTTAATACCAGAGCCAGATAAGGAACCAGATCTAGCCTACCGTCATTTTCTCCGAGCTATGTCAGGCCTGGAACCTCGAGTATCCGAGTCTGATATTTGTAGTGCAGTCTGCTACGTTGTCAGCCCTGAGTGCTCGAGAAAGGTTCAAAGTTACTGGCTGAGCAGAAACATGAAAATAGATCTTGATGTTCTCCTTGTGTCCCAGCTTCCTAGATCCGCTAACTATGAATGGGAAATTGTTATTCGACTTCCAAAACAGGATTTATAACCTAACTGTGATATTTTTATTTTCAGGTTTAATCAAAATGGGTGAAGAGGAGGAAGACGACTTTGATAAAATGTTAAAATCTTATGAAGAGGAGTTTTCCACCGATACCTCTGGGGATGTAACTGTGATAGAGAGAAAAAACGGAGAGAAAGCGGAAGATGATACAATTGATGAAAAACAAGCGGATTCAACCGCGAAGAACGTGAATAATCAAAATGATCAAAATGGCAACAAAGAAAATGAGATCAATGAAAACAGTACTGAGAATATGGTAAACGTCAAGAAAGGTTTTCACAACACAGATTCAAATAAAGAACTAATTGTAAATAGCCTTGATGAAAAGAAGAAAGTAAAAAGAGAAGTGTTACAAGGGACTAAAGATATTAATAAGTATGACAGAAATATAATAAAAGAGAATGGAGAGCTCTCAATCGATAATGAAACTACCACAAAAGAGGATTTATTGGTTTTCAATAGGAAAGAAGAGAACCTGGAAGAAGATGAAGAGACAACTAAGGAGGAAGGTGAGATATCTAATGAATGCGGAGAGGGATCTGATGATAATGGAGAGTCATCTAAAGAAATTGAAGATATACCCAGAGAGAAAGGAGAAGTTTCAAAAGTTAATGGTTTGTCTGATAAGGAGGCAAAGAAGATTGAGGATGATGATGAAGATGATGAAACACTAAAAGAAATCAACTCTTATCTGGAAGAATCAATTGATTTACGAAATAAAATGTTCGCTGAGAATGATTTTAAATCTTCTACTCCCAAGACCGCGAGGACAAAATCAGTTCTGAGTGATACGGAGTATTTGTGGAAGATGATTGATCAATCTAAATCAAAATCAGTTCTGAGTGATACGGAGTATTTGTGGAAGATGATTGATCAATCTAAATCTACAAGTTTAGAGGACACAAGACCAATCAATCAAGGTAAGTTTCAAACATTCCCAGCATAAAAACTCTTTCAACTCTTTGTCCCATAAAATGGTAGCATGTCTTAAACTTGGTCGCGCTGCTGGGATCTTTTCGAGTAAATTGTATGAAAAAAACCGGGTGCTACTAAAGAGTCGAAAATGGAAAAATTTCACGATCCGGGAGCCTAAAGCAATCTTTTAAGCCTTATGATTTGATTTCTTTTTATGATCAAAAGTTTTTGCTGCCCTCTGCATTCTGTTAACGTAATTTTATTTCATAAACACGTTTTTTTTTAAATCTTTGCCTTTAAAATCGCTCTTAAGACTTCGGGCTCAATGATATATCGTATTATTGCGCAGGAACTTATTATTTACGCGATTACTATCTATGCGCGCATTGGAATTGACTGTAAAGATTTTTTATTTCTATTAACCATATCCATAAACATGAATAAAACACATGCACTGGAGTCATGTAATCGTTAAAATTACATTAAAAGTTTTATTTACAATCAATTAAAGACTAAAAAATATAATTTTAATATATCATAATATTTGTTATTTTACAAATGGAACTCAATTTCGAGATCAGAATCTATATCAGGACACTCTGGCCCGTATGCATGGTCACGTTGCTGTTCTTTGTAAATCAATTTTATTTCAGGAAACCTGGATACGTCTTCCAATACAACCAACACGTCACAAAGTATATTGTTAGCCGGAAATATTTTGTACGACCAGGACGGAAAGAAGCTAGATTTATCTCTCTTGGACGAAGATGATGATGATGACGAAATCCAGGAGTTTACAATCGATGATATTATTCAAGATCTAGATCTCCTTGACGATACTGACGACGAGGTAATCCAGATAAATTACACGAAATTTAAAACATGAATTCAGCTGTTTTCTAAATTTGTTTAAACACAAAAGTCTTAATTTATAACTTTTTGATCTTGTTGTGTTTAGGACGAGACGGTGAATGAATGTGATAAAACTGTAGTTCCATCAGAACCTGAGAAGGTTACCTCAGACAAACCTTCACTTACTCCTCCTCCACCTCCCAAGATATCTCAACCTCAGAAACCCAAATTCAGTCTGAGTGAAATGAAAAACATAGATACTAATTACTATAGAGAGTTGGAAACTGTGTATAGAAAATATCAGGGTCATCCAGGACTAGGACCAATCCCTCCTAGGCGAGAGATTAGGAGACCTAGAGTTTTCAAAGACAAATCTGGGAATATTCTTGGATTTGACAGTTTAGAAGAGTACATCGATAACAATCATCCTCTCTGGTGTGATCTTAGAAACCAGTTCAATGATTTCCTTACCTTTGATAAACCAGACCATACTCTCGCTAGTTTTGTATCGAATCAATGGAAGAGTGGGTTCAGAGTAGATCCAAACCGAAACCTATCCTGCCTTCCTAGACCCAACTGGAGGAATAGGAAGAATAAAGTATTACGGGACGGGAATGTAACTCAACATGATCAGGTTTTGTCCAAGATTCTTCGGGTTGATCAAACCATGGAGAATAAAAAGGAGCAGTTGTATGCGATGTACAAAAATGCTGTCGACACCCAGACACTGAGAGAGAAAGAAGATGAGAGGTATGAAAGATACCAACACAACCATGTCACATTTAACTTAGATGATAGTTTTGTCACAAAATTTGATACTCTCCCAGAAGAGGAGGAAAGAATGATCTGCGGGTTTTGTTACAACCTATGTATGTGTACTGGAGAAGAAAGTAGAAAGCGGAAACACTCTTCGGCCTCTACTGAGTCAGGAAGGAAACGGAAGAAGATTGTATTCGAAGAACACGCCGACCTTATTATCCAGAAGTTGCAGTCTAAGGGACTAGCTCGCAGTGCTAATATTATTCATAGTATCAGGGAGTCCTACCTGTTCAATAGTTGCTACAACACCGAATCCTGGCAGGACCAGGAGGTTGTCAAGGAGCTTATCAGTCTTGAATCCGTATATGATGACTTCTCCAAGGAATACTACAGTCCCTATGCTCGGGATAATCCCGTTCCAGTGCCAATACCTGAGAAACTTGAAACCGACGACTCAACAATGTCATACTCTAAGTTTATTGAAGACTACTAACCTCTAACCTCGCGCCTTATTCTTCCATTATACATTAAATTTTATTTAAATGAAGAGAATAATATTTATAAGAGATATATTTTGTAAATCCAGAAATGATAACTATTATTGATATATATCAGAAATATATGAAATGATTAATCTTTGTTCCTTCTATGTTACATATTGAAACCAGTTCTCTCTGGGCTGTGTTTGTAATTAAGAGTAGATGTATCTGTGTTCCTCTAGTATCCGAGGAGGAGAAAAACCTTTAATTTTGAAAAGTTAGATAATTCACAATAGTTTCCTATGACCAGAATATTTCATAGATTTTAATGTGAACGATGGTTCCCATGCATATCCTATGACAGTCTGTGACATCCGTCTTGTGTTTACTTTTCAGCCCAGAGACAGTACACTGCTAGCCAAAAAATGCGTACACCTCTGATATAAATATCTTTACATTATAATTATGTGCACGAGTAGAAGAAATAAGTATATCTTCTACTGAAATTTTTCGTCAGGAAGGTTTCACAAACTGTTCGACAATTTAGGACTTTCTATGATGATTTCTTATTAATCCTATTTGAAAACTGAGTTCTGTTACGTTAAAATCCGCCAAATCATAACAAAAAAAAGTTTTTTTTTAGTTAAAAATACTTGAACATGCACAGTATTAAAACTAAGGCCGAATTTAAAGAATTTGAGCCGCGGCTGAAATGTGGTTGATCCCACTTAAAATTGTATTCAATGTTTTAAAATTTAGGCCGGCGCTCCATTAAAACCGGGTTTTGGTAGATTTGAGACGCGGCTCAAATTCATTAAATTCGGACTCTAGTCATCAATCAAACAATTTTGTTTTGTCAAATCAATAATTTATGTATAATGTTTGGATTTTGCTTCTAATTTGGTACTGAATGGTAGTTTCACCCTTCCTTGGCGGTTTAAATTGAATTGTAAGGCTTAGTATAAGACTCATAAGACTAACTGAAGGTATCTGGTATTGGTGACTTTGGAGTATCTTTTTTTAGATTTCAAAGGTCTTAAAAAATTCAACGGCAACAGGTTTCAATCTCAAAACTCACTGAACTACGATCTTGCCAATTCACTTAAAATAGTTTACTGTATATCAACGGGTAATAAATATTGAAAAGCTTCTTTAGAATTTTTAAATTTAGAAAATTATTTATTTATCCCTGAAAACAATTACAGCGCAATTTAACATAATAAATCTTAAAAACGAGTAATCTATAAAAAAATATATAAAAATACAAAAATCTGCAAGTATTTATTAGATTATCACATCTGGGAGAATTTCTGTTTGTCTCCCTAGGACTTCTACAACATGTACGGATACTTTTCACATCTGGAGAAGAGACTCAACCTTTGCTTGTATCTTCGGCCTACCCTTGAGGTCGGCTAGTTCTACAACAACCCACGTAGAGACTACTTCTCCACCACACTTCTTAACCAGGTCTACAGCAGCCTTCATGGTTCCTCCTGTACACCATACAGTTCAACACTCGTACAATCCCAACCATTGAAATTTATAAACACGTATTCACGTAAGTTGATTTACATAAAAGTTCAAAGTTATTTTGACTCTCTACATTTCCTGTACACTACAGTAAACTTCAATCTGCAATACCATCAAAGAATGAGAATTCAGAGACGACTTTAGGGAATTTATAATGTCCATTTCCATATATTGAGGATTCCCTTCAACTATAAACTTGTATCTTTCATTGCCAAATCATTATATAAGCCATTTAAAGAACACATTCAAAGCAAAAGACTTGGAATCCTCATATTTGAAGAGTGTCAAGTCGTCTTTACAATCTCATCCTTTATGGGCAACTCTTAAGAATAAAATCCGAGATTTGTCTATTTTTCTCCCATGGATATGGATAAAAAGAATTTTAAAAAGGTTTCATTAAATGGGCAAAAATCTATAAACTTTAAAATAGAAATTCAGTAGTAAAAAAGTATGCCGTGGAATATTAGTTGAAGTAGAAAGGGAATCCTTAATAGTAACTTCTGAATTGAATTTACTTCTGATTAGAAAAGGTTAAAATATCCGATCTTTTCTTGACTAAAGATAGACGACATAAAGAAGGGCTTCAGAAAACTAACGGTATTGAATACTATGGAAACAGGACGAGGATTTACGAATTAATTCTCTTGTAACAATGTTAGGTTGACATTCCGTGCATGTAAAAGTTCCCTGCTCCGAATGTTAATTGTGTTTAAACTGTTCCTGTTGCAAGAAGATCATCTACTATTAGAACCCGGTCAGCTCGCTTCATACTCGACTAAAAAACATTATAAATATAACCTTCGTGAAACTTAGAAAAAAAAACTACAAATAAATTGAGTCGTTGCCACAAACTCTTTATTTTCTAAACCCAATATCTTCACAACCTGATTGTGTAAACATTTGATATATAAAACTTAGAATATTTAATCCAACATAATTCATAGTTTAAACTATTAACGACGTTGGATTGCATAGAGATCGGCATTAGTAACAGAGATTATGGCAAAGACTCTATTCCTTTGGTAGATACAAATAGACAAGATACAGCCAATGACGAATCTCAACTCAACCAAGTTGGGAATTTATGAAGATGTAGATAATTGAAGTTTATAGTATATCATTATCTACATCTAGTTCAACTATTGGTTCATAAAATATATTTATATAATTCTGAGATTTTCTACCTCTTGCATTTGAAGCTGATCATCTCCATATTCTAGAGAATAACTTACAGATACACATTTACCAGGCAGTTTACCCTTCTTCCTAGACAAACACGTACAGGGGTACACACAAAGGTTAACAATAATGAAGACAAAAATTTATTTAATTTACACGATCGGAAAGTCAAATTTGATATTTCTTCAAATACTCATTTCCCAATGGTCAAAACTTTTGTATTTTTAATTTCTCAAAGATTATCTAATCCGTATATTTTGTGATCCAAAGCGACGGTTTAATTAGTTCTGAATATTTCTTTGATGTGGGATCGCGAAATACGAGACAGCTGTTTTAACTACAGGGTGTCCCAAAAAACATGGGAATTCAGTCAACGGACAAGTTTACTCTGTTTGTATACTGCAATTTTCTTGTTTTACTAAGCACAACAGTATGCAGTCAAAACATAAACAAACAAAATGTGAACATAGCAGACGAAACTCTTACAGATTACAGCTTTCTCAGTAGGTATCACTATACATAAATCAAAGAGTTATTTGAGAAGACGATATCGGATTCGTCACTGAATTCCCATGTTTATTGGGACACCATGTAAAATAAGCATGCACTTAATCGCTCCATGTTAACAATACTGAAGTTTTCTCAAAGTTTGAATAAAAAGGTGTTTAACCTGGCCGGAACAAAAGGTTTCTGAATATGGTTTGCCATAATAGGACCCAGGAGGAAACCGCGTGAATCTAGAAACAATTAAGAATAAAAACTAATATTTTCTAAAATTAAATCCTTTATGTAAGGTTACTATATAAAAGACATCCTACAATTCTTAAATGGATTTCTTGAATTTAAAATAGTCAAGATAATTTCCAGTGATTTAAATGCCGCCATTTTTTTAAATTGAGGGTCTCTTGTTCCTATTAATGATCCATATTTTGCCCAAGAAATTCACCATTTCTCGATTAAGTTCTAAGACAGTAGTAACAAATTTTAATTCATAATTCGAAACCAAAAGAGATTAACAGGATTTAAATGAAATCAAAACATATCCGACAATGATTAAAGAAAAAAGAAAAGAAAAGATACTTGGGTCTTGGTTAAAAAGTAGGAAATATTTTTTATGTAATAAAATTAGTTAAGTAAAGGAATTCGTATTGGCTGTAAATGGTTTCGCATCAAATTCAGGTGTCCATATAATTCCATTTCTGATCCCAAATGACACACCAAATGGGATCGGGATTGAAAATACATTTAGGGGCATGAAAGTACACTTCATATGTCATTTTGAACTTTGACAAGTTTTTGTGTATGTGTACTACACTTCAGAAATGTGTACTGCATTTGAGGTGCTAAAAGATGTAAATATTAGTATTTAATGTAAGAGATAAATTATGATATACAGAAAAAACACTCCCTTGTAGTAAACATTCTGCAGTATGGAATTTTTATCTACAACTTGACAGACTTGACATTATACTTCCAATTGTTTACAATAACAACATGGTTAATTTCTGCCCCTAATATCAATCAATCAACATTTGGGATTGATCAGACCCCTTATTTCCTTTATTTAGAAAAATGATAAAATGTCTGCAAATCGTCAAAAGCTCAATTTAAGGACGGGAGCACTGTGAATAGCTGGTTCTCTAAATTCTCTTACCCTAGCTTTCTTTCCCTCCCGGCTATACTAGAAGTATGTGAATATATATTTTACCTAATCCTACAATAACATCAACATCATCCTTCAAGGACTCGGCATAATCTTTTGCCAGGCTGAACAACGCCTGTAAGTATTTAGCATTTATTTTCTAATCCATAAATCTTTAAAATTCGAATCATCTAAACCCATTTGGTAATCAGTGGTCGCTCGAAATAAATGGAATAATAGGCCAAAATAATTGATTAAAGGGACTGTAAGCGTAATTTCAAAAGACACTCTATTTAAAGATAACAATGCCCGAATCACAACAATACCCCTTAAACCTTTTTCTGATCAAGGATGCCGGACATATCCTTATTAATCTATTTTTTATGAAGGGTCACTTGAAATTGAGCTTACAGGACCTTTACGTATTTAACAAACATAGTTCTAGCAATGCCTTTATAGCTATTTTACATAAATGTGTTAATCTTTTATTAACACCATACACGACATTACCCCAATTAAATTTAAACATAAATAAACCCCTATAATTGTTGTTTATAAAATGTTGTAAATTCAGAAATTATTATCTTTTTTGGGCCGTTTAAAATAAACAAAAGAAAGGTTTTTATTAAATAATTTCTTGTTTTCTGTTTTTTTTTCTTTGAATGGATAAAATATCCTTTTAGTAATAATTATGAATATATTTTAGATAAGTGACAGGTCGAAATCTTATTCCATATATTTTTTTTCTGACTTCTGTACTTTCATTAGATAAATCTGACTTTTTTCTTAAAATAAAAACTTAGGGGGTTCAATAAAAAAGGTAATTAAGTGACTACTTTTCCGTGACATCTATTCGTAGATCGGATAAAATGCCTTACATACTTTAACAATGTGTTTCACTAATCTTGGGATTTATAAAATGTGGTCCGTCGGTTTCGTAGCTTTAAAACCAAATTTCAATAAAATGTATAAAACCGTCAATATTTCGTAATTTAAAGATATGGGGAAAATTATATAATAGAAAGTTCATTGGTCATGATTTATTGTTGTTGTGAAAAAATATCGTTCATTGGCAATGAAAAAACGATTTAAATTAGGTCGCTTAATTTCCATATTTGTCGGGCATGCTATATAGTTTACAACGTTAAAGAGATTGTTCAGGTATTTAAGGAGGACAGGAGAAACACGAGCTTTTCATAGGATTAATTCCATTTAATGGCCGGCACTTACAGGGAGTGACCGGCTATGTAAGGTAGTTGAACTGAGTAAGCAGTTTTGTGGAAAGCTTCTCGAATGAATCCGAAAAGAAGTTTTCCACAACACTGCATACTCAGTTGAACTACCTTACATAGCCAGTCACTCCCTTTAAGTAGATATTGTGTTAACAATACTCCCATTATTTAGGATTTTAGTTTGTTTACAGACATTTAAATGATTTCAGTGTGTTTTCTTCTTCTGCCTGTGTGCAAACCTGGGCAAAAATAGCCTTTTCAAAAATATACATTTCGAATTAACAACTTATAACAAAATTTTGTGGGAATTTGTTTTGGCGCCATATTGACACCACTCAGATCTATATATTTCTTATTATGCTTAGATAAAACCACAGGTCGTATCTATCTATCTACATTGCTCCATGGTAGGGTAACCACTAACCATAATGGTAACACGACTAACAACTCATTACCAAAACATTTGCATGATTCGCATGATTTTTCTCTATTTTCTCAACTGATAAAATTCAAAAGGAAGGGTCAGGTTACAAATGTAATACCAAGCTACGCTCGCTACCTACTATTCATGATTTTAGGAAATCGAATTAATCAAATCAATCCTCTGCCCTGTTAGGTTAATTATATTCGGACGAAACGTATACTGAAAATAAGGTTTCTTTTAAACATGGAACTCTTAGCATATACAATGGAACATAATATGGAACTCTTAGCATATACAATCTCTTCTTGGGAGAGTTTATGTATGAAAGAGTTCCAAATACCAATACTGACTAACCTACAAAGGATGAGACTGTAAAGACGATCCCAAGGTTTAATTTAGTCTTCCGGCTCGGTTAAAGTCATGAAATGAGTGATTAACTTAATTATATCTCATCATTCTGCTTGGAGAGTCATGTTTTTTTTTACAAATGGAGATTCTACTTTAAGGGACCGTTGACATAATTTTAAATGACCCTATATAAATAGATTGGTATGTCCGATTCAACACGGTACCCATTAGTCTGATAAAATATGAATGAGATATTATCTTGGAAAATTGATTATTTTGATTTTCCGTTTCTCTAGAAAAGTGATTCATGCAGTTACAAAATTAATTTGAGAAATTGTTAGACTTTAACTGTTAAAGATAGAAAGAAAAACGACGATACCTTTCACATCATAGATCAGAAAAAGTTTTGAAGGGTACTGTTGTAAATCGAGCATGACCCTCTTTCACTGGAGGGTGCCCCTTTTAAAAATGGTTGAGTACTGATCTAAGGTGATTTTCATACAGGTCAAATTACTTATGATTACCCACAAGGCACGATGAGCACGAGAGTATGAAGAAGACTCTTTAAATGTGACAAGGCCTGAGTTTAATCTAAGACTTCTGCATTGATTGAAGTCTTTGATCAGCTTACTTAATAATTTGGCAAAGAAAAAAATAAGTTTAATTTGAAGTGGATCATGCTTTCATATATTCGTCTCTTTAATCTCCTTATTTGTGGAAAACCCTGTTAATGAATGGTTATATTTGACGGAACGACCGTAATTACAGGCCAGAAGAAACGTTTAGGAATCCATAAAAAGAAAGTTAAACTTGATTGTTACTTATAATTTTTCTGCACAATATCTGAACAATCCCTTTAAATATTTGATTTGAAAGTAGTGCTATGAAAGATCGAAAGAAAATAACCCTGCCTCCAGAGCAATAGGGTTAGAGAAGACAGCAAAGATATCATGGAAAAGGATTCCAGGTTTAGGGAAGTCAGGATAGGAAGAGAACGAGGATCTAACTAGTTGAATCCGTTTATCCTCCTCCTTTACTTCTACATCCACTACATTACCAGACATTGTTTAACAAGTATGTATTTCTAAAAAGTTTAGAACAAAATAATTAAAACAGAAAAAACGCTGCATGATAAATATCACGGGATGGAACGGGTGCATGAAATGCAGTAGGTAGGTTGATTGATATCTCTGCTCCCAGGGGTAGGTCGGTAGATTTATCCCTTTGTTCCGGTTGAGAGGAGAGCAATGAACCCACTGGCAAAGCCAAGACTGATTCCATAGTTGACATGAGGGGAGGTTCCCTGAAAACAAATTGATCAGAAACAAGTTCTAAAATAAGCTAATAAGTTTTATCCGGTGAATGTGGAAATACGATCGAACAATACCCGACAGGATTTAAACAAATTAAAATGAGTATCGGGACAATTTACAAAATAAGGTGTTCCAATAATCATGAATATAAAGAGCCGATTTTAACTGAAAGGCTGGAGATCAAGAGTTCTCCTAAACGTAGTGTAGGTAAATATAAATATATATTTGTATAGAAACTAGTCACATTTCCTGCATTTTTAGGATAAATTTTCAATCTAAAACTTTTCTAAACAAATTATTATATAAGAGATAAACTCACATTGAGAATATAAAATGAGCTGAGGATGACGATTGCGAGGAAGAGAGAGTTGTTGTAGAAGATGGAGAAGGTGGTTGCCTCGTACTCGGCAACCTAAAGAATAGATTAGAAAGTGTAAATGGTGTTTGAACGCTGAGAACTAGCCATTTCTAACTTTGTTTCGTTTTTATCTTGCTTTGATGTTTAGTTTATATTACGGGGGATATTAGTTCCTAACCTAACACTTGGCCCATTTCTAACACTGAGTGTTAGAAATGGGCCAAATCTGCAAAGTTATCTTTCTCAAATGGATACATCTTTTAATCCAAGACGAGAAGAACAAAATTACAACATATATTTATAAAAAAAAATGGCTAAAACTATATATTGAAACAATAAATGCCAATTTAAAATAAATAATAAGGTGTGAGAATTAGTTTTTGACGATTCTTGATTTAATTTTTGAACATTTCCTGATTTGAGACAATTACCGGAATTCATATCAATGTCAATTTTGAAGCAATTACGCACTGAGGTGACAAAACGAGATTTTTGAAAAGCTTAGATTCTAGAAATAAGTTAATAAATAGTCTTCATAAGTAAATTTTTGTTTTCAGTGATTTATTTTGTAAGTTATGAAAATGAGTTTTGTTTTGAATTGCGGATTATACTCAAAACGGGAAAGTGGGTTTTGTCTCGGAAACGAAACAATGTTTTAAATTCAGGAAATGTTCGAAAATGGAAACCTAACATTGACTTGAAAACGGTAAAGAGATTTAATATAAAACGAACTCTTTTTATAATTATGATTCAAAAAATGAGTTGATATGGGCCGGTATCCCAAAAACCCTCGCTTTCAATTTGTGCCCATATCTAACACTGAGTGATGTTAGAAATGGAGTTTGGAAAGTATGTCCCCTGTATTAAAATTACAGGTATATCGTTTTGTATTATGCATGTCGTATGTATTGTGTGGGTTTGAAGTACAACAATGCAATTTACCATATTTACCACAAGATTTTTTTTAAATACTGTACAATGAAAATCTGAACATACAAAAAGGCTTGCAAAATTTGAAACAATTCTTAACACTTTTTAAGAAACCGTATTATTAGTTTTATTATTATTACTACTTAGATCTTTAGATTAAATTATTTTAATTAAGATTTTTTTGCAAAATCATTTTGTTGTTTAAAAATTATGGTTTACCCGGCCACACTAAATGTGTGAAATAATTTTGTTTCTTAATAAGATCAATAAAACTATTTAAATTACCTCATTCTTCTTCCAGAGAATTCTCTCATCCTTCTCCTTCTTACTGATCTTCTTATCGTCGGCCAACTTCTTGGTAATCTCCTTTGTAACGGCCGCCTCTCTCTTCACTGCAACTTTATGTTTGAGCACATGCTTTGTATTCTTGTAAGCGAATGCAAGGAGCCAGGTTGAGATAATTGTACCAATAACAAACATGATTGCATAAGCTGACACGTCGACAGAGTGTACACGCCAATATAACCAGACCGGGATAGCAGACACAATAAACCCGTTTCCGTAGAACAGAGCACTGGACTTGGTGGACACGTTCTTGTTGAACCCCTCCAGGAGCAGTTCCTCCTCCCTTGTAATCTTTCCTCCTACTTTAGGAGCCATTTTATTTTCTGAAACATAATTAATTAAATAACAGATCAGCTGTAGCTAAAATTCGTTTACAAAGTATTTAACAAAAATATTGACATTTGAGTGAGGGTGGTGAACTCTCTGGTGTATTATGCGCCGACAATGATGTTGTTGATGGGAATGTGGATGAGCTTGACGAAGAATCCGATGAATCCCATGATGCCGAACCCGATGGCGGTGGCGATAGCAATCTTCTGAAACTCCTTCCTGTCAGGTTTAGTACATCTCTTCACTAATCTGAACAAAACATATTTCATGTTAACCAAATGGTTAAATAACAAAGGGGAAGAACTTTCTCTTTCGACTTCAAATGAACTAAATAAATTTTTGTTCAATTTAAACTGATTTTAAATGTTCTGCTACTATAAAATATGCAATTAAATTTTATTGATAACTTAGTATCGACAGAACAAATATGTATATGATAATGAAATTAGTAAAAAATACTCCAAATGGATTAAACTATCATGATATGGTTTTCTTATATATATTCTAAACCAACCTGATAGAATCCTTGGAGAATTGACGAACTGGTTCCAGGGCAGTAACAATTTGATCCATGATGTATAAATGCTGAGGGATAACTCAGGAGTTCCAGTATATAAGAGAGCTACAAACTATCACTATCTCCACGTCACTGACGTTACACCGGAAGCAACCGGTACTAGCCAATCTACTCGATATAAATTTTTACGCGGATTCTAAACATTTGTTTAATTCTACGCAGTAATTAAAAATTAATTTAACAATTACAGTTTAGTTTATGATTTCCGAAATAGTAAATCACTGATATATATCTTTTTTCATCAAAACTTATTTCAAATGTAATCTTTGTTTCTAAATTAAATACGGTTTCAAATTACAATCTGCGTAGAACCTAATCTTTTTAAAACTCATCTACAAGTTTTATTACCAACAACCCGATATAAAATTCAGGGGTAAATTTCATAAACAATTTTTAAGAGTGAATTCCAATACTTCAGAGAAAATTTGAAAAGAATTTTTATTGAAAATCATAACTTTTCATCGAAAAAAAACTTTTTAACTCTATCGTGAAAAAATTGAAACCCTGTGATATTATTATCTCCTCGCTAGCAGACGGAGACCTGCTAAATCTGACAGGGGGCCAACTTTAATAAACATATCAAGAATGGCAACCTCTGACAAAGGTCTAGTCGGTATACCTTTAAGAGCTAAACTGTCCGCTAAATACAAGAATAGTTTTGCCTACCCAACCATCAAGGACAGATGTCCAGTCATACTATGCAAGGTAAATAGTTTTTTTTTAATCTTTGTGACAGAAAGAACTGACGAGGGTCAACCTATCACCATCACCGAATTTTAAAAATACTTTTAATGTTAAATAATAATAACTTATATCAATTTTAATTATTATTGTAATAATCATTGACAATCTATCATTCAGACTTTTAAACTAAATATTTTACTCAGATTATCGATCACCTGTATCGGGAGAGACTAAGTATAGGAAAAGTTTACGGAATGGAGGCGCAGGAAGGATTAAAGAAAATAATAGATCTTCTCTCTGGACTTAGGTAAACTTTTCTTGTTATTGGCTCTCAATCTTAGCTTATGATTGAAAACAATCAAATCCACGTTATTTATTTTAAGTTGAAATAGAAACCAAAAATTTGAAAAATTAATCATCATAAGAGCTTCCAATGAAAGCTTTCAGCTACAATTTCTTTATAAAAATCTCCAATAGTTTGATAAATATATAATAATTAAGAATTTTGTTCTTACTTTGTAATTTGTAAATACGTCAATACAAAACTATTGTGTAGGGGCAAATTTGGATGAAATAAAGCAAATTCAAGAGCTTTATTTAAAATTGTACGCGTAGCTAAGATAAAATTGTCTATGTCTGGTTTTACCAGGTATGAGATGCAAACTAATAAAGAGATTAAACCACTGTCTGATGGAAGAAAATGTTGCCAGGCAAGTTGAAAAGTTTTTTTTCTTTTCAAACTTACTTATGTTTAAGATTTAGATTTGAAAATCATCTTTTTTACTTCTGTAATCTTGCAATCAAGCTTAGACCCTTGCACACAGATATTATGCAGCTGACAAATTCTGTAAAATCAATGCAAGAATTAAACAAGACGGTTTGCTCTAAAAATGCATAAAACCTCTATTTATAATTTTTTAAATTTTCTATATTTAAAACCTCTTTTTTGACAGATTTGGAACGATTACTTGAACGATGAGAAGAATAAAGGAGAAGGAACAACATGGTTCTCTGCTTCATGGATGTGGTCAGAATGTTATTTATACAGGAACAATCAAACTTAAATTACTTCATAACAGGAGCATGCAGATTGCAGAGTTGTACAGGATTACTCACAAAGGATGAGACTGTAAAGACAGTTGTGCGAAAATTAATCAATCTTTCCTTGTATTTGTTGTTCCCTGCAGCTGCAGCTGCAATTGTGTCTCTTTCTCAGTCAAATTAGTCAGTTTATCTTTCCAAAGGACCAAATCAATTTCACCCTTCAAATTGTTATATGCAAAGGTCGTCATCCTTTTTGGATACAGGGTAACCCTGTATTGCTACATGAATATAAATTTTATTAATTTATTCTTTTCTTTCTTCTCTAATTCAATTATTTTTTATAAAACACTGTACTTTGCCAACAGTAAAGTTGATTGGTCTATAGATAGATCAATATTCACAAGATTATTTTTTAAACATGAATTCCTTGTTACCCTTAGATAAAGAATTTAATTTAAGATGATTTATAGGAGAATATTGGAAAGTATGTCAATTGTGCATGAACTTAGGTAAATGTTGTTTTCCCCTTATTGGGATTTTAGGTACCCTCCATTAATAGCAAGGGATGTCCTATTCGCGACGGTGTCCTTTAATGCTTTGTCTCATCAAGAATAAGGGAAATATCTAGTATTTATTTAATACTTTTCAAACTAGAAAACAATCACATAATTAATCATATAAAGGTTTACTGGGTACCATTGTAAATTTTTAAATTAACAGTTTCTCTGATCTATCAAATATTTTTAACCATAAATTGTGATATTATACTAAAATCATTTAAGTCTATTAAATTGGACATTTTTTTGAATTCCAAATTTTCTGTTCGAAGCAAATGTATTTCCTTTATAATGCTTATACTCGACATTTTTTGTTTTTAGAGATTTTGACTTTTTCCGTCATCAGAAGGAAGAAGGGTTTCGGGACTCCTTACTGTCTATGGAACAGCTTGGAGAATGGCTGCTTCAAATACTACCTGGAGAATATCCGTCCTGTTCAGTGGAAACTCAAAGCCTCTTCAACACTCTTCTACAAATCTCATTATGGGGGAATAAGTAAGAAATCATAAAATATTAAACATATTAGTTAAACTAGATTATATAAATTCAACGGGTGCGTTTTATTAACGAAAAATTTAAATCTCAAGGGAGAAAAACTTTAAAGAAAATCACCCCATCCCCGTCTAGACTTCACGTAGAAGTTAAATTTTGTTTCCGCTTCGAAATCTCTCATGATATCTTTCATTTTCTCGAACTTTGTTTAGGTGTGATCTATCAATCTCAGCCGGAAGTAAACAATCTGCCACCGGTAACACCCTTGATCAACTTCAATCCTTGGTGGACCGAATCCTTGTAGATCAATCCTCTCTTGCCTGGAGCAGTCTTGAAGTGTCAAACCAGACCGTAGATATTGTCATGGACAACGCAGGATATGAACTGTTCACAGATCTATGCCTCGCAGACTTCATTATATCCTGTAATAAAGCAACGAAGGTACAGTGATAACCAGAAAACTCTGAAATAGAAAGACGTCTTTAAAGTAACACTTGGGTGTATTTAATGTTACAAAGCTAATAGTTTTATTAGACACTTATTAAGTAAGTAATTACGTTAAATAGGTCTGTTTACACTTCTAAACTGCTGTGTCCCATGCTCATTGGACATAAATTGAGTCTAAAAGTCGTCTTCCTATTTGAGAGTTTTCTGGTTTTCACTGTAATAGAAGTTTATTAATTAAAATGATTCTAGTTAAAACTGCTTTAATTTAGGTTAGATTCAGGTTGAAGAACCAACCCTGGTTTGTATCGGATACAACCAGACAGGATTTCGACTGGACAATCAATAATCTCTGCGGAGAGAACGAAAACTCAGCGTTATCCAAACTAGGAAAATATTTCTTTCTATTCTACGAGTTTGTATTTTTTTCTTCTCAGTTTAAATTTCAAGGTTAAAAAAATTTAAATATCTGGGGCTATAACTTTTGGTTAGTAAAGCGCTTTATCCACAAGAAGAAACTTTAATTTTTAACTAATTAAGTTTAGGGTTTAGGGAAATTTTAAGAGATTGTTAGGATACGGTTAACAGAAACTGGTGTCTCTGTCCGACGACTGAAATCAAACCAAATGGGGAAGGGGGGCTGATTGAGCGCGCGCGCTTTGAACAGATTAAAAGTACAAAAGTTTTTACCTCTGGAATTTTTCAACTATTTTGTAGATAAAAATATTTAAATAAAAGGTGCAAGGTGGAAATCATACTTGACAAATGGAATGTGGGAGGTTCTAGTTGATTCGTTCTGGACCTATCCTCATGTATACTCGGAGCTGCAACAAGTTGACCCCCAGCTTTACTCAGGACTAGCTGAGGCTAAACTTGTTATATTCAAGGGAGACTTGAACTACAGGAAGCTGGTCGGAGATATAAACTGGGAAACAACAATTGATTTCAAAATTTGTCTGCAGGTAACCACCAACAGTATTTTATACATTATACAATCCCAATAGTTAAGACTTCTCTTTTAAGACTTCCTTGAAGGTAATTCCTAACAATATTAAAAGCGTCACAACTGATAAAACTTTGCCACGTCATTTGTAGATACATCTCTCAAAACTTCCTTGACGTAAGCACTAACTATAAAACTTTACCGCGCCGCGCTGGTAGATACATCATTAAAGCTTACTTAAAGTTAACCATTAACAGCTGGAGTGGATACCCTTTCTAAAAATTCCATGCATTCAAAACTTAATTCATGTGAACTTCAAAACTTTTTAAAAAACATTCGGGCGTACTCATAAAGTCCGGGGGGGGGGGGCTTTATTTAAAAAAATCCATAGATTCTGCACCTTTTGGGGCCAATTACCCCTTGAAAAACATAGATTTCACTGATCCAGGGGGGCCTTTCGTGTCTCTAGTGAAAACAATTTAAAATTCGGTGATGATGATGGACCAAACCTCATTCACCTCATGGAGTAAATAAAGTAGAAGTTGGTTCCACATTTTATTGAAAATATATCTCGGTCTGTGTTGACCCTTGTCTGGTCTTGAGATTGTAGTTGTCATGAAGATTCAAAACAATTGATAAAAGTATTCTATTCTAGGGATTCCTCCCGACCAATATCCTGTCTCTGCGAACCTTGAAGGCTGATGTAGTATCCGGGTTGGAGAATGGACAGGCGGAGAAATTAACATCTCAGGATAAGGATTGGATGATAAATGGAAACTGGGGACTAATCCAGTTTGCTCAAGCCTAGACTAATTACTTTTTGTTATATATACATTTTTATTCTGATGTCTGTTATACAATGAAATATAATAGCCAACAGTTCATCAGACCAGAATATTTATAGTTAATATTAAAATCTCTCCGAATTAAATGATTATAGTTAAGAAATAAACAAAAAAAAATAATCCAATACATACAGAGTGTATCAATATATATGAACATTATAATGTATAGATATAGTAATCTGTTTTTCTGTCCGACCATAACTCATAGACCCCTTAACCGATTTGCCTCATTTTATTTTGCAAACTGAAGAATTTTCGAAGTTAAATTGGTTGTTTTTTAAAGAGAAAGTTTAGATTTCCAAGGCACAACTGGGTTCCCAAGCTAGTTTAATTATAATTAGAATATATGACAAACCAATAAAAATCATGAATCCTATAACTCTTACATCGTTTTACAGAATTTGTTTTACAGAATTTAAACCGTTTCCTTGTATTAATAATTCCCTGCAACTGAATTTCTTTGCCTAATCATTGAATAATCCATAAAAAAATTATATTCCAAGAAGACCTAATTTAACCTCGCAATTGTGTCGTCTTTACAGTGGGTAATCCTGTATATAAACATCAGATAAATATTCCTGCACAATTACAATCTTATTTTTCATTCATTTCATACATATGCAGTATCAATATAAAAATATAAATGAGTTGATATTAAGATAAACAATTCACAGTGATCTCACGAGCCAAGAATAGATACTCCTTCACATTTCTCCCGCCTAGAGTAAATCCTTCAACTTGACATTTCTCCGTACAGCATTGCTGAACCCTTCCTTGAACCTGAACCATACATCTGTTTTCACAATCTCGTCAGATATACTTTCCTTCTTCTTCTGGGTCTCGGAGATCTAGAAGCAAGAAATATGATGAAATTATACTTGTACTTAATAAAATGTTGAAAAGGCGGAAAAGCTCCAAAAAAATGAGAAAGTTATTAAATCAGTTTCTACCCAAAGTTCAGAAAGTGTCTCATTGAGGTGAGATATAATATTAATAACAGGAGCTACCCTTCCCGTCCTCTCAGAACAGAAAAGACAATGAAATTATATCACGGTAGGAAAAATCAGGGGTTCACAATGAACAATTGTTTTTTTTATAGAAATGTTCTGTAAACATCTCCTGGCAACTTTTGGGGTTTTCGAATCTTCTATAATCTTGATGGTTCTACTTAATATTTGTATTTACTGTTAAATCCGTATTTATATTAAAATTGCATTAAATACCTCAATAACTCGACCGAAAAAGTCTGTAGCCTTCCTCTCTTTGATGTTAATCTGCTTAGGAGTTAGTTTAGCGAGATGACTCGTTGTCGTCTTACTTCCAACCGGAGTAGATCCAGGGGTTCCTGAACCTCGTCTTCCTCTCTCACCAGGTTTACCAGACGGATGTTTGCTCCGGGTTGGGGTTGAGGACTGGGCACTCTTTGCGTTTAGTTTTGCGTTAGTTTTATTCTCAGCAGCTATTCTAGCATTCACTACATCCACTCTATAAACAAGAGCAAGATAATATATTTATTTTTAACATGTTGGTTAATTCCTACATTATATTATATTTGATCCTAAATAAGTTTTTAATAAATCGATGAACAAAAGTTAACTTTGCCATGAAAAAAATGTTGCGAGAGAAAAAATCCGCCAAATTTGTCTAAATCCTCGATTTAAAAAGAGAACATTCAATTAAATTAAATCAAATAGTTACCTTCTCATCTTCTCAAGTTCTATCTCGTGAGCAATCAACTGCTTGGATCCATATGTTAGATTAACTACACGCTTAACATCTAACAATATAAACAACAAATTGGCTTTTATCATCTATACAGTATACCTACACAGTATACCTATACAGTATACATATAGAGTATACACTACTCAGTAAATCTCATTAGATCTATTTTTGATTATTTTTCGTTTGACTTCACCTGGAAAGGTTGCCACACTTTCTACGTCAGGGTCCATCTTGTATTCATACTAATAAAGGAAAAATATATTATTTAGATGATCTACCGATATATGAATACAAAGTCTCTGTTATCTTTTAAGACTTTTGAAGAATTTCCCAGCATAGTTTCTCGTTTATAGAATACCATGATCTTATTTTTTTAATTACACGTTTGGATTTATTATTCACAATCATTGTATTTTGTCTGTTATGTTATTAAATTATATATAAAATTATTATATAAAATAATAATGAAAAGAAATTCCACTTAACCTCATTTTATGAATATACATTCAAAATTAGAACCCGAAGAATTCCAGATTAATTACCTGTCCTTCCATATTCCTTTGTTGTTGGTAAGTGATGTTGTATGCTATATGTATACTGACAAGGTTGGCTAGCTCCGCCTTCTCCTTGCTTGAATACAACTGAGTGTTGACGGGACGGAATACAGGTTGGATTACGGAGAGCAGGGTTGGGAGAAGATCTTGGACCAATGTACTCCGGGAACAGTAAACTCGGGTCTTAGGAGACATCTCACCCTTCACACTCTCTACACACAAATATAACTTTGTTACTTAATTAACATAATTCTTTTCCGCATACTCTTTGGAAGTCAGTCAAGTCGACAAGAGTAAAAAATACCACAATGAGGTTTACAGATCATAATGTTAAAGGTTTTATTGTTAAAGTAGATATCTGTCTAGAAATTGTACTCTTTGGATATGTCATAAAATCAACGGCAATACAACCCTAACCAAAGAAAGTATGTAATGATAACTAACCTAGAACATTATTGCTCTGAGTGAGTCGGTTTCTAAACTCTGTATTCTGTGTTGGGAAAGAGAGTTTGGTTTTACTTATTGATGAGAAGAGGAAGTGTGCGGCTAGTATAGGGAAGTGTAGATGTCCCATGATAGAATAGTTCTGTGAGTGCATCATCTCCTGATGGAGGATATCAAAGTGAGTAAACCATTCTCCACCTTCCACTACGTTGTTCAGCTCCGAGTCTTTGAACTTGACGTTCAGGTAGTTCTCAAAAACACCTTCATTGAGAAACAGTTAATCATATATTTTAAATCTATCTAAATAGTCAGTTTTTTAACTGATTGATACGACACTGAAAATTATTTTTTAAGCATATTAAAATTATTGGATTTTTAAGTTTTGTAAAGAAAAAATTTCCTCCTGAACCTCTTTAATCTACAATTGTTTCTTCCTGAGATAATTCGCTCCGACTCTCCACAGCTGGCAATCGCAGAAAACACGCTCGTATACCTATTGGCCGGTGTATTAGAGGGATTCTTATTATCCTTCCTTTTGTACGACGTATCGTTTGAACTTGGAATTGTAAATATTTCGTCCCAAACACTAAACAAACTCTTCTGTGAGTCCTTTACTCCAACGGCAACACCGGCAATATCAGCGGAGCTCAGAACCTTTCCACGTCTCTTAAAGAACTGAAGAGTGGAGAGACATGAGCGAATATCATTATCCGTCTTCTTACACAGTGCTAGAAGAGCAGTTAAATCAGTTTTCATCGTCTCCTTCCGAGCAATCTCACGCAATCGTCCAGCTAACCTGTTGGATGATGTGGGAGGGAATGGTATAACTAAACCTAGTTGCTTGAGAGGTCTCAGAGCCGGAGTATAAAGATCGTTGCAGATACAAATAATGGGTCGTAGAACCAACATATCCTTATTCTTCTTCTTCCCTTTCTGTTGTCCTGTGAGAACTGAAACTAAGTAGTTGATTGTCGCTGGTGGAGCTCCGTCAATTTCGTCAATTATCAAACAATTCGGTCGCTGATCCTGGGACAGAACGCTTCGCATTTGTGTTGATGATTCAAGGTTCTTCTTAAATGCGTCGATAGATCTATCGTCGGAGGCGTTCATTTCAACCACCTTGTATCCGGCATGCAGAGCAACAATATGAGCTAGGGTAGTTTTACCCAGACCTGGAGGACCATGAAGTAATGCCACCTTCTGTTTAGGTCGGCCTGCCTCATCCAACTCCTCTAATACCTCGGGGAGGAAGGATTTGAACTGAAAAGTCTCGTCAACCTTCTTAGGTTCCTTCTTTGCTTTCTCTCTATTAAAGACAAGTTTATCCCAGAGTTTGAGCCAAAGCAGAAGAATTCTATTCGTTCCATCATCACTCAGCAAGTCCAGATAAGATCTAAAAATCAATTTTGGAAAGTGTTATTGAACATTTATAGAGACTAAATAATTAATTCTAAAGGAACTGTTTATTTCATTTTACAAATTTATTAACTAATAAAGGGAATCTCAGATAACTGCCGAAAGTGGACACTGGAACTTCAAAATAAAAAACAAAATTAAGGAACATATGAACACTGTATATTAAATACTAAAAACGATTAAGAAACCATGGAAAAACAAAGGAAGGAAATCTATGGATAAAATGTGTTGAAACTGTGTTTACTTTGGAGAATTAAAGTTTTATAGAACGATGAAAAACTTCAGCGGTGTTTATTAATTGTGAGACTCATATTTTTGCCCCCCCCCTTTCAGGATCATATTTTTCCCCAAATCCACAAAATATTTAGATTTAGTAGTATAATTGAGCGTTTTGGAGTTCTCATTTTAGGCAATTTATATAATAATGATAATAATAATAATTGCTGTCCAAACTTCAATCTAGTTTTTAGGCTTGACCTCCCTCCGTTTAAGTTCAAATGACTCAATATATATATATAGATAATAAACTTCGAACTAAGTATTAATCCAGAAAGCAAAGTATTGAGGAAAGGTTCCAAGAACCGAGTAAATACCTTGGTTTAAACTTCTCTACCCAGAGCTGAGTTTGTATCTCCTCGTCTCCTGACTCTATCCCGGAGTCTACTGTAGCATCCTCCTCTGGGGGTAGATTACTCTTCAACTCCTTCCCCGCCTGCTCCTGTAGCTCATGGAAGGGAACTCCACAGAGTCCGACAGGTTGGAGACTTGTTCCCAGATTCTTCTCCAGGCTAGGTTCTTCACTTATCATCCTGTTAATTTGAAGATGATTAACTGATGTTTTCATAAAACTATTTTGTTGATTTCATTAAATTATTGTTGACAAATCAGTGAATGTCCTACTTCCACAATCGAATTGACATGACTCTCTGTCTGAAGCCAAACACGTTAAAAAATCAAAATCAACCTGACATAATAGCGCTCCCCGGATGAGTGTGTGATTGCTAGATAATCAGTATCCGGTATTCTTCTGTACACTTTCCTCTCTCCGAGTATTGGAACTTTATAGCTACAAGGAGTCTGCGACTAAAAACAACAAAACATTTTAACGCAAAAATTTTCAATTTACAGGACTGAAGACGAAATTTTTGTTAGTCTTTATTTTTAAAGTGGCATGACGATTGTCGAAGAGTCCATTTCAAAACGTTACCCTTTAAACATTGTCTGATCAACGATAGCAATGAAAACCCGTATTTTTCTAGCCAAAGGAAACTGACCTAAGTGTTTTCTGGCCTAAGAGTCTTACGACTCAAAGCTGCAGCAAATCTTAAAATATGTCAAGTTAGGTCCAGCTGGGTAAATGGAGTTAAATCTGGGTTAGACGTAAAGATATAGTAGGGAGTCGATTTAAATCCAAAAAGAATCGTGGGGTGTTGAAACTGATCCTCATGTAATAATGGAGGCTAACTGGAAATTACGTCTAAAGTCTTTTTATTTCGTACCTGGGAGAACTGAGATAAAACATCACAGGTTTTTAATCTTTTATTGGTTGGAGTCGACTCTTTGGAATTTGTGTCCTTGGCACGTTTAGTTCCCAAGTATGGATTTGGAGATGAAATAGAGTTTTCAAAACTTTCAAATCCATCAAACTCCGGGCTGCTACTCCTGGCACGTTTCCCTATTCCAACATTAGATTCCGATGGTTTGATCCTGGAGAATGAATCTCCTCCTCCTCCTGGGTTTCCGAACTCCAAGGATCTCCGAGCAGGTTCGTTTTCCTTGTTCTGATCCTTCTCCAGGTCCCGCATTATCTACAACAAAATATATTTTTAAATTAAAACTTGAATAAATCATTTAAGACATCTTTGATCAAGTAAGCATGAATTTGGTTTCTTTGAACTTTTAATTACAGAAGTTTTTACAATTCTCAATTCTCAATTCATGATCATTGATAATTGATCACCTCCAGTTCATCATCAAGCATCTGATCAAGATCATCCTCTGGGTACTCTAATCCTTCTTCGTCCATATTCTCTGGAATCATCATAATTATACTAATAATACAAGTAAATAAAATATATATTTTTATTTCTAATAAAATTAAATGTAAATTATAAAATTTTATAAACTTCAGAACTTTAATTTCAAATAAAAGAGTAAAATATCTAGATTATATCAGGCTGAGATCATTAAAATAATAAATTTGAGAGATATGTTACATTTGGAAGAATTAATAGTCCACACAAATGGAGTGACTGAATTAATTAGTCCAGGTATATGTTTTGGACTGAATATAATAGTCCAGAGAAATGATGGGACTGACTGTATTAGCACGCGTGGAGATATGTTGACTTGATCATACAAGTCCGGGGAACATGTTTGGACTGAATATAGTCTGGGAACGTAGTGGGACTGATATAGAGGGCTGGACTAGATAAATTAATCCGGGGACGTGGTTGGACTAAAAATATCTCTAGGTCGGGTTCCAGCTCCATCTCCACCCTAAAGACACAAATGTAAAGAAATGATTAACAATAAAATAATTCAATTTTACTAGATGTTTTTAAAGAGAAGGAAACAATTTGAATTTTAAAAAGAGGATGGTATTTGCCCTTATTTTATTTGAAGTATAACCCAGAAGAAAAACAAAACTACGCAATAACCTACACGAATAGATACTTTTTTTCCATTGTAAAATTTACCTTAATCCTTCTTCCGTTCCCTCCTGTAGAACTCTGGTTGTGGATGAATCCTACTACAGGAGCTCGTCGTAAATGCTCTGGAGACTCTGGAGATTCTTCGTCCAATAGCGGAGTAGTCTCATTCTCCCTGTCCAGGGTCCTAATCCATCGCCACTGCTGGAAGGGAGCTGGAGGAAACGGTGGTTTCTTTCGTTCAATTATCAGCTGAATAACAAGGCCCAGGGATATACAGATTAATATACCGGTACCCAGCAGTAGATCTATCTTTTGTAAAGGTGGACAACTATACGCCTGACCGAACCCTGGAACTGTTGCTCGATGCAGGACGTTTCCAATGATAAACTTGAGGTTGGATCCTGTATAGTTATCTATAGCTAGAGCCAGGGTGAAGGTTCCAATAACAACACAGCTGATAATACTGGCCTTCTGGGTGAATGCAATGAATAGTACGGTGGGAGCTAACATCATACAGGTGAATGTTAACCAGTAGGTTGAATCTGAGAAGAAGGTTGGATAGCTACACAGGGGTATATACATGAGTAGGCCAGCTAGTAGGAATCCAACCAGTAGAGTAGGTAATACTACGGATAGTACAGGTATACCTAGAAACCACCAGATAGCTAGGAATACAATAGCAGAAACTAAACCAACACTTCCTGTCAATACAAATGTTATGGTTTCATCATACTCCGTATATAAACTCAGTAGGATGTATCCAACCAAGGATCCAAAGTAGAATCCGAACAAAAACTGTGAACATTTAAAAAATCTGTGCCCCACAACGGTTAGAAACGTTCCAACAAAGACTCCCAGAGCACAGGACACCCAGAGAAATGAGAAGTTTCCATGACTACAACCGTTGTAAACTTCATTATCTTCTTCTAGTTCAATACCGTAGGTGTGAGCTAAACCATACAAAGAACTACCGTTCTTCGAGTTAACTATAACCGCTATAATCCGTCCGGTCCTGGGATAGTTTACCAAGGATATCCGGTCCTTGTGGTGGGTTAAGGTGGTCACTAAGTTTCCATTGTTCACAATATCATCTTGGTCCACGAATCCATTATACCCAATCTCAAAATATTTCTGAGTGCAGTCGTCTTCTGGGAGAAAATACTGATAAACCTGATAGGTGAACTCCTGTATCCCGATACAGTTCATATTGTGCTGACCCGCCTGGTTAAAACTGAGATATATCAACTGATCTTTCCATGATAGATCTAGGTATGGTTTGACAAGTACTCCGGGTTCAGTATTGCAGGATCCAGGTACAGGGCTATTAGAGTCATATGCTCTCACAAACACTGGAATAGTAAATTAATAAAAATAATCGCATAAAAAATGTTTATAAGAGTGGCGAAAATTCCAAATTTTTTTATATCAACTTAAACTTTGAAGAAAACACTATATTTTTAAGAAAATAAATAAATTTAGGACGAAAACATTTAAGTTAGTCTTCGTTCAGTTGGATTTTTCCAACCCGGATCTCTGGGGCCAAGGTGATGGGGGGACATAAATTCTAAATACCCTCCCCCCCAGAAAAGTTTTTTTTTAAATTTTGTATTTGTTTAATTGTTCCTGACCTATCGCTGATATATTGCTGGGATGAGGATTACTAAGAAGAACTCCTCCAGGATATATACCATCTATGTATGGTATGTATAGAGCAGGACTAGTGGAGTTGACTAATCCTTCTTCTGTTCTCAGGAAGGAGGATAGAAGAAGGAACTGTTTCCGAGCGTGGGCTTCAAATATTAAAAAATCTGTTCCATGGTCCTGCTTCTTGGAAAGTAATCTAAAATAAATGTGTTTTTTCACGTCTGTACATGAAAATACTTTTCTTAGCAGTAAACCAATCATATTAATGACTAGCTGAAGGGCCTGGCGTTGCCCGTGATAAAAATTTTAAGAACTAATTTTTGAAAAAAAATATAATAAAAAAAATATTTTTAAAAAAATATAATTTTTTCAGCTTGTAACGCCCCCCGGCAACATATAAGTGTCCACACAAAACTTCAGCCTAATCGGTCCAGCTGTTTGGCCGGCTATAGACAATATATATATACGAATGTCTTGTTTTATTATATAGATTAACTAATCTGTTCGCTCAATATGAAATGTGATTTACTTCGTGAAAAAAATAGAATCATAAATATTAAAACTTTTTTAAAATTAATATCTAATGGTTAGAGATAAATTATCAGATATACTTCGTAAAAATTCAAGATTTTATTAAAAGAAACGTCAAAATTGCTGAAAAAATATTTTCCGGGAAGAAAAAACAAATAGACATGAAACAACCCAATTTCATCCAAAATAAAGTCAGTTAAAATAAACTTTATAGAAAAAAAAGAAAATTAGTTAAGTTAACTTTATATAAGAAAAAACGAAGTTTTTGTTAAAATTTTGTAATGAAAGTTTAAGGTAAACCTGTAAGATGAAGAGGGTTGCATAAGCAGAAGCTGAGGAGTACTGCTAATCTCTACAGTTTCGACATCATCCTCCCCTTGAGAACTATAAAGAGCAGACGGAGATATAGCTACTTGTTCATCCCAATCCTTCCAGTTAACCATCTGCAGTTTTCGTCCTCTTACTCCACCTTCTACCTGGAGTAGAGAATCCTTAAACTCTGTCTCCGAGCTGAGAGAACCGACGAGAACTAAGAGGTAGATGCAACTCAAAAAACTTCTCATGATTTCATCTGGAAATATAGTGAGTGCACTTCTATGTTAAAATTCACATCTAAAATATACTGTTTGGACGGATATAGTAAATTATCACAGATTTGTAATATTGGAATGAGTTCTTCAATCAATCGTTTAAACCCAAATAGATTTCCTTAATAAGATTCATTAAAAATCATAAGTTACAGATAAATACCCAGAAATAAATGCAAATACAATTGAATACTGAGTGCAAACATAAATAAATACAAACATGCTGGAACGATAAGAAAATGCGGTGAAGTCTGATAAACACTTATAGGGTTTGATTAGACTGTGATAATTTTACAGGAGAGATCAAAAACAATTTTTTTAAAAGAGTCTGATGGTCATATTTCATATTGATTAAGCGATTATTTATTCGAAAACAGAATAGCTTGAAAGATAGGGAAAGACTAAATCTAAAAGTTAATGATAAAATACAAACGATTGATTAATTAGCAAATTAATTAGCAAAGAGACAAATGTAGTTTTAAAACTTTCAGGACCAAAAGTAAGGAAAGCAAAATTAATTCAGCCACAAATTTTAATTCCATGTAAAATGTTGTCCATAGTAATTTATGTGAAGAAAAAACAACTATGCAAATAGAAAATAATGAAGCCCAGAATGAAATTTTAAAAGTCGCTGAAGTACTTAGAATTATTATTAGTTAATGCCGACAAAATTATTTGTTAAACAAGCGATTATCATATTTTCTTGGACGGATCCGTCATTTATAATTTGTACTTTCTTTAAATATTATTGGTACGGATAATTAATATCAGAAATGGCAAGGATGGATTTAAAATCCAGTGCTCGAGGTGGATACTGGATCAAACTCATCAGTATCTGCAAGTTTTCCAGTCTGCGGAGTCATACACAATGGTTTACTTGTCTTCTTCCCGCACAGATCTTTAGAGATTTCCTCTAAAGATTTTCCTTTAGTTTCTGGAACAGCTAGGTATATAAAGAGAATTGCTAGTAAACCGAAGATGAGATGAACGGTGAACACTAAGGGTAGAGTGAGAACTCGAACTGCATCAAGGAATGTAACGGAAACAAATACATTGGCCGTCCAGTTTACAGCTTGGGCTAAACTCATGGCATCTCCCTTCAGAGATACAGGGAACAACTCCGTGAGGAGAATCCATGTGACCGGACCGAAACTGAACGAGAAGGCTGTTACATAGACAACCAGGGCACAGAAGGCGATATAACGGATACCACTGGGTAACATGAGCTCCTCGGACTCGCAGAGCTCAATCTGAGGAATGGTCACATGTTCAATCTCGGAGAATGCGTTCTTGTGTAAATGATCTGTGTAATTAGCTCCGTGCGAACAAGTTTCTCTTTGATGATATCCCGAGGCTGAGTACTGATATCCAGCAAATATTGTGAGGGCTAGAAGGGATATCGCCATGAGAGTTGACCCTGCGAGAAGAAGAGATCTCCGTCCTACTCTATCTACCATGACAAGACTGATTACTGTAGCTCCCACCTTCACCAATCCCAGTCCTGAACATAACACAAATAAGGCTATTTATTGAATCAAACTTGTTCTAACTACTTGTCAATTTGTACTTATATTTTATCTACCCACGGAAGCCATTGCTGAGAGTGTATCTCCACAGAATCCCACAGCTTTGAATATATCTGTAGCGTAGTAAAGGATATTAGGTTGGCCGGTGGCTTGAAGGAGGATAACAAGTCCTATACCGATAAATGTTCTCCATCGTAGATTATCCTTAAATATGAAGAGAATAATTACCAGAATTAGTTCAGATCAAGACAATTTATCAATCTTGAAAACGTCTTTGAAGTCATTAGAATGAGTAAAAAATTAGTTAGACGAATAAGATAGAGTGAGAGAGTAAGAGTGTGAAAGTATAAAGAGTGAGTGAGTAAGTGAATGAGTGAGCTAGTACCTGAGTAGAGAAGAGTTGTGAACAAGAAGCTGCTTGGGATTGTTGGCAGCTGTGCCGGATATTCGCCAACTCTTGTTTAACGGAGCTTGTTTTATGTATCCGCCGGAGAACTTTCACCGCCGCTGCCTCATTCTTCCGTAGAACCAGATAGTGCGGAGTTTCCGGTAGGAACCACATCAGGAAGAATTGAAAGACAGCAAACACTAAAATTTTACATTTTCTTATCACGTCCTTTATTAAGAGGAAACGATTATAAAAATTTTACAACTTATTTACAGACATAACCCTAAACAATACTAAAAATAAAAAAATAAATGCACAGTAAAAAAGATTAAATAGTGTATAAGGATATGGATATTAAGACTAAAATCTGAACTGAAGACCAAATATACTCCACCATTCTCAAGCTAAATCCATAAAAATAGAGTTGATTTGTGATTTTATCTCATAAATAATAACGAATTAAGAATGAACATGGTACTTCGACCTCCGAATAGATCCATGCTGAATCCTTGAGGATAAAATTTGACTATTTACTTGAAATAAAACCAAACATAATCCTCCATCCTCCGACTGAATCAATGAAGATCTAGTTGATTATTTACCTGAACTAAGACCGAACATAATCCTCCCTCCTCCGACTGAATCCATGAGGATATAGTTAATTATTTACCTGAAATCAAATCAAACACAATCCTCCCTCCTCCGACTGAATCCATGAGGATATATTTGACTATTTACCTGAACTAAGACCGAACATAATCCTCTTTCCTCCTCCGACTGAATCCATGAGGATATATGTTCACTATTTACCTGAACTAAGACCGAACATAATCCTCCATCCTCCGACTGAATCCATGAGGATATAGTTGACTAGGAAGGCGAGGAGGAAACCCAGTGTTATCCCAAGCTCGTTCAGAGATACCAGCATACCTAGAATAGTGTGTTAACTTTCTCCAACATAGGCGGGGGGTATTTATCTAAGAATATTACTGGAGCTTTTTTAACTTAATACCGGTCCAGAAATAAACTAATCTAATGTATAATATCTAACGTGTGTAGGCCCTGTGAAGGATCTATTGTACCTCTATTTGAAGGTGCTGATATCTCTGAAATATAAAGACACTCACTCATAGCAGACAGGCTCACTGCAAACCCGACAACAAACCTGAAACAAATAAAACAAAATATCAAATAACAAATCTGAATGGTTGCATAACCTTGAATGGTTACAATAAAAAATGAACCAACAAGTAAAAGACTAATCACCTTCCAACTAGCAGAACAGCAAGATTATCTGAGAACGCCATTACAAGAGAACCAACTGTAAAGGCTACAGCTGTCAATTGAATAGTAGATTTTCTTCCAATCCTGATTAGAACCATAATTGGTAAATTACTTTTATTACTAATTTTATTGTGGGCATGGGATGATAATTATAAAAAGGAGAAAGTGTTACCAAAAAAAATTGTGTTAATTTGTTTAAAATCCAAATGTAACCATTATCATTTTTATGAAAATATACAATTTCGTTACTTGGGTTAAAGTGAAAGATTTAAAACGTTTAGTGTAACTTAAGTATAAATTTAGCCGGAAAATCGACAAATTTGCATAAAACCAACTTTTGAATAATAAAAGTATGCTCTGGTTCCTGTTTAATAGTTTCCCGGTCACCAGACTAGCAGAGAGAGCTCCCATTGGCATGAGACTAACCAGTGCCTCCTCCTCCCCACATGTTAAATCCATCTCATGAGCAACCTGAACCTTAGCTCCAGATATTACTCCAACATCATACCCAAACAATAACCCTCCTGACCAACAATCATATTAGAGACTAGCTGAAGAGTCTGGCGTTGACCGTGGAATTTAAAAAAATCGAATTTAATTCAATTTTTGAAGCTCACAAAAATGAGTGGAGAGCTTCATTTTCTAAATAATTACATGAATCTATCAACCAATGTAAAAGTGTTTTTTTTTTGTAAATTTTCAGGTTTTAACAGAAAAAAAATCATAATTCAACGTGAAAAGCGACGAAAACTAAAATTGAATTTTTAATTTTTTTCAGAGTACAAATTTACCTACCAATCATGACTTTTTATTTTCAGAAATCAAGTAAATTCCTAAGTTAATTAATATGATTTCCTATAGCTGCAACAATAGAGGAGAAGTAAACAATGTTGAGACAAGTGTTTTCATGGCTCCGGTTTGGTTGATTAGTGTCCAGGATATCCTCGGAGAAATCATCCTCTTCATCCTCAGCTTCGTTAACGAGGATTCGTCTGTCCTCGTCCATCGTCTTTTTTCACATCTGTAAAATATGTAAAAATTATTTCACTAATAATATAATCTCGAACTAGAATAATACATGGTATTGATAATCAAGTTTTATCACAGTAATTATATTGAAAAATATCACAGGGAATTAGGTGCAATTGCTCTGGAATGTATTGCGCTACAACTGGAGTGTGACCCACTAAAACTAAAATTTCATATTTTAATTTTCTACTTAAAATTTAGTTTAAATGGCATATAAGCTCTGACACAAAAATGCAGAAAAATCAAAACAAAATACTAAATCAAAACAAAAATACTAGAGCTCAGTTTTTTCGACAAATTTATTCTTCTGTAAATTTTTAAAGATTTCTTGAAGATCTTTCGGCGCTAGCTCTGTCGTCAATAATTTCTCAACCCTTTTCAAAACCTGAAAAAAATATTTATTTGACATGGATTAAAAAATAAAAGCTCGCTTCTCACTATAAAAACTATCTAAAAAAATTGTTCAATTCTTTAAAACTTAGGTTATTATTTTCTCTTTAACCAAAATTAATAATGTCTGTGGTATATATAAAATATCACTACCTTCTCAGAGTCTAGTAACGCCTCAGAAACCTTACTCAATGCCGAAGATATTTCCTAAATTATGTTGTTATTATTATTATTACTATTAAAGGACAACCCAGCATTCAATGAAATAGGGGTCGGTGCTCCTAACCACCGAAACGTATCCATGGTCAGAAAACTTACAACAGGCGATCTGCCTGAGAACGTTCCATTTCTGGAAACATGTAATTGTATTAACAATTTAAAAGTTTAATACAAGACCAGTAGAAAAGCAAGAGTTTCCTTTGTATATACCAAAGAAATTGTCATATACCCCCCCCCCCCTCCCGGGGCCCGCCCTCTCCACCATTCATAAAACAAATAGTTATGTAATATTTAAAATTCGAGAAATCCATGATTGGTATCAACTCCAACCTGAGCAATCTGATGATGTCTAGCTGCCTGTCCACGGAGAAGCAGAATCCAATCCTGATCAGTCTCTGGTAGGTTCTGCAGTAGCTCAGGGGGTATAGGAACTACTGGTAGATTCTCCAGGATGGTATCAGAATACACTCCTACTCCACCTCCGTACAGGTTCCATAGTACGTAGATGTTCAGGGTACAGGTCAAACACTAGAATAAGTTTTAAGTTTAAGAGTTCACAAAAAAACAGTTTTTTTTGATAAATATAAATTGTCATGCAACGACTTCTTTGATTTTTTAATTCTTAAGGAAGACATAATTGATTTATAATGCTTCTTATCCCCACCCATTAATTTCCCCATCCTTCACAATATGATTATTTTATGTTTTATAGTTTTTATCCAAGCCCCGGGGATACTAGTCATAATCGATTCAACTTCTAATCAAACAAAACTTCAAAGTTTTTAAAACATTCCATTAAAAAACCCTAACTTACCAGTATAATCCCGACTACAAGGATGACGGGTAGTAATGAGGATCCGTTGAAAAATGATTTAATATCTGAACTTGTTGTTATTGTAGGTGTACAGATCACAGGACAAGATCTAGAACAGTCCGACCTTCAAAATAATATCTCAAATCTTCTCAAACCCAAATATAAAAAATATAGTTTCTAAGGTAAAAATATATAATTTTGAGGAAGTTCCTGTTTTGTTTTGGTTTAAGAGGAGCTGCAACTTTAAACTCGTCTTCCCTGTATGATTCTAGTGCTCGTCCTAGATCTGTGTAGTAGTTTCTTATACCATTCCAGGCATTCGTTTCTAAATAAAATATAATTACCATTACACTACTGAAATCTGAAACAACCGTTTCAGTGGCGAATAGGAAAAATGGATCGTAGTTACAATAAGTAACTTACGGATTCATTCAGCAGAGAAAATGAAGGATATTGACAGAATTTATCTATTTGAAAAAAAAGACGATATCTTCATCATTGTTACCCAGAAGCAGGGGCGTAATGGGGGGGCAACAATCTTGTGTACCCCTAAACAGTTGACTTTTAACCATATCCCAGTTGGGCTTTTTTGTCTCCCCATATGATTTTGCCCTTAGATATGAGATAGGGGAGTGTGATACATGTCCCTAGTAAAGTAAAAAAATTATACCTCTATCTTTAATGGTTAGGGTGCAAAGGAGGATTTAAAAAACTTCAAAAAGTACACCCATTTTTCAAGGGCATTTCAAATATATAAATGTTTGCCCTGTAGCTTAAATGATAAAAACATATTAACCATTTCTGATTTTTTGAAACACCGACCCGCCGCCGTTTGACTGTCCTCCACCCTACCCTTTGTATTAAAAAAAAAATTCGCACCTTCTTCTTCATATCGCAAGTTTACCTATTTTTTCCTTGAGGAATCCCCAGAGTTCCTTCCTGAACACAATCTCTGCCTTGGCGACCAGCCTGCACGTGGTCGGACTCTCCTTGTATGCGCAGATATGAGTGATTACAGTGAAGGAATCCGCGTAGGGAACTCCGCTGTTAAATGCTTCAGTATCAATACAGTACAGCTGTCCTGCTTCTTTATTTAACAGCTGCTGTTGTTCTTTTACCTGAAAAATAAGCAAAATAAAAAACTTACGAGCAACGTTACCAAGGCAGATCGACAATCGCAGAAATCAGACGAGGACATTTTAAACAATTAGTTGCTAAACGTTTGGACGACTGTCATTTGAACACTGATCCATTGCCCTATTACATATTTGAAGAAATTGTTAATTTTCATTTTCAGTAGTTCAAATAACTTTTTATTTATTTATTCTTTGTGCGGCCTTCTTTCTATCCATCTATCTATCTATCTATGGTTTATGGATGATCAAAATTCCTAACTTTCGTTTGATAAGCATTTAGTCATAGTAGAAACATTTTCTATTTTTCGAGGTCATTAGAAGTCATTAGAGGTCATTCGTGTCCAATTTAATTTAATTTTTGGAAATTAGTTCCCTAATTAGACGTGCAGCCAAAAATTTGGAAGAATTGAGCTAAAAATGAAGGCAGGGACCCCCCCCCCTCATCAAATAGGACATCTCCACCATCCCCTTTTCTATAAAATCCGCTAACTTTTTTTGAAATTGAAATTTTAATAGTACGAGAAGCCCCCTGAAAGCCTAGTATATCTAATATCCATAAGTTTCTTATTTCATTATTCCTCTTTGTCGGCGAGCATTTTTCTTTATTAATAAGGTTCCTATTACTTCTATGTTCTATTCATCTATCATCCATTAATAATTAATATTGTTAACCTGACAAGTTTTTGGTCCAACTGGATTATTCATCTTCATATTGTAGGCAACCTCACGGGAACTTGTTCCACTGTAATACAATAATATTTCTTTATTCATTGATCTTAAAGGGACAGTAAACATTTTTTAAGTGACCTTCCAAGACAAAATGGTAATGCCAGATTCACAATGATTATTTTCAATTTTGGTTTCTCTACGTAAGTGAATTTTTTGCATTTCTACTGCAGTAAAACGTATAGAAAATATCAGAATTAAACACTGTTTATCCTAGAAAAACGAGAATATCTTCCCCATTATTGATCAAGGGTATAGTTGTGAATCAGGCATTGCCATCTTTGCATGGATGGTCACAGTGAAATTACGCGTGCAGTCCCTTTAAATAATACTAAATAGAGAATTGGTTAGGATTCAGTTCATTTGTCAATGTGTCACAAAACAACCCATTAGGTCAACTGAACATTTGAATACTATTTCCTGTGTTTTATATGTTCAACTACAGGATGAGTAAACAAAACCGGGATTAGGGCTGTTTTACACCACACACAAACACTTTTTGCAGGGTTCATGTTTAATGCTAAAAAATATTATAATGTTATTATCAAAATGAAAAATATTTTTTGCTAAACAATTTCTAAAGAAAAGTTAATTTTCTACAAATAAAGAACAAAATTATGTAAGAATTTATCTAATATTGCAAATGAAACCTATGTAGATAAACTGTCCTTGAACAAGTCTCTAGTAAAGTCAAACATGATTTACGCGAATCCGGCTGAAAATGCGTGGAGAATTCCACCGTTAAAAGATTTACTATTAATCCGGTCAAATCCAAATGTTTTAGAAGGATTTAACTATGATGAAATAGATGTAATTATTGATGATATATGTAAAAACTAAATAAGTTTTTATTTTTTTAAATTTTATTTTATTGTTTTCGACTATATATTAATTCTATATTTTATATGTTATATATCTCATTTCTCGTTGATTTTAAATTGTACCATTATAATTGTGTACGAATAAATAGAATATATATAAAGTAGTTTACCGGATTTTTTCACATTTACCGAAATATAGTTTTTGCATTTGGTTCATTTTATTTCAATACTTTCCAACCTAAGATTTAAGTACCTGCGAACATTTTTTAATGTTTTGTAAAACGGCACCATTCACTAATTCGTGTTTTTAAACTAACCCTGTATATTGTTGAGGATGAGATCAGTTTTCTATAATTGTTTCTATTATTTGACAAATTCCTTTTGATCGTCTTATTAAGTCTTATTTTAGTCCACTTCCAGTAACTGGATCTGGATTGCTATTAAATAATAGAATCCGACAAAAATTTTAGATATTATATTTTTTCTCGACAAAACACGCTAGCAAGCAGGTACTTCAGGCTTATTAACCCTCGTTTACATCCTGTTTAATATAATGTCAATTGGAAATAGTTGAACTTTTAATTAAAAACATAAATTTACTTACGTGTCTGTTTTCTCCCACTCTCCAATATCAAGCTCTGTAGTTCCACGGTCCTTCTGGAAGTTGAAGTAGAAGTTGGAGTTCGACCATAGCAGGTTATATATCTAGTAGACATAGAGTAATCATATACCATAGCAGGTTATATATCTAGTATACATTGAGTAATCATATAACAGCAGGTTATATATCTAGTGGACATAGAGTAATCATATACCATAGCAGGTTATATACCTATTCGACATAGAGAAATCATTTATCATAGCAGGTTATATATCTAGTAGACATAGAGTAATCATATACCATAGCAGGTTATATATCTAGTATACATTGAGTAATCATATACCATAGCAGGTTATATATCTAGTAGACATAGAGTAATCATATACCATAGCAGGTTATATATCTAGTATAGACATAGAGTAATCATATACCATAGCAGGTTATATATCTAGTATGTGATTATGTGAGATGAGATCTGCAAGATGCCCTATCTTGGGCAACCCAGACCGCCTACAGGACTATCCGACCCCTAGTATACATTTGAGTAATCATATACCATAGCAGGTTATATATCTAGTAGACATAGAGTAATCATATACCATAGCAGGTTATAGATCTAGTATACATAGAGTAATCATATACCATAGCAGGTTATATATCTAGTATACATAGAGTAATCATTTACCATAGCAGGTTATATATCTAGTATACATAGAGTAATCATATACCATAGCAGGTTATATATCTAGTATACATTGAGTAATCATATACCATAGCAGCTTATATACCTATTAGACATAGAGAAATCATATACCATAGCAGGTTATATACCTAGTATACATAGAGTAATCATATACCATAGCAGGTTATATACCTAGTATACATAGAGTAATCATTTATCATAGCAGGTTATATATCTTGTATATATTACATACTGTACTCATTGTATAAACGTTTTTTACTAAAACTATGAATGAAATATTCCTAAATTGCTGCAAAGTTTACTCTACTATATTTACTATATTAAGTGGGTACGATCTGAAAAACAATTATGATCTAATCTAAAATAAAACACTTGTGTATTGTGTAATATATATATATCAATATAAATAAATATAATTGCAACCTTGTAGTATGTATTATGGATTTACATTTTATTATCCTGAAACAATAAAAATGAAAAGTAGCGAAACAGGGTGTATATATTTTTTCGAAAAATCATTTTTGAAAATTATTTTTTCTTTTTGAATTTATTTCTGCTTATAAGTTATAATTTGTTTAGGGTTTTATTCGCCGAGTTGGGAAAAAAATGATTTTAGGGGGAGATTATAAACAAATCACTCCCGACCCCCCCCCTCACCTGGGGTAATTCTGAAAAATATACACCTCTGGGATATGACCTAAAAGTGGGTCGAAATATATATGGGATAAAAAATGTAAGATTACATAAATACATACGAGAGAAGAGCAATCAAAGTTGTTAAATTGTTTTATGTTAGGGTATATGGTGGAGATATATGGAGATATATGGAATTGTAAATACTTGGCAAGTCAAAGTTTAAAAATGGAATTTATATTTCCATTACTGTAGTTTATCTATTGACAGGTGTTAAAATTATCCTGTAAAACCGTTTTTAACAAGAAGGTTCATGCAACGATAAAGATAACTGTTAATAATCAATATGATTACGTGGTTTTAAAAACTACCAAATATGAATGAAAAAAACAATATTGATAAAAAAAAGTAACTTAACACTTAAAACTTTAAAAATACTTCACAAAAAAAAACATTTTTTTTAAAATTTAAAATACTTTTAAATGTTGGGTTTGTTTAGAACTGAAAACTCAAAGGGTTTGTATCCAGGATTGATTTAGAAATTTATCCAGAATGAGTTCAGAACTGTTTCAGGGTGGATTTGGACCTGTGTCTAGGATGGGTGTATTTAACATCTATAGCCTGATCTATCGGTTTGTTTGAATATGTATGTAGGATGTGATTAGAACAGTATCTAGGTCCCTAGGATGTGTTTAGAAATGTATCTTAAGTAAGTTTAGAACTGTATCTAGGATGGGTCTAGAACTGTATCCACGATGGATGTATTAGACTAACCTGATCTATTGGTTTGTTTGGAACCGTATCTAGGATGGATTTAGAACTGTATCCGGAATGGGTATTGGGTTTAGAACTGTTTTCAGGATTTAGAACTTTATTCAGGATGGGTTATGAATTGTGTCCAGGATGGGGTTAGAACTGTATCCAGGATAGGTATTAAACTAACCTGGTCTATGGATTTGTGTAGAACTGTATAAAAGATTGGTGTATTAAACTAACCTGGTCTAGAGATTTGTGTAGAACTGTATCCAGGAAAGGTATTAAACTAACCTGATCTATAGATTTGTGTAGAACTGTATCCAAGATTGNGGATCCACTTGGAACCCAATATTATTTGCCATGTAGTCCAAATCACACATTAAAAAATTCAAATCTCATTCAGATACTAAACGAAGAGTAAAACTGTCAATTACGAATTCTGATATCTGAAATTACAGCAGTGAATAAACCATAAATTGAAGTATTTGTTCATTTCGTTTTTGCTGATTTTGTTTATATGTTTTTGCCGATTTAAGAAAAAAATTAAATCTGTCTATTTTTTCATATCAAACACATATATATATAAGCTTTCTGATATTTAAATAACTAGGCTTTTAGGGCGCTTCGCGCCCATCTTCCATTAAAATTGTGAACATGTTCTTATTGTTTACATTTTAAAACAAAGAAGCAAAAAATTTTGCGGATTTTTAAAAAAAAATTCGCGGATTTTCAAGAATTTTTTTTTTTTACAAAAGTAAAAACCTTTAAAAGACATTTTTTTAAACTTTTATCATTCATAAACCTTCCCAGTGGTCCCACAAAAAATTTGGGCCCGATCGGTTCAGCCGTTTTGACGTTTATTGGATACAAACAGACAGACAGACAAACAAACAAACAAACAAACAAACAGACAGACAAGCCAAATTTATATATAGATTACTCTATGCGAAATCTTGTGATTTTGTTACTGTTATTTTTCGTTGTATCGATTAGATCCAATAAAGGTTTAATAATAATAAATTGCAAGTATTTCAACCTTGAAATTTTTGTGAAAATTGTCAAGATTGTAAGTTCACTATTCAGATTATAGAACCTGCAGAGTATCTCGGCATTAACGCACTGTTATTAAAATTGCGCCAGAAACTTGATTTATTGATTAAGTATCCAGGTGATGGTGTATTTTTCGACCTACGTAAATCCGCTATACTCTGCTTAATCCTCTATCATTTCCGTCCTATAGCTAACCTGATCTATGGATTTGTGTAGAACTGTATCCAAGATTGGTGTATTAAACTAACCTTATCTATGGATTTGTGTAGAACTGTATCCAAGATTGGTGTATTAAACTAACCTGATCTATGGATTTGTGTAGAACTGTATCCAAGATTGGTGTATTAAACTAACCTGATCTATGGATTTGTGTAGAACTGTATCCAAGATTGGTGTACCAGGAGTAGAATTCAACCATGTGCTAACTTGAGTTTGTGTCGCATCATCTAAACCAGGCATCTCGGTTACCTTGAGTAATCAAAATAATAACAAACATTACTAAAGCTCCATATTGTATTTAATAAAAAAAAATGTATGATTTTTACCCTCGGAGCTGGGACGGATGGACTGGAGCTGGTCTCCAAGTCCTGGTTAACAGATCCATCCACGCTCTCTTCCTCGGGGTACTGGCACATGATGATCTGACAAACCTCCTCATCCGTCATATTCTGGTTGTTCATGATTCCCTCCCACAACCTTTATTATAAGTAAATAAGCAGGACCGCACCGATGTTGGATACATTTTGTTCATTATATGAAATCCTCCAGTATCCTAGATTAAAGCTTCAAAAATAAACCACCCTTATCCCCTATATTTATTTGCAATTGAAAATTAAAATAATTTACACTCTAAAAAAGCGGGTGTCGATAACAAGCTCCATAATCCATATATAGCCGAAATATGTTAAAGTTTTGAACAATGAGAGATGGCTTAATCTCCTGGCGAAGGAAGAATAATTGTTCATAAAAAAAAAATAAGTTCCCAGCTTCGGTTAGAAAACTTTGGAAGAAATCAGTTAGTATTCAATTCTGGGAGGGATTTTATCTCTCTCGGTCGCCTTTACTAGTTTAAAATCATATTTAGTTTCTGATTTATGAATCTGTATTCAGTTCAGTCCTAATCAGAAAGACCTCGAATTAATTTATAATTAGTCAGACGACTTTACAATCTAATTATACAATTATGATTAATGAAACGATAATAACAAAATAGCCCTAGTCCGGCCAATTCCAAAATGTGGTCTGCTATTATTATTACAAGAGATATATATGTAAAGTCGTCTGAATACCTGTGTGAATTAATTCCGGGTCTGTCTGGTTATGACTGTATAAACTCGGTTGTCCCATCTCCCCCTCTGGTTTACCTGTACATTATAGCAAAGGTGGAGTCTCTGTTAGCAAATGTTGTAAAGAAGAACTCTGTATCCTTCGTCTTGATCTGAATGGCGTTGGGAATAACAAAAACAGTTTTCTCCTAAACCCAGTTCAGAATATAAACCAGGGATTAGGTCTCGAAAAATTGATGAAATGAAGTGGAAATAAATAAAAACCTGTATTCAAGGAAATTTCATTCGATTACATTAATGGCGACCAAAGCGCCAATTATCGGTCTTAATTTCCATAAAACCCGGGCTATTTTCTTGCTCATCGAAAATTTAGAAACAAATGACTTATGAGACAATAGACAACTTTGAACGAAAAAAAAAGAAGAAAGAATATGAATTTCTGAACTTTCCTTTGTTAGCCTTGAAACATCTTTCCAGTCAATCTGAATGTTGTTTTCCCAACCAAATATGTTGGAATAAAAACAACAATATTGAACAGATAAGTACATTCGACCTAGATAAAAAAAATGGCTGTTAAAAAAAACATCTTTGAAAACTTTTAAATCCTAAATGTATAAGGATTCGATTGAGTGCAATGAAAGAAATAATTTAAGAAGGAAAAAGTATTTATAAATGAAAAGAAGTTACTTTTAAGAACGAAATCATAAAACGGAATAAAGAATGGATAGAGAAAACTTTATATAAAAAGAAAACTACATGGAAAAGAGAAAACAAGAAAACAATGATTCCAAACAAAAAAATGTTAAGAAAAATAAGAAGACGAGAGGATGGGATTAGAGTGAAGAAAACGTGTAGAAAAATACCTTGATGTAAAATATCCTTGTTGTACGCGCAAGCAAAATCCACAACAAATTTCGAGTCTCCGACATCAAACAAGTTCTTAAACTCCTTGCTTCTGCTCTTATAGCTCGGATACATACCGTACCAGTACTTCCGATCATCCTGCAAAAGGGGTGATCGTTAATCTCTAGAGAAATAACCTAATTACGAGAATACAGGAGAATTACCAGCAATAGATCGCTGTAAACAATAATTTCCAAAAATCGACATTAATGGATTTTATAAATATCTCTTGGGATAAGAGTATTGAACGTTAAAAACTGTTGTGGCATAGAGAGATAAGAAGTGAAATATATAAGGAACCTGAGGAGTAACCGCTCTAGGACTGGGTTCAGATTTCCGGCTCTCCCCCTTCACTGATCCATCGGAACCCGGCAATGGTATGGATAGCCCGCCTTTCCTAGGCGAGGGGCTCTTTTCTTCATCTTTAACCTCCTCGTTGTTAAGTTCGGCTGGATCCACTTGGAACCCAATATTATTTGCCATGTAGTCCAAATCACACATTAAAAAATTAAAATCTCATTCAGATACTAAACGAAGAGTAAAACTGTCAATAACGAATTCTGATATCTGAAATTATAGCAGTGAAGTATAAACCATAAATATTGTTTAAAATATTTTCGCTGATTTTGTTTAAATGTTTTGCCGATTTATTTTAAGAAATTTAAATCTGTCTATTTTTTCATATTAAACACATATGTATATACACTTTCTGATATATAAATAGTTTACTCAATGCCAAATTTTGTGATTTTGTTACTGTTATTTTTCGTTGTACCGATTAGATCCAATAAAGGTTTAATAATAATAAATTGCAAGTATTACGAAAACATATTTCTTCTATGTAGTGGTCTTTTTAACCTTGAAATTTTTGTAAAAATTGTCAAGTTTGTAAGTTCACTAATCACTATTCAGATTATAGAACCTGCAGAGTATCTCGGCATTAACGCACTGTTATTAAAATTGCGCCAGAAACTTGATTTATTGATTAAGTATCCAGGTGATGGTGTATTTTTCGACCTACGTAAATCCGCTATACTCTGCTTAATCCTCTATCATTTCCGTCCTATAGTAGTTCCCAGATACATCGGACCTACGACAGCTATAGGTCGGATGTACATTCTATTTTGTTTATTCGACCTACGCAGGAACTGCAGATATTGTCAGTTGACTTTGACAGTGCTACCTGCAGAAGGATCTGGATGTTCCGGTTGCACACAAATTTAAGTAAGTCAGATACATCACTTTTTGTAGATCGGATGCACAGATTTTGTAGGTCGGATGCATAGGGTTGGCTAGGTTAAGATAATCTCTGGGCCGAGCGCTGCAATTATGGACAGGCTAGGGGGCAGAACTCACTATATAAGACTAAGGTTAAGACAAATTCTGGGCCGAGAGCTGCGGCCACATTTATAGAAATGACCAAATGATAGCCATGATATGTGGGGTTAGTTATAGGATGAGATGATTTCTGGTACGAGCGCTGCAGCTAGGACAAGCTAGGAGGCCGAGCGCTGCGGCCAAATATATCAAAATTACCGATGATAGACGATATGTGGGGTAAGGTTTGGTTAAGACAATTCTGGGCCGAGTGCTGCGGCTAGGACAGGCTAAGTGGCCGAGCGCTGTTGCCCATAATTATCAAAATGACAAGTTATAGCCGATATGTGGGGTTTTGTTAGGTTAATACATTTAATGTGCAACCGACCTACAGAAGCGTCCAACCAACTTTTTTGTGCATCCGACCTATAAAAAAGTTGATGATCCGACTTACCAAAGTTGTGCATCCGAACTACCAAAGTTGTGCATCCGACCTACAAAAGTTCTTTGGATTGATTATACATTCCAAAGAATGTATAGACACGGAATTTCTTCCGGGGATAATAAATTATTTTTTAATGGTCTTGGGGGGGGGGGGGTGTAAAATTTTTTTTTTCATAATATGGGTTTGATGTCGAAAAAAGGAAATTTTCAGTTGTTGCATGCAGATTTGGCTGTGTTCAATTCAAATCGTTTTTTTCTTGTGTTTTTTAAAAATTTAAACTTTCAACAACTGTAAAATTAACAATTTGAGTCAATCAGTTCGTTTCATGTGTGCGCGGAGCGCCAAGGAAAATTTGTTCAGTACCTTGTTTAATTACAGATATACAAGAAATAATCATTTATATATTCTGAAAAAAAAATCAAAATACATATTTAATTTTAATCATCTACATAGAAAAAGAACAGATAATGTTACGTTTTCTCTTGAAGTTATTGAATTTATGATTGATCATTCTAACCAACATTCATAGTCTTATTTCATTTTCGATTTTATAGAAGTTCCTTTAAATTTTAAAAAATTCTAAAAGGCTATAACCATAAAAATTAGTATGGAGAAAATACTAGGTTTTTCGAGTGTTCTGTGCGTATTTTGGCGTTAAAGTTTGGGGTTCAATATGATGCGGGACGCTCTGTATAGAATCTGAAAATTAGTTTTTCTTTAACAGAACCTTAAAGACTGAGATAAATATTTACAAAATTTAAAACCTAGGTCGAAAGTATATTTACGAAAATAAGATGCTATAATTGTATCAGTGTAATGCACATCACTACATCACAACTGACTGAACTTTGTCCTGCCGGAGAACAATACCAGATCAGTGTGCTCCAACTCAACTGCAGTCATAAGTATTCTTAGAAATTGAAGTAAACAGATTTGCTGTCCGACGCAATAACCCCTGACCCCCCCCCCCCACATTCACCCTGAAACGACATAATCCTGACTGCAGTGTTGCGTGAAAAACAATCTACAACTATGTTTTTATTAGTCTTGGTTTTTATAAAACAAATTTTCTGGAGATCTGAAATAATGTATTCAACAAATTCAATTTGCGTGATTCACTGACCATCCAAGCGTATAAAGCTAGCAACCAGTAACCTAATAAAGTATCTCATCATGAGTTTGCTTCTTCTTGTCATGTCAGAAAAAAAGACGACATTATATAATTCTTTACAATGACAATGACTGATTAATAATACGAACATAGATTCTTATTTAGAATTACTATTAGATATCTTAATTCAAATTTATTCTGTGTAAAGTGAAAATACGAACAAAATTATATTATTCAATAATTTTCGTGTTTTGCATATATGACGTAGTTATTTAATTAGTTGCTGATTGAATGCAGTAGATATCGAAACTTACCCCATGTACTCTTATGCTGATCATTTTGTTTTTGTTCAAATGTCCTATTCTGTTTTTTGGCTTTAACCCGAATTTAACAGGAATTTTTCTTTTAAAAATGTGTCCTTTTTATCACCAACTACATATACATTTTACGATATATAAATAATTTCTTCTATGCGAAACCCTATGATTTTGTTTTATTGTTAATTTTATCGTTGTTTCGCCTAGAACCAATAAAGATTTATATAATAAGATATCCAACCTTACTATACTTTCAATCTATATGTATTACTAGAAAACAAAAGAATATTTTTGAAATATGAAGATATTTAAACAATGTACAATTATGATCACTTATAAATATTCACTTGTTAAATCCAAATCTTCAGAGGGAATCAGGTTCGAATACTTCAATAACCTTACTCCAGTAGTAGTAAACTTTAACATGTTGAGCTCATTCCCTTCCATCAGCGTAAACTATATACTTCAGTAGATATTCCCTTTTGGGTTCTTAATGATAATTCATTTTATTCCGGTTTATTTAGAGAAATTACACAATACGCCTTTCTAGTTTCAACCATTGGACCAAGTTCCATACCTTCATTTATGGTTTCTTAAATCATAATTGTAACTGGTTTACAGGTTCTCCTGGTGTCTGAGTTTCAGGTTCCACTCGTTTCTGGGTTTCAGGTTCCACTCGTTCCTGGCTTAAAGGTTCCACTCTTTCCTGGGTTTCAGGTTACACTGGTTTCTAGGTTTCAAGATCCAATGGTTCCTCGGTTATAGGTTCCACTGGTCCCTGAATTTCAGGTTCCATTGGTCCCTGGATCTCAGGTTCCACTAGTCCCTGGATCTCAGGTTCCACAGGTAACTGAATCTCAGGTTCCACAGGTCCCTGGATCTCAGGTTCCCCCTCATTCTTAGGATTAAGACGCGATGGGTTCCATAGCTTCAGGCTTCAGTGACTTTGGAATTTCAGGTTCTACAGAATCCCGAGTTTCAGATGCCACGTCTTCTTGAGTTTCAGGTTCCCGAGAATTTCGAATTTCAGGTTGTAAAGAATTCTGAGTTACAGGTTCCACTGGTTCCTTGGTTTCAGGTTCCACAGAATCCTGAGTCACAGGTTCCACTGGGTCCTGGGTTTCAGGTTCCAGTGGGTCCTGGGTTTCAGGTTCCACTGAGTCCTGGGTTTCAGGTTCCACTGGGTCCTGGGTTTCAGGTTCCACTGGGTCCTGGGTTTCAGGTTCCACTGGGTACTGGGTTTCAGGTTCCACTGGGTCCTGGGTTTCAGGTTTCGCAGATTTACGAGTTTCAGGTTCCACAGATTCAGGAGTTTCAGGTTCTACCGTTTCAATTTCCGAATCCAACTCTGTCAATTCTGACCCCTGATTTGAATCATTGATTTGAGAAACCTGGAGCTGCGTTACTGCGGCCTTCTGACTTTCTGTGATTTCTTTATTTACCAATTTAGATTCGTTGATTTCAATTTCATTCGCAGTTTTTGTCACTTGGTTCACCTCGGTATTTTTTACTGGCTTTCGTACTGAGAAATTCCTAAAATAAATTTTCATTTTTAATTTAAAAATAAAAATAATAACACTCGACTTTTCAATGTGACCAGACAACTATAAGTTGAAAGACATGTTTCCAGGATGCGTGTATGTATGTAAAATATATTATAAAAATTCATGTTAAACAGCTCTAACAGTTTGTTGCACTACCTTCAAATATATGATCCCTTATCTTCAAATGTATGACCCCTTATATTTAAATCATTAATCTTAAAACGTTAACCAACCTGGTGAAACTGAAAATAAAAAGTCTTACTTTGGCAGAGCAATCTTTAAGGTTCCATTGGCTCCAGGTACTGCAGGAACTAATGTTTCTCTTTTCTCCCCACTTGAAGTTTCCACCACCATTCTCACCATTTTCATCCCAGTAGAACTATTTGTAACTGTTCCAAGTATTTCATGAACTCCAAGAATAACATTGGATTTAATCTCTTTAGATGATGAATCAGTTGTAGAACGTTCTGAAATACCCCCTCCAACAGAACTGATGGGAACAGAAACTTTTCTTAGTATATTTACACCCTGTGGAGCTTTCAATCTTATAGAATTAGATCCTGGTGTAACATTCGAATTTCCTGAAACTAGTATAGGTGCGGATACTGGAGTAGGGACAGTTTCTGGAGCGCGTTTAAAATCAAACACATCCAATCCGATCCCACTAATACTGTTAAGTCTGGTATACTCCAAGAGCTCAGCTTTAGTCCTCAGTTTCTCCCCCGTGGGAGTGTGTAAAATTATCATTAATTTCCCTTGCTGAGACTCATCTTTACACCGCACCAAGGTTCTTCTCCAGCCTGGAGGCAGATTTGCACGAACAGCTGCTATAGTTGGATTTGGAGGACGGGTTGAAGGGGTCGGAGACTGACTTCGTCCTCGTAAAAAATCTGCCTTGTGCTTGTAAACTTGTTTCTCGGCGAAGTTCATCTTTGTCCACTTGTCAATTACAATTCTTTCCAACTGGGCGTTTCCGATATTTGGCAACTTCTTCTTTAGTGCTCGCATTACTTCAGAATAAAATATTTCCAATGGAGTTTTCGGAGCATTATCAGAACCTTCGATGACACTATAACCTTCGGTGACAATATTCTTCTTCCCCAGGACAACGTGTTCAGTGGATTTCTCGGAAAACTTTTTTGGAACGCCCTTCTCGTTTACAACTAGGACGGTTTCCTTTCCGTTTGAACGCTTGACTTTATATATTCCTATTGGGAGTTTACTTGAACTAGGAGTAGCGTAAACCAGATCATTTGTATATAGTTTAGATCCAGGGGGGATAGGAACCACCTCACCAACCACTCCTTCATCTACAACAAAAAGTATCAGTTCTGAAGAAAAATAAATATAAATCTTGGCCTTGCTCAGATATACATATTTAAAAGAATTCCCGACCCCTCCAGATATAAAACAACTAGCTTTCCCTTGAACTACATGGCGTCTTTAACTTAAACTGAACTGTTAGGATTGTAACTAGACATTAATAAAAATTTAAACACTTTTAACCTTTTAAGTCAAAGAAACATTAACTTGTAGTATACAAGTTACTCCGAGTTAAATTTTTATTTTTCCCGAATCGAAATTATAAACTTTTCTAAAATGTTAGAAGTTGGAATTTTATAAATGTTCTCTCATCTTCAATTTGTCAAATATCTGGAAAATATTAACTACAGGTGTTTACCTTCACTGTACTGCAGATCTCCGTCCACTGTTGTCCAATGTTTCTTCTCTGGAGTAGGTTTCTTGTCGCCCTCTTGAAGATCCAAGAAACTCTTAATTTTTAATTTATTTCCGATATCACTAGTTGACAAGTTGGAAACATTCCCTTGAACTCGAACTATCTTAAGATCTCCCCCGTTACTCCCCTCCTGGTGGGATATTGATACTAAGTCTTCTATATTCGGTTCATTTTGCTCCGGTTGCTCAGTTTCCGCATCAGGTTCTGCTTTCAGTTGGAGAAGGTCTGGCGTGGGTTCATCAGATTGTTTAGAATCTGGGGCATCAGTTTTAGTGTCAGTTTTTGTGTAGAAATGATCTGCACGTGATTTTAAAGTCTTTTCAAGTAAATCCACCGCTACTCCGTCTTTCGAGTCCTTGTGGTCTCCTTCTAGGATGGTTTCGCATAATTCGGAGACATCAAGATCCGGTTCTGCAATATTATCATAGGACCCGGAGAGATCAGGACGAACGATATCATCTGAAGGTTCGGTAGCTATAAACTCTAACGGATACGGTTTTCTGTCCACAGAAACAATAAGCTTGGCTCTATGTGGAACTGAGACTCCATGTTTGTTACGATTCATGTTTACCTGAAGAAAATAATTATTTTATTCAAAAAATAAGCGATTAATACTAATAAAAGTGTTCAGAGCTTTGAAGATGGTTATAAATAAATTATTAGTTCCTTTGTGAATGGAGGACAGAAATAAAAATTAAATTTGCAGTGCTTAGGATCCATTTCATTTTGCGAGGATCCGGATCCTGGATCCGCACTGGAAAAAATGAATCCGAATCCAGGTCATGAACATTGAACATTTCTTAAAGATTTACTAATTTTTTTTAACAGAAAAAGAATTACAAATTATTTTTCACCTTTTTTTCGTTATTTGTATGCTAAAACTTGATGAACCATTCAGGGATAAGGAATTTTTTTGATAACCTCTCTTTTTTCAACAATTCAGATTTGGGGTTTGAGAGCAAAGAGTTTTTTGTTGTCATTATTCCCGTTGAAATCCTAAGCACTGTTTAAAAGGAACCGGGGAGGGGTTAGAAACAAAAACTTTGGAAGAAAGATTCAATTACACCACTGCCAGTTCTAGAGCCGGACACTGGGTCTATTTTACTTGGCAGATTAGGATGAAAATTGAATAAACTTGGTACAAACAGTTCAACTAACCTTGACAGAACCCATGGACTTCTGGACCAGGTTGACTAGACTGTAGTAGGCGGAGGGGCCCAGGTTAGGAAGGAAGATCTTGTTTACGGAGTAGTTGGGAGGATCCTCCTCCGAGAAGCTCGATGTACTAAAGATAGTCTGGAGACCACACACGGAGCAGAGTAAACCCAATTGTGTTGCTAGATCAACCTGCAGATATTTTGATTTGAAACATAATTCCAGGAACATACAAATAATTATAAAGATGAAATCAAATTTTTTTATTTGATTCTTTTTGATTGCAATGTAATGGTGGGAAATTAATAGTTTTTGTAGAATTAAGTCCAGGTTCAATTTACAAGGGATGTTTTCGTTTTACTGGGGAAAATGAGATTTAAGGGGAAATTTTTTCCTAAAAAGAAACCCCTCCTTCAATGAAGCACAGTTAAGGTTTAATTTTAGCTGTATTGTAAATTGTTTATCTATATATATATATTTTGCTTGTCTGTCTGTTTGTTTGTATCCAATAAACGTCAAAAACGGTTGAACCGATCGGGCCCAAATTTTGTGTGGGACCTTGCGTGACCCAAGGGAAAGTTTATGGATGATGGAATTTTCAAAAATTTGCCATTAACAAAATTCGATTTCTGAAAATTTAGAAAATCCACAAATTTTTTTATAAAATCCGCGAAATTTGTGTTTGTTTTTGTTTTACAAAGTAAACATAGAGAACATGTTCACAATTGAAATAGAAGATGGGCGTGAAGAGCCCTAAAAGCCTAGTATAATAAAAATGTTTACTTTGCTTGTCTGTTTGTCTGTCCGTTTGTATCCAAAAAACGTCAAAAGAGCTTAACAGATCGTAACCAAAATTTGTGTGGGACTTGAGACCCTAGAGAAGGGTTGGTTATAATTTTTTTAAAAATTGCCTGAAAATTATTTTGAATTTTCAAATCCATGAAAAAAATCCACAAATCCGAGAAATTTTTGTTGCAGTTATTTCTAGTTAATTTAAGAAGAGAAAATGCCGCATATGCAACAATATGCAAAGCCAAGCATAAATATATTTTAGGCAAAAAAAAATACAAAGAAAATTGTTCAAAAATTCGTTTAAGAGCATGAAAAGTGTTAAACTAAAGAACCCATGTCAAGTAAGACATTTTGTAATATCTCTTTCAATATTAATAGCAGCCGGTTTTATTTTTGAATTTAGACTCATATAATTTGTTAGGAGCAGGATATGAAGTCAGATTGTCGATATCTCTATCCGGAGTCTTGGAACCTCTGAAAAGTGACCTCCGTCGGCTCCGATTTTATATCTCCGGCCTCGTTTGACATAAATAGCCCATTTTTTAAATATATACTCCCAATTGACCCCTAAAATACACAAAAAAAAACGGAGCCGACGGAGGTCACTTTTCAGAGGTTCCAAGACTCCGAAAAGAGATATCGACAATCTGACTTCATATCCTGCTCCTAACAAATTATATGAGTCTACATTCAAAAATAGAACCGGCTGCTATTAATATTGAAAGAGATATTACAAAATGTCTTACTTGACACGGGTTCTTTAAACAATATTTGTTTTTCCTCAAACAAATAATCCTCTCCCTGAAATCTATGTTCACCTGAGACAGATGAGAGTTAACTTCAGTAAGGATAAGGTTGCAGTGACCACAGCGCTGGGCGGACTGAAGAGCTAGACGGAGAACATTGATATCAACAAGACGATATCCTTGCACTACAGAGTAATCATTCTTCTAAACATCTTGCTTATTATTTATCAAATATACATATACCTTGATATTTCGGTAAATATAGTTTGTAATTTTAATTGAATTTAAGATACCCAATTTTTAGTTCCCCAGTATTGCAGTCCAAAAACTTTGCATCATAATTCCAAATAATACTTGAACCAAAAACATATTTTTGTTTGAATAGAGAGTCGGGTGAGCAATATACATGTTTTTTCAAAAATCTTGAAAACATCGAGGAAAAAATTAAGAAGAAAATCAGTATTTTTAACATTTAGCGATAAAAGCGGAAAAATGATTAATAAAATTAAACCACTGTTAAAGGAATATTTTAATTCGGTTTTACTGCAGTAATGTTTTTATTAGAAAGTTTTCAATTGTTCTCGTTTAAGTAAGCTAAAGATTCCTTATTAAGTGTTGGTTTAGTTACGCCTTGAAGGAGATTACTATAATTAATCTCACTGCTCTGCTTCTGTTGAAAGGATAACTTCTTGAAGGATCTCGTCATTGTATCCAGCTGCCTCTCCAGCTGTTTGATTCTCTCAACCATCTTTTCGTTCTGTATGTTTACATGATCCTTGAGATGTTTCCTCTGCTCCATGAACTCCGGAGATTCCTGACACTGGGTGCAGGCTACGCTGTGCTCTGTGATTAGTTTCTCCATGACTCCGTCAATACGAGACATCTCCTGGTTTAAGTTTTTATGGACATCACTCATAGCTATTAGAGCTTTCTGTACAGGATCAAAGTGAACCAGGAGGGGATTCAAACGAACCTTGACTTTCTTTATTTTAGGTTTGGAGGGGGATTGAACCTCAAGCGTCTGCTTCTTACGTTTCGCCACGCTCCACTCCTCTTCGGCAAACTTTCGTTTCATCAGTTTAAATCTGGGAACACGGTTCGGCTGGGTATCTCCGGACTCGGTTTCAGCTGTGCTTGGAAGATTGGGTGGATCTGAACACGTTTCATCTTCTGCATGCTTTCTTTTTTTCCCGTGCTTTTTAGTTGTATGGAGTTTCAAACTTCTGAGAACTGCTGAGCTGTATGTGCACCCCTCAACCTCACACTTGAATACTTTATCGTCTACCTTAGCGGCGTCACAAGATTGTCTACTGTGAATATTTCTCACGTGTTCGAACATTGCCGACAAATCCTGAAACAAATCAGAACAACCGTCTACGTTGCAAGGAACTTCTTTTGTGTCTGATTGTGCCATTTCGTGGTAAACCGTTCTTATTTTAATTAAACCTGGATGAACGGCTCCCAGATGCTCTTGTATATCCTTGGACGAGTTTGAACGGTGAGAACAACGTCGGTTGGGACAAAAGAACGTGAAGGGTTCATCAACTCTGATAAAATGTTTGAGCAAGAGATGTCGATTATGTTTACGGAGGGTGGAGGAGGAGGAGAAACAATAAGAACACTTAATATCCCTCACACTTCCCCTCGATATAATATTAGACTTCACTGGAAGTCTTTTGATCAAATCCTTGTAAAACGGACTTTCATGATGTTTCTTCTCCCTTTCCAATTCAACCTCATCCTCAACCTCCATGTTATTTCTTGTTTCCTCACTAGAAGCTTCTTCAGTAGTACCGGAGATATCAGACATAATGCACAACTATCTGAAACACACACAAATAGTTACTTTGTTAAGTCGATTTCCAATTTTATGGTTTTCAGCTCTAAAAAAATGCAACCTTGAATGCAAGGAAATATCCAATAAAAAAGAACGTTGTTGTTCAGTTGTCTTAAACTCAAGAAGAAGAATATTTCCATTGCATGGAGAATAGCTTTCTTTTTATGGAGGAAGGAACATACTCATAAGAATATGACCTAAGACAACAAATTTACAAATTGAGGAAGGAATACATTAAACCTTGGAGCTCAGAGTTTTACCCAATTTCAACCTTAGAGGAAGAAACCTTAGACCCTCCCCCCCCCCATTTGTGTACATGCTTCTTATGTGTAAGATATGGGCATAATTGGAAATTGTGACCGCAGCGTTCGGTCCCCTAGCATTTCATAGCCTCAGCGCTCGGTCCCCACCCCTATTCTGTCGTTGCCGCAGCACTCGGCCCAGAACTTGTCTTAAATAACCGAACCAAGGAATAATACAGAATAAATATTAATTTAATGTTGAAAAATAGTTTAAATCGCGTGTCCAAAATGATGGAAGGGGGAACCAAGGCCCGAAGGACGAAATAATAATTTGAGGTAATAATCTGACCTTATTGACGGAGGTATTAGCTTGGAAAATAAGGAATTTAATATTTAAGAAAGAAATTTTGAATCTTTGTAAGAAAGTTACAGGAAAAAAAGTTCTGAAAAAAACCTGGAAATAAAAACTAGCTTTGGTAAAAAAAATCCCAATTTTCTAAAGTCCTAGGACAAAATGTCACCGGAAATAAAGTTTTAAGCTTTAGATTCCTGTGACTTTTTTCCTAAAATATGGGGGCTACCAATAAAGTCTCAAGAAATAAGATCACAGGAATTTAAGTCCTGAAGAATTCTTGGGAAAATGAGATCAAGACATAAAAAGGACTTCTCTTACATGCATCTTCATTAATAAATATAGCCAGGGGTGTTTTTAATATCATGGGCCTTTTTTCCATGGTTGTAAACATCTTTTGTTCCCATGCATTTTCTACTGTAATAAGACTTTTTTGCATAAAAAACATATTGGAACCAGAAAAAAGTCCTAGAAAATAAAGTCTCAAAATAGTAAGACTTTATTTCCAGAGAATTTTTATTTCTAGGAATATTTTTTTCACACGACTGTTTTAGTGCCAAGATATAGGACTTTATTTCCCAAAACTTGTGTCATACGTCGAGACTAACTTTAGGCTGAAAATACTTGAGTTTATTTTTGAATTATAAATGAAGGGGAGGGGGCCGAGCGCCGCGGCTAGGACAGGCTAGGGAACCGGGCGCTGCGACCAAATGGTCAATTTTATTCATGTCTTAATTATAAGATCCATGTACAAAATTGTTAGGAGGGGGGGTCCAAAAATCGTATATTAGGAAATTGGTAAAAATGAGTAGCCCCCATCTGCAAAGGGCGTTTACCCTCTAAAAAGTCAGTAGCATTTGGCACGTCTGCCCGCAACTCCCATGAACAAAACGGACTGAGGACTAATGATTGTCTTCAGGAGACTACCCAGGACTTCAGAGCAATACAGGGATCAAAACATATAGTCCATGAATTAGAATTAAATTGGGCTACAAAGGGGACATGTAAACTTGAACTTGGAAGACACTTTCTGGGCCGAGCGCTGCGGCTAGGAAAGAGTAGGGGGCCGAGCGCTGCGGCCACGGATTAGGTTAAATTAACACTTTCTGGGCCGAGCGCTGCGGCCACATGTCTTACATTTTAATAATGTCTTTAGACGTGTCATCGCTGCACTGTGTGATACTCAATTTGGTAAGATCATGTTGGATAGATTATTGGTATCGTTGAAGGGAATTTATTCGTCGATGCAAATGAATTGGCGCTATATACTTCTTAACTCTTTAAAACAAACCTGAGGAAGCTTATTTCTAACTTGAATTTCCAAAGCTTTTTCGACAATTTCAACAAAATGTACTTGCTTCGTTAAAAGTGTTTGGGCTGTGTCTGGTCGTCTTCGTTTATCGTTAATTATTGGTGCGAGCTGAATGCCGCGTAAGAATTTTCTCAATTCCAGATTTATCCGGAAATAAACCGTCGTCTTCGTTAAGATTTTTATCCAAGATGGAAGAAGAATGCTTTATCATCGGGACTAAGCTACATAGCTCGACGGAGTGCAGGTAGGTGTTCATTGTAATTCTAGTTATAATGCATTAATACTAATCAGTTCAATCAGTGATCATATTTCCTTTTATAACCCGTTTTTTATTCAACTTTCAACTTGCAACAAAAAAAGTTTAAAATATGTTAAAAGTTAATTATGACACTATCAAAAAAAATTCAAGTTCACAAAAAATTCGTAGACTAGACTTAAAAATACTAAAACGGGATCAGGGACGTACTCATGAATTTGTACAGGGGGAGCTAAAATAAAATTTAATTTAGTTTAGTTTAGTTTAGTTTAGTTTAGTTTAGGTTAGTTTTGTTTTGTTTAGATTATGTTATGTTATGTTATGTTATGTTATGTTATGTTATGTTATGTTATGTTATGTTATGTTATGTTATGTTATGTTATGTTATGTTATATGTTATGTTATGTTTAGTTTAATTTAGTTTAATTTAGTTTAGTTTAGTTTATTAGTTTAATTTAGTTTAGTTAGTTTAGTTTAGTTTATAGTTTAGTTTAGTTTAGTTTAGTTTAGTTTAGTTTAGTTTAGTTTAGTTTAGTTTAGTTTAGTTTAGCTTAGTTTAGTTTAGTTTAGTTTAGTTTAGTTTAGTTTAGTTTAGTTTAGTTTAGGTTAGTTTAGTTTAGTTTAGTTTAGTTTAGGTTAGTTTAGCTTAGTTTAGTTTAGTTTAGTTTAGTTTAGTAGTTTAGTTTAGTTTAGTTTAGTTTAGTTTAGTTTAGTTTAGTTTTTAGTTTATGTTTAGTTTAGTTTAGTTTAGTTAAGTTTAGCTTAGCTTAGTTTAGTTTACTTCAGTTTACTTATAGTTTAGTTTAGGTTAGTTTAGTTTTGTTTAGATTATGTTATGTTATGTTATGTTATGTTATGTTATGTTATGTTATATGTTATGTTATGTTATGTCTGGATTATATGCTTCATCTAACACATTCACATTCTTTAAATCAAACAAAAATATACTAAATGCTAACTTTTATTTTCAAACATTTTTTACAAATATATGTTATAAAGCAGGTCATTTTGATTTTTTCAATTTTAAAACCTGTTTTTTTATTTAAGCACATTTTAAAAATACGAATTATTGTGCAAATTAACAGATAAAATAATGCTTATCTACAGATGCTATAATACTTTCTGTGGCATCATGAAGTATAGTATAGAGTTTCACCAATATTTTCCAAGTGGTCTTTATAATTAATATGGAGTTTAAAGATGACTTTTGAACCAAGAAACTGAAAAAGTACTCATGCAGGCTTATTCAATGAATAGTGAGAAGTAGCTAAAACGCGCAGACGTTTTTCAATCACTTCGCTGAAAAGAAGTGGTTGAACCACGTCTAAACGGTTCAACCATGTCTTGCTAATCATAGAATCTGGTCCTTGATGAAATAATATTGAAACAGAAATATTGATTTTATCTGTAATTGCACCATCTCTATATGTTTATTCCAGGTCACCTTTCTGTTAATTTTATCTTAGTAGCACTGAATTACATGATATAGGAAACAACGTAACTGGATGTTTCCAGGTATTTCCAAGCCAATAGCTTTGTCCCCACTGCAGCACTATTTTGTTCTATTCTGCAGGTTGTTTTTTGGCTTTTGCTAGTTATAGAAGCAACATTTTCACATCTTAGGAGTCTGCATAGTTCCTAAACTCTGTCTGCAGTATCCATAATTTAATAGATTTAATCAAACCAATTGATTTCTCTTCCCGACCTTCTAGTATCTTGGTTTTAATTAAATGTTTATTCATCCGCATAATCTTCGGATAGATCCGTCCCGATACTTGAGATAGTTTTCAGATGGAGTAGATTCTTCTCCAGTAGTTCTAGACTCTCCCTGATCTGAGCATTTGCTCTAGCTAGTGGAGCTACTGAGTCCTCAACCTGGCATATTACAGCTGAGAGCTCAGACCTCTGCAGGGATGAACTCAACCCGTTTGTATAACTAGAGGAATCTAGATTCATCGACCTTCTGCAGTTACTAGCAGAGGGAATCCGAGATCTGAAAAAATTATTTATTTATGAATTTCAAACTGTGTTCACACCAACTCTAGTCTTCATTTCATCTTGTTTAAAATGGTTTTGTTATAACTGCAGAGCTTGAAACTTATGATATGATATTTTTGTTAAGGGAATTATTGACCTTTTCCCATGAAACAGTTGAAATTCAAAGATATCATTTTTGATTTAGTTTAACTCTTAAAAATGGGAAATTTTAAATCGGGTAAAAAATACTTAATTATGGAAACTATATTTTTTTGTGTTTTTACAACGTAAAAAAAAATCTTCTTGACAATAAAGGAATTGATTCTTAGCCACAAATTTGGATTTTCGAAATCCCGATATCTTTGCAAACTGATGTAGTTAACTTTTTATATTTCATTCTTATAATTATTAGATCCATGGACTATAACAGAGTTCATAGTTTAAAATATCTAAGATATTCGACATTGATTTGTAAAGATATGGGGATTAGAAAATAAAGGTGGTTGGCAGAGACTCAATTCCTTTATTTTAGTAATAGTACAAGAACAATTTTCAGAACTATCAATTTTACTAGATGACATTTAACGCACTATTTACGAAACTTTTTAAGTCTTACGTTTCAATCAGAATTTGTAATTTATTTTTAATTTTCAATAAGATCTTACCCTTGAGATCTTGTAGATGAAGGTCTACTGGTTCGGATAGAGGCAGGACTAGCTCCTGTAGTAGAATCTACATTACTGTCCAGCACAAAGGTTCCAACCTTCCTAGAGGACTGAGTCCAATCCTGCTCCACAACATAGGACCTGGAGATAATTAGATTTATAATCTAGTCATATCATGGATATGAATGTGGCAGAATTTGATTTTAAGGAAGTATGATTCAAAGGAATTGAGTTTTTGCTACGATCTTTGATTTTCTAATCCCAATATCTTTGCAATATCTTTGCAACCCAATGTCGTAGAAACTTAATTTCAACTATGAATTCTGTTAGATCAAATAATCTAAGAAATATCAACAGATTAAATCATCAGGTTGCAAAGATATGTGGGTTAGAAAATTTGAGTTTGTGGCAAATACTAACTGAAAGAATTAAACCTTGCATTCAATTATGTTACACAACTTTCCATTCTTTATATCTAAATGAATTTCAAAAAAGTTTTCACGGTAAAAATGAATTATTTTCTTTGATAGTCCTCTCAGAACTAAGCAATTATGTATTAATGGATAAAATCTTTTTTTTTGCCAAAAAAAGCTTAAGTTTTATAATTCCCCCCCTCCTCATCTCTTCTCATATGGAACTGTTAATTCAAGAAGAAAAGTTTGTCCAAGATGTTGAATACAGTGAAATGGTCTCTTAGTCCCCATATAATCCAATTATTTCAAGAACAAAGGGGAATCTTGTTCAAATAAGAAAAGTATAAAATGTTTCTAGAAAATGTTTTCTCCAACTTAATTTTTAATTTAAAGATATATTGTTAAATGTTGAAATCCTAAAGTTTTTACAATTGTAACTTTTCTGTGTGAAATTTAAATTTCACATTTAAAATATAAAATTAAAGGTTCATTCATTGCGGAGTTTTATTTCCTTTAATCATGAAAGTTAGAATTTACAAATGCAGCGCCGGACATTCTACTCTTTAAAAACGGGTTTTCATAGATTTTAATTAAAGGATGTTGAAAAATGCTCCTGTGGAGTAGGGACATTATTTTTACTGTTTTAATAAATGATAATTTGATCATGAAATGTTTAAGTTAAATTCTTTAAAATCATACATAATACAAATGTACAATGTATATTTGCAGTTCTTATTAATACTGCAGATAATTGTTCTATCTATGCATCAAATCTTATTATAGTGCGACAGGGTATTAAAGAAACTTTAAACTGAAAGAAGTAAAATCATGTTTGCAATGAAGTTAGGTGCAAATTTCGTTTTCAAATTTTTAACCTTATTGAGATAAAGTTTTACAGTTTTATTTGAAAAAAAACATTAAGGAGAAGTAGATGGAATTGACTTTTTGCTCAAAATCAAATTTTATTATTTGATATTTCAAACTCAGATTGTTTATTCTAACAGAATTCACAGATTTAAGGTCTACGACATTGGGTTTCAAAGGTATAGGGATTATAAATCAGAGTTTGTGGTAAAAACTCAACTTCTTTGACAAAAAAACGAAGAAGAAAATAGAAACCTGAGAGTATCCGTGCTTATTGTGTGAATAAGAAGTCGATCACTACCAACCGGAGAATCTGTATCCAACCTAGAATATGATTGTGTGGAACTACCAACCGGAGAATCTGTATCCAACCTAGAATATGATTGTGTTAAACTACCAACCGGAGAATCTGTATCCAACCTAGAATATGATTGTGTTGAACTACCAACCGGAAAACCTGACTATACTAATCCGTCCTGACATTATCATCCTGAGATATATCCTACCATTAGCAGTATAGTTCAACACTACTAATCCGTCCTGACATCATCATTCTTAGATATATCCTACCTAGAGCAGTATAGTTCAACACTACTTATCCGTTCTGAGATATATCCTACCTAGAGCAGTATAGTTCAACACTACTATTCCGTCCTGACATTAACCATCATGAGATATATCCTACCTATAGTGCAGTATAGTTCAACCCTAATAATCCGTCCTGACATTATCATCTTGGGATTTATCCTACCTAGTGCAGTATAGTTCAACACTACGAATCCGTTCTGACATAAACCATCCTGAGATATATCCTACCTAGAGCAGTAGAGCTCAACACTAATAAGTGCAGTATATTTCAACCCTACTTATCCGTACTGATGTATATCCTACCTAGAGCAGTATTGTTCAACCCTAATAATCCGTCCTGACATTAAAATTTTGAGATATTATACCTAGAGCTGTAGAGCTCAACACTACTTATCCGTCCTGATATGTATCCTACCTAGTGCAGTATAGTTCAACACTACTAATCCGTCCTGACATTAACCATCCTGAGATCTGAGATAATCCCTCCCTTCCTGGACTGCAGTTCAAGCAAACCTGAAAGAGAAAAAGGGTTTAACAAAACTATTTTAACAAATCACGGTAGGATTAAAGATAAAGAAAAAACAATAAGATTTTTTAATGAGAAAATTTGCGTTTCATGAGATTGTCTAAGAATGTGATTAGTTTCCTATACTATTGTAATCCTTATATAATGAAGTTTATTTTGTAAGAAAAATAAATGAATAAAGTCTATGATTTATCTATTTATTTTGTAAGAAAAATAAATGAATAAAGTCTATGATTTATCTATTTATTTTGTAAGAAAAAAAATGAATAAAGTCTACGATTTATCTATTTATTTTGTAAGAAAAATAAATGAATAAAGTCTATGATTTTTCTATTTATTTTGTAAGAAAAATAAATGAGAAAGTCTATGATTTATTTATTTATTTTTTAAGAAAGATAGATGAATAAAGTCTTTGATTTGTCTATTTATTTTGTAAGAAAAATAAATGAATAAAGTCTATAATTTATCTATTGTTATTTACTATTTTCTTTACGTTTTCTATACTAGGTGTTTGAATGTATACATGGGAATGAAATCATGAAGTGAAGACTTCAAAATCGTCCTGGACGTACGCGGCATTTTTTTGTGAATCTTATTAATATAGTTTTATACTTTAAGTAAGGAACACTTGTATATCCATTTATCCTTTAGGAAAGGTGTAATTTTCGAATCTTCTTCAACTTAATGTTTAATATTATACATTCAACAAGAGGAGATTTCATTTTAGTTTGAAATTTAGCATTTTTATAAATACAAAATACATTCCCGTTAAATAAGAAATAAAACAGCCTGAAATCCTCATATACAGCCAATGTTTAATGTAAAATTAAAGCTAGAGTAGTTTAAAAGGACCATTCACTTTTTTGGGTAATTTCAGGGTAAACTAAACAGCATATTCGCTGTTGATTGGTAATAGTCTTACTTTTCAAAGACAACTGTGGCCGGAGAAAAAGCCTATTTTTCGTTCAGTAAATATTTAAATTTTATTGGGCGGCTGTTACTGAAAAAACATCAAATTGTGTCTATAGAGAGGGACCGTCCCTTTCCGCTCAAATTCTGAACGAAAAATCGGCTTTTTCTCTGGCCACAGCCCAGAGTTATCTTTGAAAAGTAAGACTATTACAAATCAACAGCGAATAGGCTGTTTTTTACCCTGAAATTACCAAAATAAGTGAACGGTCCCTTTAAGAGATTGCAAAGTCGCACAATTAATTACGAATAAAATTAACTTTTTCCTTGTTTAGATTTTTTAATTTTTTAATTTTTTAATAAGGTAGACCATACAATCTATAATCTCATTTAAATCTTTTCAAAATCAGAGACGTTTAAGATCTCGACAATTTAACATAATTTATAGTTGGAAATGTCTAAGGTCCACTACATTAGGTTGCAAAGATATAGGAATTAGAAAATCAGAGTTTGTGGCAAAGACTCAATTCCTTCACAGAAAGCTTGGATTTTTGCAAAACCACTATGATTATTTTTGCAGAAATTTATAATTTTCAGGCCTTTAAAATCATCTTTGAATGGGGGAAGAAAAAGGAAAGAAAAAGGGACGGAAAAGGGAAGAAAAAGGTAAGGAAAAGGAAAAAGGGAGGGAAAAAGGAAAAGGAAAGGGAAACGGGAAGTAAAAAGGGAAGGAAAAGGGGAGAAAAAGGGATGAAAAGGGATGAAAAAAGGGAAGGAAAAGCGGAAGATAAAAGGAAAGAAAAAGGAAGAAAAAGTAAGAAAAAGGGGAAGAAAAAACGGAAGGAGGAAAAGGAAGGGTGGAAAACATATTTTCTATTCATTATATTAAAAAATTGTTATAGTATCATGTGCATTTAAAAAAATACAATCCCTTTAAACCTAAACCTATAGTTTATTGTACCTTGAGAGTCATCCCCGCCAAGCTCTCCTCCTCGGATTCGAAGGTTCGTTCTACGTCGTCCAGAAGAATCAGGAGAACATCGTTCATCTTATCTCCTCCCAACAATCTGTCACCAGATTATTATATAAACTATTCATTTGTAATATAAGGACTTAAAATAAGGTGGAACTGAAGTTTCTCTTTTAATGAATATCAAAAAGAGTTGTACTTAAAAAAACGTATCTTTAGTAAATAATCAAGTCACCTGTATATTTAACTACAGTTTTCACTTTCTAGCAAAATACACTCAATATTAAACATCTTGGAGCCATATGGTTTATATCCGGTCCCGTTCAATGTTCATGCACTTTTCGTAAAAACTGGAAAAACAAGTTCAAGCTTTACAGGGTGTACCAGGTTTTGAATACAGTACACAAAATACGACCTTCACAGGGTGATTTAGATTGCAATATGCAAAATACGATCTGTGGGCTGTAAATTACAAGGTTGACCAGAATTAGACTACCATAAAAAACTGCAGTATATAGCAATACAACCTCTATAGGGTGAACTATAAATAAACAGCACAAAACTCTATATGGTGATACATAAAATACTACAGTATAACAACACAGCCTCTATAGAGTGAAGCATAAAATACTACAGTATAACAACACAACCTTTATAGGGTGAAGCATAAAATATTACAGTATTACAACACATCCTCTATTGGGAGAAGCATAAAATACTACAGTATAACAACACATCCTCTATAGGGAGGAGCATAAAATACTACAGTATAACAACACATCCTCTATAGGGAGAAGCATAAAATACTACAGTATTACAACACATCCTCTATAGAGTAAAGCATAAAATACTACAGTATAACAACACAACCTCTATAGGGTGAAGCATAAAATACTACAGTATAACAACACAACCTCTATAGGGTGAAGCATAAAATATTACAGTATAACAACACATTCTCTATAGAGTAAAGCATAAAATACTACAGTATTACAATACAACCTCTATAGAGTGAACCTGAACCCGAATTAGATTACACACAACAATGTAAATCTATATGGGGTGAACCATTTAGAGTACAGTACAACATTACAACCTTGATACTTCAATGTAAACCATAATAAGGGAACAAAACTATCTCGAGCTGTGAATATGAGATTTACACTTTTAGCAAAGGTTTTCTAACATTTAAAGGGACTGTCAGTGTAATTTCAAGTGACCTTCCATGCAAAGATGGCAATGCCCGATTCACAACGGTACCCTTAAATAAAATATGAATTAGATACAAATTTATGAATTTCAAATCTGATTATTTTTAATTTTGATTTCTCTACAATAGTGACTAGCGCATTTCTACTGCAGGAAGACGTATAGGAATTATCAGAATTGGACACTTTTAAACTTAGAAGAATGACAATATTCTTCACATTATAGATCATATGAAGGTTTCAAGGGTACTGTTGTGAATTGGGTATGGAGGGTCCCTTGAAATTAAGCAAACAGTCCCTTTAAAAACTATGAAAACTGTTTTTAAAGCACTAAACTAAACATTATCTAAAAAATCTAGTGTTTTCGAGGAAATGCTGAACCTTAGTTAAAGACTGTAAAGATAAAAGAAACATCACGCAACCAAATAATATAAATAAACTGCAGAAAAATTATAAAAATCAGTAAATAATAATATCCCTGAGTCGATACTGAGCTCCGGATTCAGGTTCAGAGACTATTTCTCCTTTACTGATGAGGGTTGCTAATCCGAACTGATAGGAACAACGAGAGGAAACAATAAAATCCGCAACCTTACTCTAAATATCATGCTTGATGAACATTCAATTTTTCAAGATTTAGCTAAAAGTGTAAAAAAAAGGACAGAATTTGATTAGAGAAACATTTAGAATATTAAGATCATCAATTTTCCTGAAGCTGCCACTTTGACTGAGAGCATGATATTGCATTAAAGAATCCAGTTGAATCCTGATATTCAAGAGCAGCAGACCAGGACGCATATAATCCTCGATACCCCTCCGTCTTGGTTAGATGAAACACCATGAACTCCAAGGTTTGTTGGTTCAGGATGAGTAGGAATAATGTCCTGTCGGGACCAGCTAGAAATACAGCTTCTTGAATGACGAATGGAAATGTTGTGATGGGCTCCTCTAGTTTTCTACCTCGGATGAGTTTACTAAAACTTGACGTATTGTCAGATTGATTATTTGTAATAATGTAAGAGGATCTGGAATCTCGAGGATCGGAGAGGATTACGGACGGTTCCTGATCTTCGCTGAGTTTAATTGATGCTTTCCCGGCAGGAACTGATATTTCGTCCTTCCTGCCTTGGAACCAGTTTATCTGATACTTATTCTTTCCTGCAGATTTGGTTTTAAAGGAGCAGGTGAGAGAATATCCTTTCTTGCTCTCGGAGATACAAACTGAAATAGTTCCGTCCACACACTCTGCAGGAATAGGAACCCGTCCGGAGGTAGGTTTTATCACGGCTCCGTTCTCCTCGATCTTTAATTTTCTCACGATATTACTAAATGCCAGGAGATCTGCCTCTCCGTTTGCTCCAATAGGAAATGGAACAATGTGACTAACTCCCTTTCCCAGCATACTTGCTTTATCATAACAGGACAGCTCCTCACCTAGAGATAGAACCCGGTCTGTGGTTACCACCTCAACCACGGATATAAACCGTTCTTTGTTCTTCCTCTCTCCCAGCAGAGCTAACCTGAACTCATTTGTTGAGACCTGGAATATGGCAGCATCATGGTAGTGTTTATCCTCCTTTACTCCGGGTAGCGGGAGAACTGCTCGTCTCACAACTACACAGTCACTATCAGCTCTAAGCTTGAGTTCGGCAATAAATAAATTGTTCTCTCCGGCCAATAAACAAATATAATTCCCGGAGGAAGAAACTGATTTAGGAGCAGTAACCTCAGATGCGGATATCTGTCCTATTTGCTCCAGGATCAGGTTTGTTCCACGTGGAATGCTGGAATCACTTTCATCACTTTTCACAGAAAGACTTGAAACTTTTCTAGACTCCATGGTTTTTTTTTTATAAATGTAACTATAATGCGGCTTTCGAATGGACAGAGGTTAACCTGGTCACGAAATTATTGACATGAGGTTGGATGGATCGGAGCGGAGGGTATGGTTTGACTGACAGACAGTTTAACACTCAGAACTGTATCCATGTCTCCATCAAACCTTGGTTCGGAGCTCTGGACTGCGGGAGGTACACAGCCTCTAAACTCTACTCCGAGACTTGGTTTCTGTAGAATACAGCATCGCGGGATATTGATCCGAACCTAACGTATATACTATGTATTATGTATACTAGCGGAGAGAATATAAACGGTTCCTCCTGCTCCTTCTGTTAGACTAATACTGAGAGGAAATTCTACAGTGGTTAGTATTCATGATCAGCCAACCAAAACCACTCGTAATCTCTCCAAATTTTCACTTTTATTGATATATATTTCTATCATCTCTTCATTGAAAATTTGAAATCACCAAAAACATTTTTTGTTTACTTTCTTGCTCTGAACATAGTCTACAGTCACTGCCAGAGTATGATTTGCACATGTAACCTTATATGAGTATAATTAGTCCAGTTTCCTGTATCCTTAGGAACCAAGCACTAGTGCACTGCATTTAATACTGTGCTGTGTTCTGTAGTCTACATATATATACACCAGGTGCCATGGGATCCGTTATACCTTCATATCTTCTTAATAAACAAACTAGACATTATATATTAGACATTAGACAATAGGACTTCAGAAACTAGACACCTGTATTGTTTGTATGTCTGTGCAGTGTGTGTGTTTAGAACTAGAAGAGTTGAATTAAATGATATTAGAGTGGGACGAACATCTGCAATAAAGGTTTTTATATTGATTATTCATTGCAAGCTTACACCTGTTCTACTGTATTCTATATACAATATATACATACATATACATACAAGCAAACACAATTACATTCACATTATACAATGACCTTATTAAATATCAAGAAAAGGGGAAAGTGCAATTTAGAAGTAAGGGTGATGCGCACCCCCCCCCCCAAACCCAACCCTCCAATCCTTTCATTCAATTAAAAGTTCCAGAAGATTTAAAGAGATATTATAAGATGATACATTGAAGATGAGAATACACAGGCCTAGTTCGCCTATTACGGGAGAAAAGTTCGAATTGATTCACAAAAGGTCAGATAAATTTTACTCCAAAACCCTTGGAGCAACTCCAAAACCCTTGGAGCAATTCCAAACCCCTGAGAGCAGCCACCCCTCCCTCTCCTCTCACTAAAAAGCCTTTATACGTATATGTTATATTTTTTATGGGTATTACTATACATACATTTAAGGTTTAAAAAACTGACGACATATGAAGCTGCAGATTAATATGAAGTATAGAACAGTATCAATAAATAAGAGGGATAATATCGGACTATTAGGACGAATACAGTCCCTTGCTGGCAAACAAGGACAGAGGGACTACAGAAAGACTATATATGGATAATGCACAGACGAAAGATAGTCACAAAGTATCTCCAGGAACTATTTATGCTTAGGAGTACACAGACCTACAATTAAGGTACAATATAGTGGACAAAAGGGACTTGTGGATAAATTACAAAAACTGCTGGAGGAACTAACAGACACTAAGAAATACAGAAAAAGACACTAGAAGAACAGACATTTTTTTATCGCTTCGCGCACGCATTCAACAAATTGACTCGGGTCGGTCATTTTACAGCTGTTGGAAGTTCAATTTTTTTCATTGGATATAAAAAGAAATCGGTGTATATCGAGCACAGTGCCAAACCTGTAGCAATTAAAAATTTTTAGCCATATTCTCATAGACTTTCGTGTGAGAGTTTGCAACCTTTGGATCACTTAAAGTTATGATATTTAGGTTTCTTAAAACATGAATATATTGCATGAATATATAGAGTTGGAGCTTTTGTATAAATGATCAAATAACTGATAACACTCTAAAACTTCATACTCTTCAACCATAACTGTCAAGTGGTGGGAGGGGGGCAGTACCCCCGCCCTATATTCCTTTAAGTTCCCCTAAAATCTCCCACTTCCCCTCTTTAAACTGAAAAAAATAGCATAAAAAGAAACATTAAACAAATCCCGAAGGGTAAATATTTGCTTCCTAGGAATACTAATGAATTAATAATTATAAATTATTTTGTTTAAAATAATCAAATTACATTGTTCACTGATAGATAGTTAATTAAATAATTATGCCTTATCTCTAGAGAAGAATATTATTAAGCTAACAGTATTCTGTAGGATGAAGAATGGGGCGGAGAAAGAGAATAATAGGAATGAAGAACCTGAGGAAAATAGCGTAAGTTGATTTTTCGAATCTTTTTTTTAGAAACATCGGATGAAAAAAAACGGTCGACTGACTGATATTTACACGATTTTACGTTTTTGAATCAAATACTTGTTTTCGTTAGAACTAAGACGACCTCGTTTTTTGTCTGACCAGGAACTGGCAGAATATATTAAAATTATATATTATCAATGTTTGTTCTGTGTTGAGCGAAATCCAGTAGAAAAAATTTAAAATATAACTTTTATTTTTTATTTCATACATTTGAATCAAATCAAAAACTTCCAACTTCTTAAGAAAAAAAGTTAGTAAGTATAAAATTAAATGAACTTAGTTTAATATTACAAATTACAATATATTTCATGAATGTAAATTGTCCAAACTGGCAAAAAAAGGTTTCACTCTCACAGGTAGAAAAACTCGGGTTTGGAATAATCTTAAAGTAATCCAAAGAAGTTTGCTACATTTATATACAGGGTGTCCCACGAAACATGAGAGTTGGTGAATAGTTTAAAATGTCTTCTTCCATAATTTGTTAGGTTGTGTTATTCCAAAGAGAATGAATATTTTATTGGCAGTCAGTAAAATATATTTGAGTAAAAGATTTTCTTAGCAAATTAATCTGCAAAAAGTTATTAATATCTATTTTACTGTATCATGGAAGAAGACATTCAAAACTACACCAACTGTCATGTTTCGTGGGACACCCTGTATTTAATAAATGATGTCTATTTAGAAGGTATTCCTAAGAAGATGGTACATTTTGATCCTTTTTTCATTCTTTACCCTGCACTCATGCGCAGTCTGGAACACATGGGGCCCGATAGCGAAAACTGCCAAAAAGGTTTGTTAAGATTAAAAGAATTTAGTCTTTGCCATAAATTCTGATTTTCTAATCCCGATATCTTTGCAACCCAATGTCGTAGACCTTAGATATTTCAAACAATAAATTCTATTGGATTAAATAATCTAAGTTGAAAAATCAAAGGTTACATCATGAGATTGCAAAGATATAGGGATTAAAAATTTGAGTATATGGCTACGACTAAATTCCTTTAACAAAAAATGCAGATTCTGGATTAAAATATAGTTTGTGAGGTATATGGCTGGACAGATGGAACCCTAACCCTGTTTACACTTTGGGGTTGTCTAGACTTCCCTATATTCTTCCTACCCTCAGCCTGGCTTCTTGGTCGTAGCCTCCGCTGGTCCGTTGTCATCGCTGCCTTCTGTATGCTTCTAGGATCATCGATCAGATGCTTACCCCTAGTGTTCCCACTTGATGACCAAGCATTTACTTACCTCTGCCACGCGGGAGCAATTATTAATGCAATTTGCGGACCAGTTGCAATGTCAGCACCAATACAGGTTTTAAAATCTTTAGTTAGGACAACATCTTAAATGTAAAATAGTATTCTTGATACCAATACAGGGTGTCCCAACAAACAGGGGAATTAAGTGACGAATTCAAAATTGTCTACATTAAGTTTTGTATTACCTAATTTCAATGGCATGATAAAGTTACGTCTACTAGAGTAATACTTTATGTAAAGGGTAAACAAATGTTTTGTTCCTGTTGCGTGATGTTTTGTGATATTTCTGCAAGATAAAATGTGAAGAGAACCAACTATAATGTGTTTGTAAACAGGAATTTCTTATTTTACAAATATAACAGTGTGCAATCAAAACATAAACAATTTTTAACTCAGACGGAACATCTACGGATTACAGCTTTGCTAATTGCTAATATGCATCACTAGACGAAATAAAAAAAAATAGTTTACAAAATATTAAATATTAAAATCGTTTCTAAATTCCCATGTTTATTGGACCACGTTGTATATGAGACTCAAAATTTTCTGAAATTGCTGGAAATTTATTTAGACAATCATCATTAAACAGCTTACAGTACTAAATTCAAGTGAACTCAGTGTTAAAAAATATCACATTTTATAATAGTTTCGATTATTTCAAGAGTTCATCTCTTCAACCGGACATAATGGCTCAGTAACATTTCGTCTAGTACACTTTCGTCTAAGTTCACTTTTGTCTAGTTCATTTTCGTCTATTTCTTTTTTGTCTAGTAACATTTGGTCTAAGTAACATTTGGTCTATCGTCTAAGTAACATTTCGTCTAAGTAACTTTTGGTCTAAGTAATTTGGTCTGGAAAAAATGTTAAGTGATTTTATTTTAACACTGCAAAAAAAGGAAAAAACCCATGAAACAAAATCAAGAAATCCGCAGTTCGTATAGGAGAAATTCTCCACTCTTCTAAAACACGTTGATCTGAGAGGAACTCAATGGCGGGATTAATTATGATACTCAACCAGTACTTTTGTTGATAAGTACTTCAGACCAAATTCCTTACTAAAAATTACTTATACCAAAAGTTACTTAGACAAAATGTTACTTACTCCTTTCTTAAAGTTAGTTAAACCAATTCTGTAGTTTTAGACCAATTTACTTACTAAAAGTTACTTAGACGAAATGTTACTTAGACCAAATGTTACTTAGACCAAATGTTACTTAGACGAAATTTTACTTAGAACAAATGTTACTTAGACCAAATGTTACTTAGACGAAATGTTACTTAGACCAAATGTTACTTAGACCAAATGTTACTTAGACGAAATTTTACTTAGACCAAATGTTACTAGACCAAATGTTATTAGACGAAAGTGTACTAGACGAAATGTTACTGAGCCGACATAATAATTGTTAATCCTTAAATACATCTCTGGAATTTTATTCAGTTTCTTTTAGATTTCATCTGCTTGGTTTCCTCCAACAGAACGTACTTTTGCAACCAGTATAGGTCAACAACAACAAACAAACATTTAAAATAAATATAATTGTTTATTTTTCTTATATTTTCAGTCGTTATTTTACAGGTCAAATGTTCAACGCTCTTGGTGTCGGCGTCTCCTTTATTTTTGGAACCTTTATTGTTAGGGAGGCTTCTGAGGACTGTGAACTTGATCCTCCAAGTTCAGATAATATTCTTTGTTTGAACAAGGAATCTGATCTAAAACTTGCAAGAGATGATATTGACATCCTTCTCTTGATCCATGGTGGTATATCCTTGGTAATTTTTCTTCTGATTCTTCTATATTTCCCGAGCCAGCCACCTAAACCTCCAAGTATATCTGCTACAGAACCAAGAACTCTGTTCCTTGAAGGATTTAAAACCCTTCTTAAATCAAGAACAGCCTGGTTTACCATGATAACCTACTCAATGTCTCAAGGTTTAGTTCAGATGTGGCAAAGTGTGATGATAATTAATATTCTAAATCTAGAAATAGAAGGTAAATTCAGTTAAAACGTTTTTTAGGAATACCTTTACTTTTTTATTAATCCAGGAGTAACTGAGAAATGGGCTTCAATGCTTGGAATAGTTATAAGTTTTGTAGCTGTGGCTGCTAGCATTGGATTCGCTTTTATTCTTAAATGGTTCAGAAAAAGGAAAGAATACTTGAAATTTAAAAAGATGTAAACATTCATAATGAAATCTGGTTTGACTAATTAGGATGAAGCATGTGATTATCCTTCTGCTTGCGGTATCAGGCACAATATTTATTGTTGTAGCTCTACTTTTCCAGGTACTGCAGTCCTTTTGCTGATACTAGTCTTTTCTTGGTGCTCTAGTCCTTTCCTAGTACGAGCTTTCTCCGGGTACTAGTCTTCTCAACGTTGTAATCTTTTCAGATCCTAGTCTTTTTCCAATGGTAGCCTTTTTCCAGGTACTGTAGTCCTTTTCAAGTACTAATCTTTTTCTGGTACTAGTCTCCTGGAACTAGTATTCTCCTGGAACTAGTATTCTCCTGGTTCTAGTCTTCTCCTGGAACTAGTCTTCTTCTGGTACTAGTCTTCTCCTGGAACTAGTCTTCTCCTGGAACTAATCTTTTTCTGGTATTAGTCTTCTCCTGGAACTAGTCTTCTCCTGGTACTATTCTTCTCCTGGTACTAGTCTTCTCCTGGTACTAGTCTTCTCCTGGTACTAGTCTTCTCCTGGAACTAGTCGTCTCCTAGTACTAGTCGTCTCCTGGTAGTAGCCTTTTCCTAGTACTAGTCTTCTTTTTGGTACTAGTCTTTTCAAGGTACTAGTCTTTTCAAGGTACTAGTCTTTTCCTGTCACAGTTCCTTTCATTAAATGTGTTTCCTGATTTTGTTCCTTACCACGTCATCTTTGTTGCGCCTTGATTCTGACGATATTTTGCATTCAGGGTGTGATACAATTTCAAAATGCTGAACATTTTAAGATTTCTGCATATATTCTGCTGTTGTCAGGTGGGATACTTTTCTATGCAATTACATAAAAAAGATTAATCATTTTTTAATTTCTAGGAATAAGCCTGGCTTGTGCATCAGCACCTGTTCTCTTCGAATTCAGGTCAAATCTTTTATAAATTTTCTATTTATTCATTCTTGACTGTCTGATGGTAGTATCCAATCTATACGTAAATTTAGCTTGTCTGTCTGTGTGTATCCAATAAACGTCAAAACGGCTGAACCGATCGGGCCCAAATTTTGTGTGGGACCCCACGTGATCCAAGGAAAGATTTATGAATGATCAAAATTTAAAAAATTTGTGTTTAAAAGTTTTTTTGTAAAATTTTTAAAATGGGCGAAAAATATAATAAAATTCGCAAACTTTTTGTTTGTTTTTGGTTTATACTGTACAAAGAGACGATGCTTAGAGATAAAGCCACAATTAAAAGTTGAAATAGAAGCATAGTTAATATAAAAACGGCTAAACCGATAGGGACAAATTAAAAATGAATTTTTGAATTTGTTTGATATCTTTGAAAAGAGAAAAATCATTAACATCTTACAATATTATTAAGTTTGTAATATACATTGATAACCAGAAAACCGTGGAATATGAAGACGACATTATAGCGATACTTTTGTATTTTTGATTGTGTTACTAAGCAAATAGTGTTTCTAGTAACTTATCAAATCACTTTATAAGTCAATGGGGTCTGTTCACACTGCACAATTGCTGTGTCTCGTGTTCATTAGACTATTTACAGTCATAAATTTAATCTAAAAGTTATCTTCATATTCCAAATTTTTCTGTTTATCACTGTACGAAAAAAGGGTAAAGGAAACAATAAAAAGTAAACAAAATGTCCTGAAATCATAGTTTATAAAATTAAAAAAAAAATTTTGTCAATTGAATTATTGTCTGTCTAGATTTAGCTTAAAGATATTATTTTGGTATTAAGGCTGAAAGTGTTGCACTGCACCTGTATGTTGGAGCATCTTTTTGATTCATAATAGAATACATTTAAATATTTTAGTGTGGAGTTAAGCTATCCTGTAGCAGAGGGTTGTATTGGAACTTGGCTTACTGTTTGGTTTAATATTCTTTCCGTTCTTTTCTTCCTGGTCTTTCAAATACCGGACATAGGAACAGGTAGGCAGAAAATACCGAACATAGGAATATGAAGGCAGGAAATACCGGGTATAGGGACAGGTAGTTAGGAAATACCGGATATATGATCAGGTAGGCAGGAAATAATGGAAATTTGAACAGGTAGACAGGAAATACAGGATGTAGGAAAAGGGAGGCAAGAAATATCGGATATATGAACAGAAAAGCAGGAAATATCGGGAATGTAAATAGGTAGGCAGGAAGGAAAACTTGGATATATATATTAACAAATAGGGGGGGTATATCAGATAAAGGAACAGTTAGGCAGGAATTTTTGGTTAAACTATATACTTCCTGTCTAGATTGGTTGAACTATATACTTCCTGCCTAGTTTGGTTGAACTATATACTTCTTGTCTAGATTGGTTGAACTATATACTTCCTGCCTAGATTGGTTGAACTATATACTTCCTGCCTAGATTGAATGAACTATATACTTCCTGGAATACTTGAAATTTAAAAAGATGTAAACATTCATAATGAAATCTGGTTTGACTAATTAGGATGAAGCATGTGATTATCCTGCTGCTTGCGGTATCAGGCACAATATTTATTGTTGTAGCTCTACTTTTCCAGGTACTGCAGTCCTTTTGCTGATACTAGTCTTTTCTTGGTGCTCTAGTCCTTTCCTAGTACNATTATATGTATACCTGATATCGAATTGGACTACAAGTTTGATTATATGTATCTGATATCGAATTGTACTACAAGATTGATTATATGTATCTGATATCGAATTGTACTGCAAGTTTGATTATATGTATACCTGATATCGAATTGTACTACAAGTTTGATTATATGTATACTTGATATCGAATTGTACTACAAGTTTGATTATATGTATACCTGATATCGAATTGTACTACAAGTTTGATGTTATGTATCTGATATCGAATTGAACTACAAGTTTGATTATATGTATCTGATATCGAATTGTACTGCTCGCAGGTAAAATAAAATCTTCAAAGAAACCTTCTTATTCAAATTGAATAATCATGTAATTAGATATCTAATAAATCTAATTTAGTTTAATTTAAGTTCATGTTATTGAATTTTATTATTTAAAAGGTGTAACGAACAGGAGGGGTAGCTGAGCAGAGAGAATTATAGAAAAGAATGTTATGAAACTCATTTAGTATCAGTGACGTTTTTACTTTGTATAATTGATCGTAAAAGCATAAAAATGTTAAATAACCTTTTTTCCCACAGATTTACAGAGGAAAGTCTTCCCGTGGAGCGTATTTTAAAGATTATTTAATGTTCTAAACGAAAATCATGAAATGAATTCTTCTAAGAACTAATTTGTTGTTTAGGAACATATTTCTTAAAAAAGATTATCAATGATGTTAGAATCAATAGAATCGATTCATTCTTTTCTTGCTTAAAAATGTCCGTTGTGAATATCGAGTTCAAGCATCAGTGTAATCTCAACAAAAATTCCGACCTCAGCTTACAGCAAACTAAACATGAAAATAGGAAATTATAAACATTCTTTTATTGAGACAATTCTTAAAAAGATTGGAACTTTTGTTTAGACAGATTTGAACGTTTGATTTCGAAATCCAATTTGGTCACTTTTAAATTTGAGGATCAATGTTATTTTTTAATTTAGTGTAGCGTTCATCCCTCAAATATTTGTGGATGACTTCATCAAACAATTAACGATTATAAAAATCTATATTTTGTTCTGTATCACCTCTGAACACATCCATCATACTTTAACGTAAATATGTCAATACTTATCTTAAACAAATAAATCAAGACAATGAATATTATAATATGCACTGGCTTGGGAACCCAGCTTTGCCTTGAAATCTAGACTTTCCACTTGGAATTGTTAAACAAAGGTAAGAACATTTCCGTGGTTCTACCGAGTTCCATAATCACAATTTGAGGCAACTCGATTAAGGAGCTCATGAGTTATGATCGGACATCTAAACAATCAAACAAACAGAGATTACTAGTTTCCAGTAGTACAATAAATATCCTGGGGTTTGGTAACATTAATCTTTTTTCCTTGTTAGTTATTCCATGATTGATGACGCTTACAAAAATTATATTGTCAATTGTCAACCTTATCATTAAATTGAGTTTATCTTTCAGGAAAATTGACAGGACAGTTGAGGATCGAAGGATGGAAAATACTATCCCAGATATATTAGGGGATGGATTTCAAGCGGTAATTCCATCATTTACATAACGGAAATTATCTTATACTGCTAAAAAAGTTAAATAAAAAGTTGTAAAGGAATTAAGTCGTTGCAACATTCTAATCCTTTTATCTTTTTAACCAAATGTAGTAATCAGCGTATATAGTTCAAACTATGAATTCTGTATTCTATTATGGATTAGATTATGGATTAGATCAGAGTTTGTTGCAAAGACTCAATTCCTTTTAACATCTTTCAGGCTTAAAGGGAATGTAGATTGCAGACGCTGTTTCAAGTGTCCCTTTATTTAAATAGATTGTCATGTCCGATTCACAACAGTACCCATCAAACCTTTGTCATATCATCGATTACTGAGGATTTCGTGTATTTCTTGCAAACAATTGAAAATTTCGTTTTATCTTAAAGGGTATACGACTGTTGTTCTTACAGATATTAAATCCTAATACATGCAAAAAAAATTTGACTGATGAACTATTTTGTAGGAGTTGTATTACAGACGATGGTATATTCTATCTTTGTTTTCTCTCTTCTCTTTGTTCCAATGCGCTGTCTGGAACACATGGGGTCCAATTGCAGAAACTGCTAAAAATGTAAATATTTTGACTTTTCAGGACATTCAGGGCATCCTTTTATCCGTCTTCATACTTTTTTAGCTTTTATGAGGCTTCGAAAAATCTCAAAAGTTAAAAAAAATTCATTTTCCGCTCTGACAAAAATGGTTCATTACGTACAAGTGTTTGTTTACGTACGTACTTCAGGGCTAGATATTTTGTCAGAATTAACATTTTGAAATTGTAACAATACAATCATAACCAGAAGAACCCTGAATTAGTTGACAGTTCATCAGACGACTTTATATATACAGGGTGAGTCAAAAAAAAGTGTGATTTACGGCGCCTGGTACAAAAGTGTACCTTTTTTCGTGCAACTCTCCTGTATGGAAATTTTTCGATATTTAAAAAAAAAAAATTTTTTTTGTTACTCCAATTGCCAAAAAAATCCGCGAACTTTTTTTTTCTCTCAAAATCAAAAGTTTAGAAAAGCAAAAATGTGTATATAAATTATTTCTATCGAAATCTAAAATTTTATACAGATTGAATCACAGAATCACAGAAAATTGGCAAAATTGTAACAAAGAAAATTCGCAATTTTCAGTCCTGTTCTTATTTAAAGGAAAAGTTGTTTTTCAATGGTTCTTAAAGTTTCAACTGAACAGCGTACATTTTTTTACTTTTGAATATACTAAGAAGAAAGGAACTAGAGAATTCAAACTTTTCCTTAAAAATTAGACCAAAACTGAAAATTGCGAATTTTCTTTGTTACAATTTTGCCAATTTTTCTGTTATTCTGTGATTCAATCCTTATAAAATTTTAGATTTCGATAGAAATAGTTAATATACACATTTTTGCTTTTCTAAACTTTTGCTTTTGAGAGAAAAAAAGAGTTCGCGGATTTTTTTTTGGACCATTAGAGTACCAAAAAAAATTAAAAATTTTAAAATAATATTTTAAAAACTTCATACAGAAGAGTTACACAGAAAAAGATACACTTTTGTACCAGGCGCCGTAAATCACACTTTTTTTGACTCACCCTGTATATATATCTCTGGTAATTTTACACACACAATTAAGGCAGATCACATTTTGGAATTGGCTGGACTAGGTCTATTTTGTTATTATCGTTTCATTAATCATAATTGTAAAGTTAGATTGTAAAGTCGTCTGATTGATCTTATATTAATTCCGGGTCTTTGTGATTATGACTGTCTGTAGCGAGGGATGGAAGGCAACCTCTCCCGCAAGCTTCTAAACCTCATTTTGCCTATTTGCGGCAGTGCTCGTCCCCAGAGGACTTCCGAAACTCCCCCAAACAGTCTTCCGGGATTGATCGTCTGTTTTTAATCGTAAATTTCTACTTAAAACTGAACTAATTCGATTACTTAAGCAGGGTAGTCAATCTAAAGTATCCTTTTTCATAATATTTTTTTTCTTTTTTACATTCAAAGTTTTGACTGGAAAAACGTAAACTTTAAAGATTTTGTTTGATATCGCGTTTTTGTTTCCGTTTTCTAAAGTCTATTTGGTCTAAGAACCTGTTACTAAATAAACAAATTCCGATTATCAGATGAAATTAAAGTATTTATATTAAGTAAGTTTATCTGCAAAATAGTGCATTAAACAACAATAAAAGGCAATCCGGGCAATGCTCTAATTAAAGAAAACGTAATTATCTTTAGCTCTATATGTACTTCAAATTTGTAGTGCTTGTAAAAAAAGCGCCAATAGTTTTTAAATCATTTGGTTATAACAGAGTTTGTTTTTCTTTAGATATCTTAATAACCAGAACGAAAATTTGCGAAGGGCAATGTTTTTTAGAATTAACATTTTATGAAGAATAATTATTAGTAAAATCTATTCATAAAAAAGCGCCACCCATTCGAAGATTTAAATAAAATCTATAAATAAAAGCTATTTTCTCCCGGATCTTTGATTGTAAAAAGAAAAAAAAATATTTTGAATATGTGAAGGATACTTCAGATTGACTACCATCCTTAAATAATCGAATTAGTCCCGTTATAAGTATACATTTACGATTATAAACGTAAGATCATTCCCTGAAGACTGTTTGGGGGCGGTTCGGAAGCCCTGAAGGAGACGCGCACTGCAGCAAATAGGTAAGATGAGGTTCGGATAAGGGGAGGTTGCCTTCCCTCCCTTCTGTAGCTAACTTTCAGAGAATAATATTTTGAAATATATTTAACTATAGCGAAGATTTTTGTGGACCGACTTGAAAGCCAAAAGTCCATGAACAGTAAAAATCGGATCAAATCGGATGCCTAATACTAGTTTCACCAAGGTTTATGGATGGGATGACGGCGACCTAACCTTGTTACCACTCTGGGGAGTTGTAGTGTTCCCTGTATTTTCTGGTCCATTTGCCTGGCTTCTAGGTCGGAGCTTGCGCTGGGCGGTAGCAATCGCTGCTCTCCTGGTTGTTATTGGAACATTTATCAGATGTATTCCTATACTACTCCCGGAGCAGGCTGTCAACTTTGATATTTATTGTAATACTGGAGCTATCTTTAATGCTATGGCAGGACCTGTAGCAATGGCTGGTCCTATTCAGGTAAACACAGTTTAAAATCCATTTCTTGAAAATTTAACTGAGGGGGCCCAGAAGAGGCTTTAAATATTAGCTTGGACATTGCTTTTTTGCAAAAGCTTAGGAAAGTGTTTAAAGCAATAAAGGGTGTGCAGTGCAGGGATAATTAAAGAAACTATCATTATAATTTTAAGTGACCCTCCATTAAAAAGAGGCACACCATCTTTATATAATAAATAATGTGGAAGATATCATCGTCTTTCTATAGATTGAAAAGTGTTCAGTTCTCCACGGTTTCTGTAACCGAAATTTGTATGTCATTTTTAGAGCGAAACTACACTTGAAGATTTTTTATTTCAGTTTAAAAACATGAAGAACTTGATTATACAATACTTTTCCGGGTACCGCGGTGAATCAGACATGCTAATTTTAAAAAAATGCATAATTTTCACTTGAAATTAAGTTTGATATTCATTGATAGAATGTAAATTGGCATAAAGGGGTGTGAATAATCATTTAGTGTATGAAAATAATATAAAGGAGATTTCAACTACAAAATAGTTCAAGTTTGCAGTTGTTTAGCTTTCTGCAAACTGGTTTCCTCCTGGTGAAAGAGTTGCAGCTACTGGAATAGGTAACTTTTGTTAGATCTTTATATTAACATTATAAAATCAACTCGTTAATAGGTCAGATGTTCAATGCTCTTGGGATTGGTGTCTCCTTTATTTTTGGTACCTTCCTAGTCAGAGAGGCCTCTGATGACTGTGAACTTGATAATGTTCTTTGTCTAAACAATGAATCTGATCTAAAACTTGCAAGAGATGACATTAATATTCTTCTCTGGGTTCATGGAGGAGCGTCTTTTATTGTATTTCTTCTGATTCTTCTATATTTCCCGAGCCAGCCACCTAAACCTCCAAGTATATCTGCTACAGAACCAAGAACTCTGTTCCTTGAAGGATTTAAAACCCTTATTAAATCAAGAACTGCCTGGCTTACCATGATAACATACTCAATGTCTCAAGGTCTAGTTCAGATGTGGCAAAGTGTGATGATAATTAATATTCTAAATCTAGAAATAGAAGGTAAATTAATTTTAGAAAATATTTTCATTTTTTATGTTTAATTTTTTTAGGAGTAACTGAGAAGTGGGCTTCAATGCTTGGACTTGTTATAAGCTTTGTAGCTGTGGCTGCTAGCATTGGATTTGCTTTTTTCCTTAACTGGTTCAAAAAAAGGAAAAATGGCTTCATAATAAAATCAAAGTTTGCAATTGTTCTGTTAAGAGTTTGTATATCTATCAACCTGCAGCAAGAACGGGAGCATCTTGGATGGGGTAACGGACGTCCTGAAGCACCCTCAATTTTCCAAAAAATATCACATTTCATCAAAAATCTTGTAATATGAGATATAACCATTAAAATATGTTGGTATCCTGCTCCCCGGTCCCCTTTTTAAGGTGCATTCTCTGTTTTCCCCACGTCTTGAAATAGTCTTGTGTCAAGTCTAAATAAGACTTGTTCCTCCTATCCCCATTTTAGTCTGTTCCTCCACATATTTCATCCACATCTGTTAGTGGTCTTGCAAAGACGATCCTCATATATTATATTTCATCCAAATTTTTTATGTACCACCCCCATTTTGGCCTGTCCCCCCCATATTTGATCCATAGCCCTCATTTGAGGACGCCCTAATGATTACCTCTGTAAGTGAATATAAGACAAGTGCAGAGGGGGTCGAGAGCAGCTTTAAAGCAGCTGCCAGCAAATACATGTGACAAAGCCATGGACAAAAATACGGACACACACAAGGGACCCCTGCATAGACTAATGCCAATAGAAACCTGATATCCCAGTTCAGTTCATGAGCAGTGTCCTGAACCTTGTCTTTCCGTTCTAAATATGACTACCTCAGTAGGAAAAATTGTGGGTCTTGAGGACGTCATATCCCCTGTTTTGCAACTCAATTTTATACTTCCTAGGCTGTCTCCCATTCTTGCTGAGTATTACCTAGGGCGACAGGACTATTCACAGAGAGACCAACTTGATCTAAAAAGACAATTTCTAGAGAAAAAAAAATTTGGAGAGAAAGACGTATAGCTACATGGCTGTCCTTTCCACAGCGCTGACCTTAGTAAACTTTATAAAAGGATCTAAATATTTTAAACATTATTCATATTTACTATCGCTAGTTCATTCTTTGATTAAATAAAGAAATTTGAATTCTGGAATTCTGGAAGCAAAATCAATTAAGTTTAATATATCTTGGAAATGCAAGAAAAAACCTTGAGAAATGTTAATTCATGAAACATGAAACTAAGCCCAGAATGAAGTTAGTGCTTATTCTGCTCCTAGGAGTATCTGGGATTATATTCATCTTTACCACTCTTCTCTTTCAGGTTATTTCTATATATTGTCTCATGTATATATTATAGTTTAGTGCATCTTTAATGGTGTGTCCTTATTGGTGTAAACCCTCAATAGAAATTCCATATTTGAAATGCATATGTATATGAAAATTCATAATTTAATGAGTTTGTGATAACAACATTCTTGAAAAGTCTTCTTACAAGTTTAAACAATTTTAAAAAATTACACTTATGAAAAATACCCTTCACTTACATTTTACCGATGTTTATGGAACGTTATATGGTTTGCTGGGAAAAAAAAAACAGTTAAGAAAAAGAGATGCACAACGAGTATACATTTACAATATTTAATCTCATTTTAATTTCATGAGATAAACCAGAGCTTAAACAATTTCTGTTCCTCCAGGGTGTTTTCCAGTTTCAAGACTCCAACGGGTTCAAGATAGCTACATATTTTCTACTACTGTCAGGTGATTTATGAGAAATACGCGCGCAATACCGCAAATAACATTTGTATTTTTAAAAAGAAAAAAATATTCATTGCAAGGGATAAAGTAAGTTGTTTTGTCTAGGAATAAGCCTTGCTTACGCATCAGCACCACTTTTATTTGAGTTTAGGTAATAAAAGAAAAGCAAAAACTAAGTATGAATTATCTAAATACTAAATAGATGTAAATGATGTTTTAGTGTGGAGCTGAACTATCCTGTAGGCGAGGGCACTATTGGATCCTGGCTCACACTATGGTTTAATCTTTTCTGCATTTGTTTCCTCTTGATCTTTCAGAAACCAGATTCTAGTACAGGTATTTAGATCCAAGTACAGGTACTTAGATCCAAGTACAGGTATTTAGATCCAAATACAGGTATTTAGATCCAAATACAGGTATTTATATCCAAGTACAGGTATTTAGATCCAAGTACAGGTATTAGTAGATCCAAGTACAGGTATTTAGATCCAAGTACAGGTATTTAGATCCAAGTACAGGTATTTAGATCCAAGTACAGGTATTAGTAGATCCAAGTACAGGTATTTAGATCCAAGTACAGGTATTTAGATCCAAGTACAAGTATTTAGATCCAAGTACAGGTATTTAGATCTTATGTACTCCTTAGTTTATTTACATGTTGGTCAAACTATGTACACTAATATGTGTACAATTTGGTTGAAATATGTACTCCCTAGTTTATGTACAGGTTGATTGAACTATGTACTCTCTAGTTTATGTACATTTTGGTTGAACTATGTACTCTAGTTTATGTATAGGTTGGTTGAACTATGTACTCTAGTTTATTTACAGGTTTGTTGAACTAAGTACTTTCTAGTTTATGTACATGTTGGTTGAACTATGTACTCTAGTTTATGTACAAGTTGGTTGAACTATGTACTCTAGTTTATGTACAGGTTTGTTGAACTATGTACTCTAGTTTATGTTCAGGTTGTTTGAACTATGTACTCTAGTTTATGTACAGGTTGGTTGAACTATGTACTGCCTGCTAGTGTACTGGGTCCTCTACCTCTACTGTTCCTAGTACAAGAGAACTATAATCGTCTCAATATTGACGAGGGAAAGAAACCAGAATTATAAAAACGATTCAATTTATTTTATTTATTTAAATAAAGATTAATTTATTTTAACCTAATGGTGCATTTAATGTCACTAAGACAAAAATGTATCGTGAAAAATAATTTTGGTAAAATCACAAGTTAAAATTAAATAATGATCAAAACTACATTATATCTTTGCAACCCAATGTCGTAGACTTTTGATAATTCAAACCATAAAAACCATAAAATCAAATAGACTATGTTTGAAATATCAAAGGTTTACACCATCAGGATGCAAAGATGTAGGAATTAGAAAATTAGAAAAACAATAACTCAGTTCCTTTTTATCTCTGTAGTTTGTAGGCAAGTTACAGAAAAAAACTTGATTGAAGTTTGTAGATGATAGCTAAGGAAAGATTTAGTAATTGGGTGGTTTGAAGCTTGCAATGATTTTACAAAAAGGTTCACTGCATTGGTTTGTGGTTCTAAATTTATGATACAGTGATAACCAGAAAACGCTGGAATATGAAGACGACTTTTGATTCAAGTTATAACTTTAAATAGACTAATGAACATGAGAAACAGACATTTCAGTTAAACGGACCCAGCTCAATAAATAAGTGATTTAGTAAGTTAACCGGAAAACTATTTGATTTTAATAACATTAAGTACACTAATGTCGTCTTTTTCACAGTTTTCTGATTCTCAATGTATTATTTTTTTTTTTGAGTAAAATATAGTTTTTTAAAGATTTTATTTCAAGAATCCTATAGTTCTCAGACATCCTTATATGAATATATATATAAGATAAAGTGTGCACTGGATCTAGACTAGTTTATATATATAATTATATAATCAATTATATAATTGATGAACTAATACAATTTATCATATTTAGATAAATATCAAAGAATAAATAACAAAACTTTAAAGAATTACAAACTTTTTTACTAAAACCAAGAAAGGGAACCTATCTCATTTATTTGCAATGAGTTATAATTTTTACAAGATAAAGGAAGTTGTCAACAACTTGGATTTTGAATCCCTATATCTTTGCAACCAAAATTGTAGACCTTTGATATTTCAAACTATCATTAGGTTGCAAAGATATAGAGATTAGAAAATTTTAGTTTATTGCAAAATCTTAATTCAAGTCTTAAAGCAAATTTTTTATGAAAAATACTTTAAGAACCATATCAATATTATTTTAGTTTTTCTATGTTTTTTTTTTAAAGTTTTGCGAACTAATAAAAACTGATTTTTTAGGGTTCAATACTTTACAAATAATAAAATAAATTTTGTATTGCTATGAAGTTGTTAAACTCATATTAAAGAAAAGGGTTTCAAGTTGGATATTTCAAATTTTATAATTAAAACTCCCCTTGGAATTAAATAAACCATTTACGGGGTCGTATTTACAAATATATCACAAAATAATACGTAAACTTGACAAAGAACATTTTTAATTATTTTTTTAATTCAGTTTAATTGGGTTAATTACCTTAAATTAGATTAATAAAGTAAATATTTTACAAGAAAAATTAAATTAGATATTTTAAAACTTTAAAGAGAATAAACTAAATATACAATAGTATCAGTATTAATTATATAATCACTTTACCATAAATATTGAATTGAAAAAAAACAGAATTAACAAAAAACTAAGTTAAGTGCAGCATCCCACTCCCCTGCTGTAAGATGAGGGGGGTCGGGAAAGTATTGTGTATACAAATATTGTGCGCGGAACAGAGGACGGAAAGAGAATGATGATCTCGGCAAGGCGCATGCGCAAAATTGAGCAAATTATTTTATTTTTACGATGATCAAGCCACAAGATTTAACACAGTTGTAATATTTCAGAATATTTTGAAATTTTTTAAATTTCCAAACACGCAAATCTTTTAAAAATTGCCCTCTGACCTTTGAAGAAATATCATTACAAAACCTTACATCATACATTGACTTTGAAGTATTACATGGTACACATATGTCTACATGTACTTTGTTGTTTGATGTCAGGCCAGCCCGGCAAAAATATCTGAATACCAGTTCACTTCTTCACGCTCTTGGATTTCAGTGATTTCAGAATATTTTAGTCTGATAATTATTATTTTAGAATCTTGCAATCTGATAATTATGATTTTAGAATCTTACAATCTGATAATTATGATTTTAGAATCTTGCAATCTAATAATTATGATTTAAGAATCTTGCAATCTGATAATTATTATTTTAGAATCTTGCAATCTGATAATTATGATTTTAGAATCTTGCAATCTGATAATTATGATTTTAGAATCTTGCAATCTAATAATTATGATTTAAGAATCTTGCAATCTAATAATTATGATTTTAGAATCTTACAATCTGATAATTATGATTTAAGAATCTTACAATCTGATAATTATTATTTTAGAATCTTGCTATCTAATAATTATGATTTTAGAATCTTCCTATCTAATAATTATGATTTAAGAATCTTGCAACCTGATAATTATGATTTTAGAATCTTGCAATCTGATGATTATTATTTTAGAATCTTGCAATCTGATAATTATTATTTTAGAATCTTGCAATCTGATAATTATGATTTCAGAATCTTACAATCTGATAATTATTATTTTAGAATCTTGCAATCTGATAATTATGATTATAGAATTTTGCAATCTGAAAATTATGATTTAAGAATCTTGCAATCTGAAAATTATGATTTCGATTTTGTTGGTGGGGTGTAAACTGCTACGTTTCCAATGCCTAAAAAAGAAGGATCTTCGAATTGATGTTAAACGAGATTTCCATATGATCAAATATTAACATTTTATTAATTTGTGTTCTAGCACAGGATTTAATTAGTTTGAAACATCTTAACATAATTAATTTTATTCAAGACAGTTTGACATATAACTTGGAATACAGAGTACAAAGGATAGAAGAAAAAAATGTTAAAGGGAGTGACTGTCAATGTATGGTAGCTGAACTGAGACTGCAGTATTATTGAGACATTTTTTAGGATTCATTTCAGACCTATCAGACGTTTTTAGGATTCATTTCAGACCTATCAGACGTTTTTAGGATTCATTTCAGACCTATCAGACGTTTTTAGGATTCATTTCAGACCTATCAGACGTTTTTAGGATTCATTTCAGACCTATCAGACGTTTTTAGGATTCATTTCAGACCTATCAGACGTTTTTAGNGGTTGGAGCTGCACATAGTTGAGACCTATCAGACGTTTTATACAGTGCATATTTGTTTAGCAAGAGCGCAAATTTAATATTTAAAATCCTCATTAATTGTCTAGTTCGGAGGAATAATTTTGAGAATCGGTTTTATGAAAATTATTCAAAAACGACGAAGAAAAATGTAACGTTCTAAAGTAAGCTAATTAGATGTTTAGGAACATATTTCACAATGGAGGTTTGTCGATAAATCAATGTTAGAATCAATTGTTTCCTTTTCATCATTATATTGATTTTTTTATTCTTTATGAATTTGTTAGCAGATTTCTTCCATTATCGTCTTTTCATTAAAAATTCCAGAAAATCTACAGAAAATGTTTGAACAATGAGACATTACAGAATCCAATAACTATATAAGACTTCTTATTTTCGATGATAGGAGTTAATTTTTTTTCTCAACCTGCTCTTAAGCAACTAATTAGTTTACTCTTATTATTAGTTAAATTTTTCGTGGTCGTCATTGAATAATTAAAAAAATCTGATTCTCAAAATCATCCCTCAAAAATGGACGATCTATGAGGATTTTAAAGATTGGATTTGCGCTCTTGCTGAACAAATATGCACCGTGAAAACGTCTGATAGGTCTCAAATGAATCCTAAAAAAATTCTAAATAATACTGCAATCTCATAGATTGCCGGTCACTCCCTTTATCGAAAAAATAATTTTTTGGTTTGTTAAAAAAAACCACCACGGCATGGTATGATAAGTTGGATTAAAATCTTTTTTTAATCAGTTATTTTCAAATGTGTCCAAAAAACTCTAATTTTGTTTGTTTTATTGCAAGGGCTGGGTAAAAATGTGCTTTAGGTGTTCTTTAGTGCACAATGTGTAATATACATGCAATGTATCCAGATTAAAATATATTCAACATTTATACAGTTAGTATTTAAATCATTACATATTCCTTTTTAATGTAAATTATGTGCAACACCGCTCTAGTTTATAATTTAAAGAACTGGATACTTGCCACAAACTCTAACTTTCTAATCCCTATTTCTTTGTAACCGGAAAGTATAAACCTTTGATATTTCAAACATAGGCTCTTTGATCATAAAAGATTTCATAGTTTAAAATATTAATTTCTAACTACATTGGGTTGCAAAGATATAGGAACTAGAAGATTCAGTTCTTCTGGAAAGATTTTCGAATTTTTTGCCCATATACATTGCACGTCAATAATTATTAACTTTATAACTAATTGTAAATAAACTTTTGAAAATTGATTGCAAAGTTTAAAGTAGTTTTTTCTCTTTAAAATATCCAGTAAATCCTGGTGTCAAGCTTGTAAAATTATCGTGAATAAATCACCAGTTATTTTACCTGTAACAGCATTCCCACAGCAGATAATCCTCATATGACCATCATCTCCGATGAATATGAACCTACTGCAGATACACATGTACAAGCAGGATACAACCATGATACTCCCAGGGATAACACTCCACATCAATAAAAAGAAGAATGTCCTAAAATATCATTATTATTATTATTATTATTATACAATTATTATCATTATTAATATTATTATCTCTATTATTATTTTCAAATATATATCACCGTTCTGGTTGGTAATCAATGACTACATAGTCCGTATCTTCAGGATTATAATAACAATCAAAAACTGCTCTAGCTGTATAGTTTGCTCCATCCCGGGCAAACCTGAACATTTCTATCTTTATCTTTAAACAAAACCTGATTATCTTACTTCATAATCTTACTTCTCTTTATTACTCCGTCACTGCAAACCAAGATATGCACGCTCTCGCGCAAAAATCGAGCAGTATTTTGTCAGTAAGTTCTTTTAAGTTTTAGCTTGAAACAAGCGCTTTGCATTTAAAAAAGTTTATGCCTAGGGCTACAAAAAAGGATAAGTGCTTTGGTAAGGTAATTTCAAAGATTAAGGCGTTGCAACACTTTAAAGCCGAGGCTGTCTGAAAATTTGTGGACTAACTTTCATAGTTTCTCAGTGCCATGTGCCCCCAGTCAGTCAAGCTTTACCATGTATTAACCTAACCTAACCTATTTTGAGATAATTAATTATAGGTTGGGATCACTCCAGGGGGGCCTGTTTCCATTAGCTTGCACTGTAAAAAGAGCGTTTTGATCTTAGTTTGTCAAATTGTTCATCCTATTGCACATTTTATGATATTTCTATAAATCTTTGAGATAATTCTCTCATCAATAGAAAGTTAGGCTCACTTAAAAATGTTTTAGATCATTTTCAAACTTTGTTCTGAATTTTACCATTTTGATAGCAGATTCTAAAAAGAGTGTTAGAAACAACTTGAATTTAACAAGATGCTGAAAAACATATTTTGTTTTCCTACCTAGCGAAGAAGTCCATACACTCCATGGAAAGAGTGTTAACACAACCCTGCTGGTTTTTCTTGATTTTCGTCTAAATTAGAATATTCATGAAAAGGAGAATCAGTATGGTACAGTTCAAAAATTCAGGGGCGTATTCATGAATTTGTCCAGGGGGGCTCATTTTTTTGTCGAAGGGGGCTCAGGACCAAAACACCCTGGAAATATTAGATTTCACTGAAAGCCTCCACTCTCAGAATACGCTTCTGCTTAAAAATAGGCTATTGGCAAATATTTTTTAAGCTTAAAAAACATGTTTAAAATCACAATTTATGGTAACTTCTGATTTAAATTATGGTAACTTCTGAGTTAAATTATGGTAACTTCTGAGGTAAATTATGGTAACTTCTGAGGTAAATTAAAGTAACTTCTGAGGTAAATTATAGTAACTTCTGAGGTAAATTATGGTAACTTCTGAGGTAAATTATGGTAACTTCTGAGTTAAATTATGGTAACTTCTGAGTTAAATTATGGTAACTTCTGAGGTAAATTAAAGTAACTTATGAGTTAAATTATGGTAACTTCTGAGGTAAATTATGGTAACTTCTGAGGTAAATTATAGTAACTTCTGAGGTAAATTATGGTAACTTCTGAGTTAAATTATGGTAACTTCAGAGGTAAATTATGGTAACTTATGAGTTAAATTATGGTGACTTAAAATTAAATTATGGTAACTTATGAGTTAAATTATGGTAACTTCTGATTAAGTTGAATATTTGACCTGATTATAAATAACAATATGTTCCTCCCAGGGTATCACAGATTCCTCATCATCCACCCTGTTCTTTACCCACCTACAAGGTAGAAACAAATCAAGTCTTTGCCACAAAATCTGATTTTCATTTTTATTTAATTGCTCGGCCGTGGCTGGATTTTTGTTTAGATACTTTTTTAAAATTTGAAGGATAAACCGATTTATGAATGGGAATAATATTAGGAAAGGAATTGAGTGTTTGCCACAAACTTTGCAATTTAATCTAAGTTTGAAATATCAAAGGTTTACACCATTAGGTTGCTATGATATAAGGATTAGAAAAGTTGAGCTAGTGGCAAAGACTCAATTCTTTTGGTTCGTTTACTTGTATACAATAAGTTAACTTGATTTTTAAAAAAGTATCAGAAATCATCAAAATAAAATATAATTTCACGAGATGGCTTATCAACCAAATTGGTAAAACAAATCATCCAATTTTTAATATAATAAATCCAAGTTCCATCTTCAGATCATTAGATATTAAATAGTAGTCATTTAAGTATCTTTTCTTCTTGTTAGCCGTAAATAATTGTAAAATTATTTACCTGTCTGGATTATGCCTGTACTCTAGATATTTCCTGGTTATTGTATTGTAGTCTATAATCCCCATATTCTCTACCCAGGTGCCATTCAAGCAGTCCTCAGCCTGGATAGACTTCATGTTCCGGTCCACAGATACATTAGAGCAGCTGGAGATTAGGATATTCCAGCTAAACAGATACATTAGAGCAGCTGGAGATTAGGATGTTCCAGCTGAACAGATACATTAGAGCAGCTGGAGATAAGGATATTCCTGCATAGTCAAGCATATAAAAAAGCATGCAGTCAATTATAGTCATGTTATAGTCATATAGTCAAGTATATAGTCAAGGATATTGTCAAAGATATTGTCAAAGATATTGTCTAGGATATTGTCAAGGATATTGTCAAGAATATAGTTAAGCACATAGTCAAAAATATAGTTAAGCACATAGTCAAGCAATAGTTAAGCAGCACACAGTCAAGGATATAGTCAAAGATATGGTAAAAATCAAGAATATCCAATTCATTGATCGGTACCAATGAAAATTGATTTGAAACAGTTAATGGAAATATTAAAGAAGTATTAATATCAGAGGAAATTGTAGAAAAGGAAATTATGTTTATGTTTCTGAAAGTGTATTGTAAGTACACCTTAAAGGTAATGATGTGAATACAAAGTAAACATAGCGATCTCAAGTATACACTTCTAGATACAACAGTTAAAACTGTATTCTTAGAATATTCAATGATTTTTATTCTGTTCTTATTTTTCTAGTTTGTTCTGTTTATATTTTGTTCCGCTCCTTTTTATTCTGTTCTGTTCTGTTCTGTTCTGTTCTGTTCTGTTCTGTTCTAAATGCTTACTTATTGTTGCTGACTGCAGATAAGGGAATAGGAACTGTTCCGTTAATAAACATTTTCCGGCATTTACTCATTACCAACCTCTCACCCTAGATAGATAGATATATAGATAGATAGATAGATAGATAGATAGATAGATAGATAGATAGATAGATTGATTTATAGAAAGAAAAAAGTTCTACCTGGAGAACAACTACGTTGATCGTATTAAAATCAAACTTCTTATGATCACAGGTTCGGTTACAGATGAGATCATAGATCTCAGTACAGACTCCGTTCTTGCAGTCGTAGTAGGTCAGCATAGGATCATCGTACTCGTCTACTCCGAAGTAAACTACATCCCGTCTAGATAGTGAAGTGAAGGATATTTGAAGAAAAAAAACATTTTTAAACCTTTTACTTATCTGTTGTTTTTAAGGCTCCTGCAGAAATATTGTAAAAAATGTCCATTCTTATTTAACTTATCTGTGGTTGTTCAAGACGTGTTTATTTTAGCGTTGATTTCATCAAATCATATATATTAAACCGAATTAAGTTGCTTTCTTAGTCCTGGAAGACAAACCTAACATAAGGGCACTAAATCATACTGTAATTATAACCCGGATAATTCAAATACAATGTTTATAATCACTATGCATATTTTATTTTTACAGTAACGGAGAATGACAAAAATGTCAATGCGCCAATTATAAAATGTTTTCTCGACCCCGTATTTGAAAAGATCAAAAAGTCCCAACCCACTCAAACAACCGGTTTTTATAGCTCCATTCTAACGTATACCTGCTATTCATATCTAAACATTGATGTTTAGTTTTACAAATATCGTAGCAGTTCTGACAGGTTGGAGCTGCACATAGAAGCTTCTCCTTCTCATCATACTCTTCAGGGTTCCTGGATGAACAAGAAGCATCATTTCACAACCTTTTATTAATATCATCGCTTTTAGGAGTTTCACTAGAATAATTTAAAGTCGGATAAAACTAAAGACTAAAAAAGACACATTTTTACATTTTAACTGATGATCCTAACTTTACGTGATTTTTTTAGATTTACAGGAAAAATCATAAATACTAATGTGAACTAAATAAATTACTAATTACTTATTTTTAACACTGACAGTGATTTGGGCTTGCTCTGGCCATTACTTAATACTTTGGATAGAGTATAAAAATCAATAATGAGGACAGGGGCGTATACAGGATTTGTTCCAGTTGGGTGGGATTAACCTTTTAACTTTCCGGAGGGGCTCCAATGGATACGTCCCAATGAGTCAGTGTATTTAAAGGAAACCTTGTTATTACCTTCCTTTGGCGAAACAGAAAGCTGTTTCTTTCGGACAATCTCCGGGTATAGAAGTGTTACTAGTGGTGCACCGGTTACAGTTACAGAAACCATCAGAATCTTTAGTCTTATTCAAGAGATCTTGGTACCTGATAACACATATTATTATAAGTTTTTCACTTTTAAACTTCTAATTGAGGTGTTTCTGTCGAATATCGTAATGACATATCGTATGAGGCTTGACCAGGGAAGGCTAAGTTCTTATCTAGGCTTTTTTTATGGTTTAACAACCAAATAAACTGAGTTCTTGCCACAAAGTCTGATTTTCTAATCCCTATATCTTTACATGCAGCTTAATGTCATTGAGCTAATGTCTGATTGCTCACTATATTTACTCCAAGACTACATAGTCTCTGATTATTCACTATATTTACTCCAAAACTAGATGTTCTCTGATTGTTTACTATATTTACTCCAGGATTATATATTCTCTGATTGCTCAGTATATTTACTCCAGGACTACATATTNAGATTATTTAAAATAGTTTTGGCCCTTTGTACGCTAATAGGAAGGTGGATTGGTAAAAAGGCGGAAAATAAGGAAAATTTCGTAAAGTTTTATTGTTAGCCGTTTTGCTCAGAGGGGAGGGGGAGGGAGGAAAAAGACTTTGACCCTTTTATTACTAACCATGCAAATTGCATAAGGTTTAGGGTTTAATTTGAAACTTACATATCCTTGTAGATGCAGTCATAGATCCTAGAAACATTCTTACAATACCCTTTCTCACAGGAGATCATTGTGTTGAAGTTTACACACAGCTCACGGTTACCAGGATTCTAATCAAACAAACAATCGATCTATTGATTGCTTAAATTATCGATCAATTGATTACTCAAGCAATCAATCAATCGTCCAATTGATCACTCAAACAATCGATCAAACGAATACTCAAACAAATGATCAATTGATTACTCAAATAATCGATCAATTGATTACAACAAAAGTCGATCAATTGATTACTCAAACAATCGATCAATTGATTACTCAAACAATCGATCAATTGATTACTCAAACAGACGATTAATTAATTACTCAAACAGTCGATCAAATGATTACTCAAACAATCGATTAATTGATTACTCAAAATTTTGAAAATTGACTCAAAAAATCGATCAATTGATTTCTCAAACAATCGATCAATTGATTACTCAAAATATCGATCAATTGATTACTCATACATTCGATCAATTGATTTAGTCATTAAGTCATTTAGTTGGCCAATCAAACAACAATGAATCAATCAGCTCGTAAATCAAACATTCAATTGATTAATCAGTAAAACAATCGATTGATTTCTAAATCAGTTTTTGTGAAAGTAAAAATTTAGATTTAAAAAAACCAATATTTAATATACAAACACATATTTTGTTATCATGGATTTATGATGTTTAAAGAAAAATTGGGCGTAGGTAAAGCAACATTAAAAATAATAAAAGTTTTATTATTTTTTATTTAATGAATTAACCAAGAAATTGCAATGTTTCATGGGTTAGTTTCAGGATAAAATTGATTAAACCAACAGAGAACTTAACATAATTAACTTCATAATATTAGATCAATTATTATTCAAACCTAAATTAATAATTAAAAACTATTAAAACATAAATTCTACCTCAGGTTCTCGTTTAGATCGTTTACAGTTTACAGCTTCGAGATCGTCTAGAGTAGTGCAGAGATGATCGACAAAACCTCCTTCAGGTTCAAGATCGCACTGAAATCAGTTAGGATCATAATATTTGGAATATTGTATGCAGTTTGAAGATGAAAATTATCTATAAATCATATTAGATCTCTATATAGTATATACAGCGTTACACTAAATGGATGAGACTTTAACTTAAAATATCTGTAGAAGTAAAGTTCTATTTTCTCGAATTTAGACTTTGAATAGTTTCTTAAATAATTGACAAAGAAATGAAGAAATATAAAGCTGAAAACTATGAATGGTATATAATGAATATCACAGATGAGAGAAACAAATGAAATGGTTTAAGCTACTTACTATCCTAGGATACAGATGCTTCAGGTATACCTGATACTAGGATACAGATTCTCCAGGTATACCTGATCCTAGAATACAGATGCTCCAGGTATACCTGATCCTAGGATACAGATTCTCCAGGTATACCTAATCCTTGGATACAGATGCTCCAGGTATACCTGATCCTAGGATACAGATGCTCCAGATATACCTGATCCTAGATTACAGATGCTCCAGTGTCTGAATTTAATGAATCTAAGCCGTGTCTTAAATCCGCCCAAAACCGGATTTAATTGAGCGCCAGCTTAAATTTTGAAAATGTAATACGATTTTAAGTGGAATTAACCATATTTGAACCGCGGTTTAAATTTAAGCCGCGGCTCAAATTCTTTAAATTCGGCCTCAGGTATACCTGATCCTAGGATAAAGATTCTCCAGGTATACCTGATCCTTGGATATAGAAGCTCCAGGTATACCTGATCCTAGGTTACAGATGCTCCAGGTATACCTGATCCTAGGATACAGATGCTTCAGGTATACCTGATCCTAGGATAAAGATTCTCCAGGTATACCTGATCCTAGGATACAGATGCTCCAGGTATACCTGATCCTAGGATACAGATGCTTCAGGTATACCTGATCCTAGGATAAAGATTCTCCAGGTATACCTGATCCTAGGATACAGATGCTCCAGGTATACCTGATCCTAGGATAAAGATTCTCCAGGATTACCTGCTCATAGGTTACAGATGCTCCTATCTCCCTGAGTATCCCATACATTTTACTGCAAGGACTTGAACCCTAAAATATACAAAATATTGGTAAAATATAAAGGATATTGGACAGGATAAAATACGAGTGTTTTCTAAAAAATTTACTCATTCTGCCTTTGAGATAAATGTGCACACGCGCCCTGTGAAACTGTGTTGTTTTGATCTTATGCAAAGACGACATTTTAACACCTTGTAATTTATTTTACCTGGGATAGACACCATTCCTCACAGGACGCCCAGTCACAGTTCCCATCTCCAGGTACACTGGTAATATTCCTCTCCACCAAAGAAGTTGTACATCGCTTAGGACCCTGAATACAATAATATATAACAGTGTATTTTGATCATAGATTAATCAAAAAAAGAGATAGGGCACTAGATGTTGTCTAGGTATCCCAAAAAAAATAGCAAGTTGGTGACGAACTTAGTTTCCAGAGTTTCCCAAATTTGCTAATTCAGTAACTTATCTATGCACGGCACATAAAACAAAGTGCATGATGCACATCATTTAACCAGTTTAACCTCGGTATTACCAGTGACCAGTGACCATGTTTGATAAATAGCGAAACATAGTTTAATCACTTCTCTTGGATTTTTGAGGAAAGGGTATGAATTCTTCTACGCGGTTCAACTACTTCTTGCTATTTACAAAAGCCGGTTCCGTTTAAAATATATAATCCCCTTCGAGATAAAAGTGGTTCCCAAGGAAAGGTTGAAATTTCCAACTTTTTTACGAATTCTCGTCTCTTCTCCCGGTTCTCCCGGTTCCAAGAAAAAGAGAGGGTTGTGTAAGTAATTTAAAATGAATATCCCTGTTCTATACAAGGTTTGTAACATAAATAAGTATTTAACTCATTTAACCGTCCTTCATATTTTAATTTAAAATATCTGCGATAAAGTTGCTCAACATGTTTTTTTATAGAACTACTCTCGCCATGAAATGAAATAAAAAATTTGACATTCAAATCGACACATATATATTTTGTACATTATAAAGGATAAGTATTTAGAAGTATTTTGTTCATAATAACCCTGAGGCAGAAGCCCAAAGGAGTTACGCGAAGTCGGCGTAGAACAGGCTCTCTCTCTCTGTAGAATTACGCGTAACTCATTTGGGCTTCTGCCTCAGGGTTAAATTGTGAACGAAATACTTCTAAATTTTGAAAAGACGACATCTAGTGTCCTAAATTTGTTTATCATTATACAATTAATTAAGTTCAAAACTTCAATTTTCAACATGCGTTATTGCTCTGTATTCTGTAAAGATCTGTGTGGCTACAGATTTGTCTGAAATTGTCATCCGTAGGTTTAAAGAAGAGTAAACGAAAATGGTGGATTTTCTAAAACATTTGTTTAATTTTATAGATTGCGTAATGCATGTATAGATTGAATCGTACTGTACAGTGTACACTCTAAGTTTTGAAATACAAAGGAAATGAGTTTTTGCAACAAACTAAAAAATTTTAATTCCTATGTCTTTGCAACCTGATGATGTAAACCTTTAACATTTCAAACTTATGTTATCAGATCTAAAAAATTCAAAATTTGAAATAACAAATGTCTACGACTTCGGGTTGCAAAGATACACGGATTAAAGGAATTAAGTTTGTGGTGAGAACTCATTTCCTTTGGCAGTCGTCTAACACTTTTGCTGCCAAATAAGCGAGTGTTAATGCTAATTTGGCAGCAATCCAACTATGGCTGCCAAATTTTGATTTCAAAATAAGTTAAACATTACCTAAATAAAGTTTTTTTCTGCAAGTGCTCCCCAAAAATTAGTGGAATCTAACGAAAACGTTTAGACAACGCATATTATCTCCACTCTCCATCAGAGGATTTGTTCCAATACGTAGAGAAATTATTTTTCCTTTTATAAAGCATCCATCCATCTTTTTAATCTGATTTATTTCATGTCGATTTAGATTATGGATATGGATGGATTAAGGATATCATCAATCACCGTTCGGTTCATTCCCTCCCCTTCACTTCATTCTCATGTTCTTTCAGCTTTTCTTTAATATACGTTGTTTTTCATTTTCTTTATTATACGTTGTTTTTCATTTTCTTTATTATACGTTGTTTTTCATTTTCTTTATTATACGTTGTTTTTCATTTTCTTTATTATACGTTGTTTTTCATTTTCTTTATTATACGTTGTTTTTCATTTTCTTTATTATACGTTGTTTTTCATTTTCTTTATTATACGTTGTTTTTCATTTTCTTTATTATACGTTGTTTTTCATTTTCTTTATTATACGTTGTTTTTCATTTTCTTTATTATACGTTGTTTTTCATTTTCTTTATTATACGTTGTTTTTCATTTTCTTTATTATACGTTGTTTTTCATTTTCTTTATTATCTTTCCATTTCATTTGTAAGATTTTTTCTTCTGTTTTTTTCTTTTCACTTCTTTGAAATGACATTACTTATTCGACAATAGAAAAGATTAAATTGTAAAAAAGTGAATTCAATCTATTTTCTTCTGATACCTAGTGTAAAGCATAGTCTTGATATATGATCCCCCATATCAGGATTTATATTTTAAAATAAATGAACATTGAAACCAAGTTTTTTCCTTCACAGGGTGACCTATGAATGTGGTCCAAGCTCTAAACTATCATGATGTCAAAATAGAAATTTTTAAAAATTTTTTTTATTAATTAACATAATGATAAAAATAAACAAAATTATCTGAATTTCTAAAATCTCTTTTACAACTTCTGTTTAAAACAACTCTCGAAACTCAATATTATTTTTCAGACCAAAACTTCGTAAATATGTCAAAACTGATTAATTAACTGAATTGTAAACTAACCTGGAAATCCGTTTGTAATTCTTCCATTGATGGTATATAGATGATAACTATACAGTAGATTACAGAAACAGTACAGAGTACACTGAAATATTTATTGAAAGTAACAGAAACGGTACAGAGTACACTAAATATTAATTACTAAGTACACTGAAAATCAAATAAAAGTTACAGAAACAGTATAGAGTACACTAAAAATTTTATCAAAGTTACAATAACAGTACAGAGTACACTAAATAGTAAATTAGAATTACAGAAACAGTATAGAGTACATTAAATATGGAATAGAATTTACAGAAACAGTTCATAGTACACTAAATGTAAAATTAAGTTACAATAACAGTACAGAGTACACTAAATAGTAAATTAAAATTACAGAAACAGTATAGAGTACATTAAATATGAAATAGAATTTACAGAAACAGTTCTTAGTACACTAAATGTAAAATTAAAGTTACAGAAACAGTACATAGTACACTAGATATTGAAATAAAGTTATAGAAACAGTACAGAGTACACTAGATATTAAAACAAACTTACAGAAACAGTACATGGTGCACTAAATATAAAGTTAAAGTTACAGAAACAGTATAGAGTACACTAAGAATTAAATCAAAGTTTTAGAAACAGTACACTTAAATTAAATTAAAATTAAAGAAACAGACCAATGTAAACAAATTATTAAATTAAAGTTACAGAAACAGTACAGAGTACACTGAAATTGAATTAAAATCAAAGTAACGGTACAAAGTAAGCAAAATATTAAATTCAAGTTACAGAAACAGTACAGATGAAACTTGATACTAAATGAAATATTATAACCTATGTTTCACTTCTTCATCTTTATGTTGTTAACTACTGTTATGTACTAATAATCACCCAAATGTATTTGAGAACCTTCCCTTTAACCAGACCTGAACATCATGAAGAGGAATGTGAAGATACAGAGCCATTTCTCTCCACCCTGCGGAGGAAGCTTTAGTTTTGCCATTTTATACCCAGATCAATTCCTAGAATAGATCATTTTATGTCCAGATCAATTCCTAGAATAGATCATTTATGTCCAGATCAATTCCTAGAATAGATCATTTTATGTCTAGATCAATGTCTAGAACAGATCATTTTATGTCCAGATCAATTCGTAGAATAGATCATTTTATGTTCAGATCAATGCCTAGAATAGATTATTTTATGTCCAGATCAATTCCTAGAATAGATCATTTTATGTTCAGATCAATGCCTAGAATAGATCATTTTATGTCCAGATCAATTCCTAGAATAGATCAGTTTATGTCCAGATCAATGCCTAGAATAGATCATTTTATGTCCAGATCAATTCCTAGAATAGATCATTTTATGTTCAGATCAATTCCTAGAATAGATCAGTTTATGTCCAGATCAATGCCTAGAATAGATCATTATATGTCCTGATCCATTCCTAGAATACATTATTTATACGTTTATGGTGGAGTGTGTGTATGGATGAAGAATGAAGAGTAAGGTTTGCCTGGTATGGTGGAGTGTGTGCTTGGATGAAGAATGAAGAATAAGGTTTGCCTGGTATGGTGGAGTGTGTTTTTGGATGAAGAATGAAAAATAAGGTTTGCCTGGTATAGTGGAGTGTGTGTGTGGATGAAGAATGAAGAATAAGGTTTGCCTGGTATAGTGGCATGAAGTGTGTGTGTGGATGAAGGATGGAGAATAAATTTTGCCTTGTATAGTGGAGTGTGTGTGTATGGATGAAGAATGAAGAATAAGGTTTGCCTGGTATAGTGGAGTGTGTGGATGAAGAATGAAGAATGAGGAATGAAGTTGGTTTGGTGCAGTGGAACTAAGGAACTATAGTACAATCTAATATCTAGTCTAAATCTACCAGTTTTCTAATTCTTCAATAGTTTTATCCCATTTTCGTCTGAAACTAAAATAAAACGTTATATCTGAGAAAATGAACCTAGCTGAAGATAATCCAGGAGAAAAGTGAAGTTTAGCCTGCAAGATGTATTTACAAGTAATCCTTGCTAAATTGCCAATTTTCTTTTGTTTGCATAAATCTTAGTTTACAAATATGTAGCTAAAGTATGTTCAAAATAACCAAGCGTTTACTTTGTCGCTGCACATTTAAAGGGACTGTTAGCGTATTTTTAGGCGACCCTCCATGCGAAGATGGTAAAGCCCAATTCACAATGGTACCCAGAAAAACTTTGCATTGCATATAAAATGAAAGGAATTGAGTCTTTTGAACAAAATCAAATATTTAAACCTCATTATCTTTAGAATTCGATGTTGTAAATCTTTGATATTTCAAACTCAGATTATTTGATCTAACAGAATTCATAGTTTGAAATATCTAAGGTCTGCAACATTTGGTTCCAAAGATATAGTGATTAGAAAATCAGAGTTTGTGGCAAAGACTCAATTCCTTCCTCAACAAATTCATAGGTTTCTAATCGATTTATACATGGGATTTTCCTCTGAAAGGATTTTGGTGGCAATGCTGGATTTAATTGCGTCTAATGTGCAATTTAATTACAAATTTTTGTTAAAGTGGATTTAATTGCACGCAATGCTTTTCAATTGCACAGTAAACCCTGATTTATTATTTCAATAAAACCAATTCCTCGCTAACAATTTTATTTTGCATTTAACAAAAATACTGGAAAAAATCGGTGTGCGTGAAATGTTTAAATACATCTATTAGTTCGCAAGATGAAGATCGTAAATGTTGTATAAGCTATCAAGAAGATAAAGAATATCTGAATATTAAAAGAACAATAGAATCCTCTAAGTAAAGTGTTTCCTCCTACTAATGGATATTATACTGCCGACTGCTTGTATTAGCATACAGATACACTAACATTATGCAGAATAGTCAATAAAAGATGTATACTAGTACATGCACTTATACATCAAAAACATAAAGAACAATTTGATGATTGCAATAATTTAAAGCTTTTATATTCGGCTCTTAATCCTTTTTATAAAGAATAAGAAGAATGAGAAGAAAGAAACAAGAAGAATGATAAGAATAAGAAAAAAAGAACAAGGATAATGATAAGATTGAGAAATATAAAAGGAGAAAAGAGAATAAGAAGAAGAATAAGAACGAAAAAACAAAAGGAATAAGAAAGATTGTTAAAAGGAGAAAAAATAAAAGGAGATAGCAGACAAAAGAACAAGGCTAATGATAAGCATGAGAAAAAATAAAAAGAACAAGAAGGATAAGAGAACAAAAAGAATAAAAAAAAACAAGAACAAAGGAAAAATTAGAAAGAACAGTAGAACAAGAAGAATGAGAAGAATAAGAATAATGTAATTAATAAAAATAATAGAAAAATAAGAAAATAAAAAGGATAAGAAGAATTATGGAGTAAAAAGAACATGAAGAATATAAGAATATGGAGAATTACATGAAAAGAATAGAAAATAAGATTAAGAAGAATAAGTATTGTGGAAGTTACGAAAACATGTTTTTTTAGAAAAAGTTTTCTGATCATGGAAAACATTCTGTTTTCCTAATCCTAATAATTCTTTTATGATAATTTAGATGTTTTCAGTTTTATCTAGAAAACAAAGTGAGATCCAAAGTGAAATGTGGTTCCTTCGGGAATCAACTGGGAACCAAATGGGAACCAAATGGGAACCAGCTGGGAACCAACTGGGAACCAGCTGGGAACCAACTGGGAACCAACTGGGAACCAACTGGGAACCAAACTTTTATGATAATTTAGATGTTTTCAGTTTTATCTAGAAAACAAAGTGAGATCCAAAGTGAAATGTGGTTCCTTCGGGAATCAACTGGGAACCAACTGGGAACCAACTGGGAACCAAATGGGAACCAACTGGGAACCAAATGGGAACCAAATGGGAACCAATTGGGAACCAACTGGGAACCAACTGGTAACCAACTGGGAACCAAATGGGAACAAAATGGGAACCAACTGGGAACCAAACGGGAACCAACTGGGAACCAACTGGGAACCAAATGGGAACCAACTGGGAACCAACTGGGAACCAAATGGGAACCAAACAGGAACCAAACGGGAACCAACTGGGAACCAAATGGGACTCAAATGTGAACCAACTGTGAACCAAATGGGAACCAACTGGGAACCAACTGGGAACCAAATGGGAATTAAATGGGAACCAAATGGGTACCAATTGGGAACCAAATGGGAACCAAATGGGAACCAACTGGGAACCAAATGGGAACCAAATGGGAACCAACTGAGAACCAACTGGGAACCAAATGGGAACCAACTGGGAACCAGCTGGGAACCAAATAAGAACCAACTCGGAACCAAATGGAAACCAACTGGGAACCAAATGGGAACCAAATGGGACCGATTTTTATAAAATTTTTAAGTCTGAAATTTTTTCAGTGAGTCCCTCAAAGAAATAAATTTGAGACGGAATAACATATCTAAGTTGTTAGGAAATACATCACTTAAGAAGGAAAAATCACCTTACTTTACATTTTGAAAATAAAATTGGTTATTAGACCGTGTGAACTTTTTATGAATGCAATTGCATAGTGGGTATCAATTCTTACTCTGCAGTATGAGTAAAGGACTGGACTAATTTTACTTTTATTAAGAAAATGAAGAGGAAATGAAGCGATAGCAAAGTAATATATGAAGGAGAAAAAATGAAGGGATACGTGGATATATTTATATAACTGGAAATGTTTACATTGTTCAAAGCAAGACCTGAAAAGCAGGTAGCTTGACAAAACCCAATTAATTTGTCCAAGGCACTACAACTACAAAATCAACATTTGTTATTCATTAAGAAGTATACGGTTTCATTTTAGTTAATATGTCAAGGAATGAAAACAGTGTCTGAAAATTGAAACCTGGCCATTTGAATAGAAATTTATGTTTCCAATTAAAATCTTAAACAAACCAAAAGGACGCCTGTACTCAATGTGCCCTGGTTGAGAAAGGTTGGTTTAGAGCGGAGCTAGTGGAACCCCATACCTGAGGAAATCATATAGAGGACTGACAACCGGAGAGAGAGGGACCCAAACCTCAATGCGGCAAAGTTATCCGCCCAAACCGTGAGGCCACTCCACTTCCCCCCCTCAACCCTTACCCCCCTACTCACCTACCAACCTATCGATCCTCATGGTTTAACATTGCAACAGGCCTACCGATACATATAAGTCATCCATATTGCATACAAACATACAAAAACCTACACATAAATATGTTTTTTAAACATACATACTCTATTTTAAAAATAACAAACTCGTATAAAGAGTTTTTAATCAATTTAATTTTTGGACTTAAAAATTGGGAGAACCCATGAAACCATACTGCAGTTAGTCATATTCTATAGGTATACTCGGTATTCAAAAGCAAGACAACAGAAAACGAAGACGACGTCCACAATAAACAACATTTCATTTTCTGGTGTGTCATTCAATTTTAGAAACCTCATCATTTTAAAATTTAAATCTGTGTTGTCCAGTGCTTTTAAATTAATAGTCTAATATTTGCATAAACACAGTTTCAAATCTAATATCATGATGATATCCTCTAAATATAATATAAAATATATGATTTTTTTTCATTTGCAACAGAAAACATTTTATTTATTGAGTTTAAAATTTATTTTTTTTTCAGTAAACCTGTCTTAAAACCTGTTTTCAGTAAACCTGTCTCAAAACCTATTTTCAGTAAACCTGTCTCAAAACCTATTTTCAGTAAACCTGTCTCAAAACCTATTTTCATTAAACCTGTCTCAAAAAGAAACGAAACTAAAGTTTCTAACATAAAAGGTGTTCCACTAAAAACTTGCCTTTTTAGTTCTTGGTCTCCAAAACATGGATTTTTAACCAATATTAATCTTTAAAAGCAGTGTAAGCGAAAAATAAGCGCTTTTGATCGCTACTAATCTTACTTCTATCTGTTGCGTCTATAAGGAAAAAATTGTTAAAAACGACTCATAGCGTAGCGTGCGTACATAGAAAGTTGCAACATTCAACTCGGATCGTAAAATAATGAATTTAGTTCCAAACAAATCATTCTGATATTACAAACAATATAGTCATCGATTATTTTTCAACGCATACGTATATAGTTAATATTTCATAACATTTTTGATTATGGTTTTTTAAAATAATATTTCGCAGGCGCTTGATTCTCGACATTCCTGGAAAATATGAAAATGTCGTCTTCATTATCAAAAATCCTCTAAACAGGAATAAATGTTTTCAAAAGGAACTATCAGATCATAAAAATTAAAAAAATATTATGAAATATCAACTATATATGAATGCGTCGAAAAATTATCGATGATAATATTTGAATGATTTGTTTGGAATTAATTTGATTATTTTACGATTCGAGTTGAATGTTGCAACTTTCTGAATTTGTATGTACGCTACGTTCTTCGGTATGAGTCGTTTTTAACAATTTTCTCCAAACGCAACAGATAGAATTAAGATTAGTAGCAATCAAAAGCGCTTTTTTTCGCCGTAAGCCTAAACCCCCTTTCATTTTTCGCGAACACTTTAAATCGGCATCACATGTAATTCTCTAGGCTTTACCTTTTTTCTATTAGCCAATTTTTCATTGTTCTCACAAAAAAAAATTATTTTTCGCTAATTTTTCTGTTCGAAGAACCTGAATCTTTGCTACAAACTCAGATTTTCTAATTCCTATTTCTTTCGATCCCAATTTCGTAGATCATAGACTTCTACTACTAGATCAAATAATCTGCAAATGAAATATCAAAGGTTTACAATATCAGGTTTCAAAGATATAGGGATTAGAAAATTTGAGTTTGGTGCAAAAACTTAAATCCTTTTAAAAATAATAAATGTCGACATGCAATCTGATTTTAATTGTGTCCTCACAAGCAAAGTTATATATACAATATTGCACTTCATGATACTCTGCTTGTTATCTACCAAATAGAAGGAGAAAAAATGGCCTGGGGACCAATAATAGACGAAGAAAGTGGCGGATGAAGGAAACAAAAGAGATCTAACTTAACTGTGTTGCTCTAATGGTACAGCTGCATGAGTTATAATCTCTTGAAATTTTCCTAAATTCAAAATAAAGGGTTATTTTGAATATCAAGCTAAAATATTGAAAGCGTATGAAAAAAGAGTTAAGTTAAGAATGTTTTTAAGATCTCAGAACTTCTTGAAAAATACTTTCATTAAAGCAAAAATATGGCAATATTATCAACACTAAAACTTTTGTAATCAAAAAACAGTACTTAATTATTTGACTTGCCAATTTAGCCTTCGTCAAGTCATTTTTTATGAATATAATTTGATATATCAAGAAATACATCTAGCCTATAAGTTTTGCGTGAACCGAGCCATATTTCCAGCTTACCGGATTAAGTTCCTCTATATCGGATACGGCCAAACGTCACAAAAAATTATCTTTTAAATGCTTTAAAATATAAATCTATTAAAAGACTATTGAAAATATATATTTTCTAAATAAATATTAAATAATATTGATGTGAGGGGTTTATTCTCCAAATTTAACTGCTGAAGAATCTGGTGTAGGAAGGGCTCTGCTGGAGTGAGAACGTGCTCCATGGGGAGTAGAACTAGAGGACCCAGAGCGCACTGGAGAAATATATCCGTCAGACAATGGAACTGGTCAATAGTACATATATATTTTAATTCAATACTCAGAAAAATTCATTTTATTTGAAAATTTTGCTTTTATCGAGTCGTCTTTGTCACAAACTCTGATTTTCTAATCCCTATATCGTTGCAACCCAATGTCGTAGACCTGAAATCTGTTATATCAGATCATTTAAGTTTTAAATATCAAGCTTAATACCATCATTCATCAGGTTGTAAAGATATAGGGATTAGAACATATAAGTTTATGGCAAAGATTCGATTCCTTCAGAAATGATCATTTCTTGGAATCAAAGAAACCAATTCTATAAATGTTGTTTATTATTAATCTATTTTTTATTCTTTGAAACAGTTACCTGCACTAACAAATCCAGAGTTATATCCGGAGTTAGGGACGGGAGGATATCCTGTGGGCTGGAAGCTCTGTTCATATCCTTGGTTGTATCCAGTTTGATGTTGATTATATCCAAGTTGAGGGGAATTGTATCCAGTCTGATGTTGATTGTATCCAAGCTGAGGGGAATTATATCCAGTCTGAGTGTTGTATCCGTTATTGTATCCCTGTTGAGGGGTGATGTGTACCTGTTGAGGGCTGTTGTATCCTGAGTTTAATCCTGGTTGTTGGTATCCTTGGGCATGAGCGTTGTATCCAACGTTGGGTACATTATATCCTTGATTGATACCATTGTATCCCTGGTTATAACCATTGTAACCGTTGTTGGGAACATTGTATCCATTATTAGGAAAATTGTATCCATTGTTAGAACCGCTGTATCCATTATTAAAACCGTTACTGTAGGTAGAAGGAGGACAATTGTTTCCGGTCAAACCAGGCAGAAACCTAACACAAATATATTCAATCAAAATATCAAGAAGGAGATAAAAACTTTAAAAAAACAGAAACTGGATATCAGATACAACTATCTGGATAACTGGAAACACAATAACTGTGATAATTAAGTAAAGGAAAGGATATTACTTGTCACTACCTGAAGGACAGGGAACCCTTGGAACTGGATATTACTTGTCACTACCTGAAGGACAGGGAACCCTTGGAACTGAATATTACTAGTTACTATCTGGAGGACAGCAAACCCTTGGAACTGGATATTACTAGTTACTATCTGGAGGACAGGGAACCCTTAGAAATGGATATTACTAGTTACTATCTGGAGGACAGGGAACCCAGGAACTGGATATTACTAGTTACTATCTGGAGGACAGGGAACCCAAGAAATGGATATTACTAGTTACTACCTGAAGGACAGGGAACCCTTGGAACTGGATATAACTAGTTACTATCTGGAGGACAGGGAACCTAGGAACTGGATATTACTAGGTACTATGAGGACAAGGAACCCAGGAACTGGTTATTACTATATAGTTACTATCTGGAGGCCGGTGAAGGGGAAGCAGGAGCTGGATATTACTGTTACTACCTGGATGACGGGGAAGGGGAAGCAGTAACTGGATATTACTAGTTACTACCTGGAGGACGGGGAAGGGGAAGCAGCTGAACCTGGTTCTTCTCTCTTCCCTCTATAAGTTTGACAGTTGTTTTGACCCTCAAGGATGGATCCGACAAGGAGGGAACCAAGAACTCCGACTCCGAGACCGATTACTCCTCCATTGATCAGAGGATCGTTGGTGAATATCTTGGTGTCAATGTTGGATTTACCGGACTTAGTATTCTCCAAGACAACAGCATCAGCTTCTTGATCAACTCCATCCTCTAGAATAGTAAAGGGATTGGGAGTAAATGATTTTCTATGAAACATTTTAATTATTCTCCAACCCGTTATTCATCTTTCAACTAATTTTTAAATAATGGTTTAAAATGTATAGATTTGGGCTCTAAAATTATGCCGAAACTGTTCTTGTAATATGTTCTAAAAAATTGCACATTAAGAGAATAAAGATAAGATTAATTATTTTTATGCTCTCCCAGATGGGGCTGATAAATCTTTATTAGTTTTTACCACTGAGGATAAATAATAACATAGTAATTTTAATTACAATATATAATAAACAACTCTATGTATTCAGTGTCATTTACTTCATTAGTAATTAAAATAATTATCCCCAAATAAATCATTATTATTTTTTTTGCTAAAATAGTAGCTCGGAGACAGAAGAATATTAGGATTTCGGAGAAAGAAGAAGATAATATTTATATTTCGGAGAAAGAATGAGATAAATAGGAGTATTGGTATCTAGTAGTATGTGTAACTAGTTGTAGAGAGAAGTATAATGCATATCAGTATCTTGAAGAGAGAATAAGATTAATATCAGTATCTTGAAGAGAGAATAAGATTAATATCAGTATCTTGAAGAGAGAAGGAGATAAATATCAGTATCTTGAAGAGAGAATAAGATAAATATCAGTATCTTGAAGAGAGAAGGAGATAAATATCAGTATCTTGAAGAGAGAATAAGATAAATATCAGTATCTTGAAGAGACAATAAGATAAATATCAGTATCTGAGGAAGAGAGAAGGATATAAATATCAGAATCTTGAAGAGAGAATAATATAAATATCAGTATCTTGAAGAGAGAAGGAGATAAATATTAGAATCTTCTATAGAGAATAAGATAAATATCAGTATCTTGAAGAGAGAATAAGATAAATATTAGAATCTTGAAGAGAGAATAAGAAACATATCAGTATCTTGAAGAGAAAAGGAGATAAATATCAGAATCTTGAAGAGAGAAGGAGATAAATATCAGAATCTTGAAGAGAGAATAAGATAAATATTAGAATCTTGAATAAGATACATATCAGTATCTTGAAGAGAGAAGGAGATAAATATCAGAATCTTGAAGAGAGAAGGAGATAAATATTAGAATCTTGAAGAGAGAAGGAGATACATTTTAGTATCGTGTAGAGAGAATGAGATAAATATCAGTATCTTGAAGAGAGAATGAGATAAATATTAGAATCTGGAAGAGAGAAGGATATAAATATTAGTATCGTGTAGAGAGAATGAGATTATTATCAGTATTCTGGAGAATTTTAAGTATTGATACCTTGAAGAGAGCAGGAGATAAAGATTGAAAGAAGGATTAGACTGGAAACAAACTTCATCATTTTGTTCTCTTAACCAACCTCTCAACCTATATAATAATACAGGATTGATATTTCTTAAGCATAACCTCTTAATCCATATAATAAGGATTAACATCTCTTAAATAACTTCTTAATCTATATAATAATACATACTATATAATAATACATACTTAAGCATAACCTCTTTATCTATATAAAATAAAGGATTAATATCTCTTAACCAACCTCTGAATCTATATAATTATACAGAATTAATATCTCTTAACCAACCTCTGAATCAATATAATAATACAGTACTAATATCTCTTAACCAACCTCTCAATCTATATAATAATACAGAATTAATATCTCTTAACCAACCTCTCAATCTATATGATAATACAGTATTGATATCTTAACCAACCTCTTAATCTATATAATTATACAGGATTAATATCTCTTAACCAACCTCTCAATCTATATAATAATACAGGATTAATATCTCTTAACCAACCTCTCAATCTATATAATAATACAGGATTAATATCTCTTAACCAACCTCTCAATCTATATAATAATACAGGATTAATATCTCTTAACCAACCTCTTAATCTATATAATTATACAGGATTAATATCTTAACCAATCTCTCAATCCATATAATTATACAGGATTAATATCTTAACCAATCTCTTCATCTATAAAATAAATAGTCTTTTAAGGCTTTGTCTCTTGTTTTTTAAGTTCCCTTTTTTCATTGTACTCGAATAAACACAAATGTGAGCAGATGTTCTGTTAAATCGGTGGATTTTTAGAAATCGTAAAAGTCCACATTTTTTCCCTGCCAACATTTTTTACGTCCATAAACCTTCTTAAAATTTGGGGCCGATCGGTTCAGCCATTTCGACGTTCATTGGATATAAACAGGCAAGCAAAATATCTACATATATACAGGATTATGGTAACCATCCTTTCATCCTCTCCTACAAAACAGTATTAAGTTATTTTAAGCAAACTTTAACCATATAACGTTAAAAAGATTAAATCCTTTAACCGATTCTTTAAAGTAAACATATAAGTATATATATCAATATGTAAGTACAGTCTCATTCTTTGTGGGTAACCCTGCAAATAGTTTTTTACTTGAAATATATCTAAACTAGGCTTTCAGGGCGCTTCGTGCCCATTTTCTATTTCGATTGTGAACATCTTCTCATTGCCGACATTGTAAAACAAAACAAAAACAAAAATTCGCGGATTTTATCAAAAAGTTTGGGATTTTCAAAATTTTCAAAAATCGATTTTTTAGATGCAAATTTTGAAAATTCGATCATCCATAAACCTTCCCTGGGGTTACGCGAGGTCCCACAAAAAATTTTGGCCCGATCAGTTCAGCTGTTTTGACGTTTATTGGATACAAACAGACAGACAGACAAGCAAGCTATATAGATAGATAAATAGTTTTCAAACTTGAAAAATATCTCAAAATATAGTTTCTTACTTGAAATATATCTGAATATATAGCTCTCTTACTTGAAAAATATCTCAAAAAATAGTTTTCTTACTTGAAATATATCTAAATATAGAGTTTTCTTACTTGAATATATCTAATTATACAGTTTTCTTACTTGAAATATATCTAAATATAAAGTTTTCGTACTTGATTTATATCTAAATATATAGTTTTCGTACTTGAGATATATCTAGATATATAGTTTTCTTATTTGAAATATATCTAACTAATAGTTTTCGTACTTTAGATATATCTAAATATATAGTTTTCTTACTTGAAATATATCTAAATATATAGTTTTCTTACTTGAAATATATCTAAATATTTAGGTATAAAGGTCTCGACACTTAGCCGCACCCGCATATACTGAATGTTAAAACTCTTCGATTCGCTTCCTCATTCCTCAATCCGATGTAGGGGCAACATTTTATCAAAATAATCTATATCTCTCCTCTCCCGTTAATTCGGGGCAACATGTAATCTTCAAATATAACCCAACGTGGGATTTTCTACAGTGAGACCATAAAATTCTGGAATTGAAAGACGACATTTAAGCAATCTTATGAGTATTTTCATGTTGTTTTAAAGCAAATTATTGCGGATACAAGAATTTAAGATTGCAGTTTTGTGCAGTTTATAACAATATTTGTTATCCTACACCCAGATAAACTATCCCATTGTATACCAATCCAGTTCTAAGGTTGAACCTTCCTTATCCTACTCGGATACATCTTAAACCTTGGATCCCCTTCTCTCTCTTTGCTCCCATTTCTGTATCTTTATCTTATCTTATCTTATCCTCCTTATTTTTATATTTGCTACATCTTCCCTCTTCAGTCTTCACCTCTCTTCTTATCTTCATAGCCCTTTATCATCCTTATTCTATTTTCATCCTTCCTCTTCATCCTTCTCCTCATCCTCGTTCTTAATCCTTGTCCTCATTCTCCTCTTCATCTTTCACATCATCCTCGGTCTTAATCCTTCTCCTCATCCTCCCTCTTCATTGCTTCTCTTCTCCGCATCCTTCCTCTTCATCCATCTCCTCATTACTTGATTTTAATCCTTCTCCTCATCCTCGCTTCTTCACACGCTCCCTCATCATTCTTCTCCTCATCCTCCTTTTTAATCCGTCGCCACATCCTCCCTTTCATTCTTCTCCACATCCTCCCTTTTAATCCTTCTCCACTTCTTCCTTTTCATTCCTTCTCTACATCCTCCCTTTCATTCCTTCTCCACATCTTCCCTTTCATTCTTCTCCTCATCCTAACTTTTAATCCTTCTCCAGTTCTTCCTTTTCATTCCTTCTCTACATCCTCCCTTTCATTCCTTCTCCACATCTTCCCTTTCATTCTTCCCCTCATCCTCCCTTTTATTCCTTCTCTACATCCTCACTTTCATTCTTCTCCTCATCCTAACTTTTAATCCTTCTCCTCTCCACATCCTCCCTCTTCATTCTTCCCCTCATCATCCCTTTTATTCTTTCTCTACATCCTCACTTTCATTCCTTCTCCACATCCACGTCGTCGTTATTTAATAATTAAAAAAAACTAATTCTGAAAACGTATCCACTCATCCACCCTTTCATCCTTCTTGTCATCCTTGCTTTTAATCCTTCTCCTCTCCACATCCTCCCTCTTCATCTTTCTCCTATGCTCATCCTCCTTCTTCATCCTTCTCTTTTCCGCATCCTCCCTCTTCCTCTTTCTCCTATCCTCATCCTCCCTCTTCATCCTTCTCTTCTCTGCGTCCTCCCTCTTCCTCTTTCTCCTATCCTCATCCTCCCTCTTCATCCTTCTCTTCTCCGCATCCTCCCTCTTCCTCTTTCTCCTATCCTCATTCTCCCACTTCATCCTTCTCTTCTCCGCATCCTCCCTCTTCCTCTTTCTCCTATCCTCATTCTCCCTCTTCATCCTTCTCTTCTCCGCATTCTACCTCTTCATCCTTCTCTTCTCCGCTTTCTACCTCTTCCTCTTTCTCCTATCCTCATTCTCCCTCTTCATCCTTCTCTTCTCCGCATTCTACCTCTTCATCCTTCTCTTCTCCGCATTCTACCTCTTCATCCTTCTCTTCTCCGCATTCTACCTCTTCATCCTTCTCTTCTCCGCATTCTACCTCTGCATCCTTCTTCTAAATTACACTTTATTTACACTAAAAATTATTTCTAATTTGTTCAAAATCTTTTCTTCTATGTCTGCACTAGATCTATTACCTACTCTAAATCAAGGATTTAATGCAAGGAAAGTTATTTCAGATGTGTGCGCATCTTTTGTACTGCAGTGTACTATCACTGGGCGGTAATGTAAACACAAGACGGATGTCGAAGCCTGACATTGGATCCATTTTTTATATAAATAATCAATGAAATATTCTAGTCATAGGAAACTATTATGTGAATCATCAAAATTATCAAAATTCAATGCCTTTAACCTCCTCGGATACTAAACGAACACTGATGCATCTATCTTGTTTACAAATTCCGCTAAGAGAGAACTGGTTTCAATATGTACGCAACTGCAAGTAAATTCCTTCTCTAACATAAATAAAATCGTACCACCCTGTCTACTCCTTTTCTAGTTTCTGCTGTCTAATGCCTTTATTGCGGTGGAAAAGGTCAATGTAAACTGTAAAGTGTGAATACCAGTTGTATAGATTGTAAAAGTCCCATGGTGCACATTGATGCGTCATTTCCTGGACTATGTTTATATATATTTTGACGACTTGCATTTAAGCATTGCCAACATCTACTTTAACCAGATAAAGGAGTTGAGTCCTTACTCCTTATCACAAACTTAAATTTTGTAGTTCCTTTATCTTTGAAATCTGATCGTTAAAAATTTATCGTTTTTTTGGAAGAAAATAACCAACAATTGAGGCATCCCTGCCCCGTGTAACAAAACTTCAAATGGAAATATCAAACTATACCGGCCGGGATTTTTCCGTTTAGCATATATTTTTCTCATTTGAAATATGAATAAGTTAAAAATAAATCTTTTTATATAAAACTCTGCTTTTAGGGTGCTTCGGGTCCATCTTCTTTTACAACTCTTAATGGTTGCTCTATCTGTGAGAATTTTCTCTTGTACATTATAAAACAATAACAAAAACATTTTCTGGATTTTTAAAATTTTACGAAAAGCAAAGTTATTTGGACGCAAATTTTTAATTCTGACCATCTATAAACCTTCCCTTGGGTCATCTGAGTTGCTGCAAAATATATCGGCTCGATCGGTTTAGCCTTTTTGACGTATACAGAATACAAACCAACAAACAAGCAAAGTATATATTTAGATAGAAGACTTCTCTTACAATGAAAAATCAGCAGCTTATCCAGTGCACTTCCTCGGGAGATATTTGCTATAGCTTAAAATATAACTTGAAACGGAAACAGATTATGATTGATGACAAGTTCCTGATCCTGATTTCCTCTAAGGGGTGATGACACGTTCCTGATCCTGAATTCCTCTAAGGGATGATAACACGTTCCTGATCCTGAATTCTTCTGAGGAATGATGACAAGTTCCTGATCCTGATTTCTTCTGAGAGATGATAACAAGTTCCTGATCCTTATTTGCTCTCAAGAATGATGACAAGTTCTTGATCCAAATTTCTTCTGAGAGAAAATAACAAGTCACTGATACTGATTTCCTCTGAGCGATGATAACGGTTCCTGATCCCGATGTCCTCTGAGGGATGATAACAAGTTCCTGCTCCTGATTTCCTCTAAAGGATGATAACAAGTTCCTGATACTGATTTCCTTGAAGGGATTATAACGGTTCCTGATCCTGATTTCCTCTGAGGGATAATAACAAGTTCCTGATCCTGATTACCTCTGAGAGATGATAGATAACAAGTTTCTGATCCTGATTACCTCTGTGGGATGATAGATAATAAGCTCCTAATCCTGATTTCCTCTGAGGAATGATAACAAGTTCCTAATTCTGATTTCCTCTGAGGAATGATAACAAGTTCCTAATTCTGATTTCCTCTGATGGATAACAACAAGTTCATGATCCTTATACAATAAACATGCATAGTAAACATACAGTTTAGAACGATTTTATGTCGTCTTATATTTCATTCTAGCAACCACTGCACAACTAATATGAGAAGGAAATAAAAAGCTATGAATATTCATAGAAAAAAGTCTAGAAAATGAATAGAATACAGTAGTTTGACCTTAAACTATTTAAAGTGAATCATAGAAGAACCAATGAAAAACAATTAATTATATTTGTAAGGGAATGTTTGATAAAGCTGAAAATTGACCGATCATTACAAAAATGTAAATATCATCATGAAGAGTATAAAGAAGGTTTTGATTTCAAATCTCAAATTCTAATTTCAATCTTCAGCTCCAAGGACATTTTTATTTCATAACACTATTTGTTCTTTTTGCGAACGTGAGTCATATAGAGAGCATCTCTTTTAACAATCGTCTTTAATGAAAAGAAGAAGAATTAAGTATACAAATAAAATTAAATATTCAAAGACGACATCTACGCACATGTTTCTTATTTTCCTCAATTTTGAAATTCAAGAATTTTTAAATTTTGGTTTTCAAATCAAATCTCTGGTTTCGGATTATATCTATCTCTGGTGTCAGATCATATCTTTCTTTGGCTTCAGATTATATGTATCTCTGGATTCAAAACATGTATATCAATCTCTGGTTTCAGATTATATCTATCTCTGGTGACTTTATCTCTCTGGTTTCAGATCATATCTATCTCTAGTTTCAGATTATATCTATCTCTGGTTTCAGGTTATATCTATCCCTGGTTTCAGGTTATATCTATCTCTGGTTTCACATTATAACTATCTCTGGTTTCAAATTATATCTTTCTAAAGTTTGAGGTTATATCTATCTCTGGTTTCAGGTTATATCTATCTCTGGTTTCAGATTATAACTATCTCTGGTTTCAAATTATATCTTTCTAAAGTTTAAGGTTATATCTATCTCTGGTTTCAGGTTATATCTATCTGTGGTTTCAGATTATAACTATCTCTGGTTTCAAATTTTATCTTTCTGAAGTTTAAGGTTATATCTATCTCTGGTTTCAGATTATATCTATGTCTGGTTTCAGATTATATCTATCTGTGGTCTCAGATTATATATATCTCTGGTTTCAGATTATATCTAACTCTAGTTTAAGATTATATCTATAGATAATCTATCTTTTATTTCATATTATATCTATCTCTGGTTTCAGATTATATCTATCTCTGGATTTAGATTATATCTTTCTCTAGTTTCAGGTTATATCTATCTCTGGTTTCAAGTTATATCTATCTCTAGTTTCAGATTATATCTATCTCTGGTTTCAGATTATATCTATCTCTGGTTTCAG